TGTTAATAGACTTCAAGAAGGCATTTGACTACATCAACAGAAAGGTTATGATTGCCATATTGCGCCATTAAAGAATACAAAAAGCCATGTTCATACAGGTATGCACCATACAATATTCCAAAAAAGTGGTAATGGTTAAATTAAACGTCTCACACCCTTTTGAGGTTTCCAAAGGAGTGTACAAGGACAATGTTCTAACTCTATTCCTCTAGTATACTTTCGCCTGAGTAAGACCACAGCAGATCTTGACTCAGTACTAGTAGCTGTAACATATCCTCAATGCTCCAGATGATAACTAGCTACTGAAGTGTTTGAATGACTTGAATTTTGCTGATGGCAATGACCAGCTAGAGTCTACTATTCTGCAGGTACAGGCCTAGTGGGGCAGTACAGCAGCTGAAGTTAACTATCTTGGCCTTATAATCAGTATATTCAAGAGCAAATATGTAATGGATTTCAAGCATCTTAGCTCCAAAATGACATCTGCTGCAAGTGACTGCAGAAAACATACAGCAATTGCAGGGAGTGCTTTCTAGAAGGTATATAATCCCTGCAAAAGTTGCTTTAGTCTATAGAAATGCATAATATATATACATATTCAGTCTTTATACATGCCTCTTATTATTTTCCTCAATCAGTCAAAACAAGCACAAGCATCATTGTGTTTTAACAAATATAATTGACTACCAGTTAATTACTAAGCTTTGAAATTGCAAAGACAGCATTAAAAAGAGACACGTGAGGCTACAATTAGGATCTAAAAATGGACTAGTGTTGTACATTTTTGACTAGCCCAGAGCCTATTTTGGTAGGAATTTGCCACGGATAAGTGCGCAAAGTGCAGAATGATCACATCATTATATCTTGTCACTGGGGCATTTTAACCAACAGCCTAGATATGTGTTGCACCATCTCACATTCAATCTTGATATACCGTGTTAAAATGTGTTCAGTTAACACATGCACTCTTATTTCACATCTTTAAATGCAATGAAAGATTCTGATAGGATCAGCTTAATTCTACCCTGAAAGAAATGCCCTTTCACTGGGCAGCACATATACATATTCATACACGTAGAGCAGTATAATTGATGTCACTTCATTGTAAAGTACCTGTTCACATCGTCTCCACACCTGGACCATCGTGATCAATATTAATTTTTGTTGCCTATGTAAACAATCATGTTGCTGGCACATAGGGACTAGGTGACAGAATACAACTGTGTTCATTTCTCGGAGACAAACAATGAACATACAGCTGCTTACACAGCATCACTTATTTGTAATTTCTAATAGCTAGCCTAGACTCACCTATAATGTAGTCACAAGTATCAAAAAGGATAGACAGGATACAATGCAAATACCACTATCTATATCCACAAATGTTGAACTTGTTTTTTATTCCATGAATTTGAAAGTATCCTTCACGTAAGTTAAAAACAAAAATGTCTTACTCATCACGTTCCAATATATCATATCTTTAGATATATATTATGTTTAGTTCATGTTGTCTCTAACAGATTACACAGAATCAAATACACTAAATATCAGCACCAACTTTCCTGAATTCCTGAATCACTTAACACGGACTGCAAAAATATCAGCCATTGAAAGCATTGCTTATTTAATCATTCCCCCCCCCAAAAAAAAAAAAAAAATCTTACTGTTACAATATTTTAAAGCAAATTTATCAAAGCTTATCTGTTAAATAAACTATATGCATCCCAAATTAACCTTTTAACCTGTTACTAGAACAGAACAGAAAGTAAATGAGCAATAATGTCATTTCAGTAAAAAAAAATATTACAAAAGTCAAAATTTGTTTACAATTAAAAATGCTTGTGTATAGCAAGAAGTCTTTTATTTTTATCACAAATAGTTAATCTTATTCCTATATTCTTTATAGGTAGAAAATGTACACCTCACTTATCCCAACCCATTATAAACAAAGCAGACATTTTGAAATATTTTATTATGTTATCCTCTGGACAATTGCCTTTTATAATGAGTTCATTGGTGTGACATGTTTGCCTTTCTTATCTGAATAGTAATATTAGCAGTGTGTGTATGTGTGTATACACATATGCATGTGTGAATGTGCATGTGTGTGTTACACTGTGTATGAGAGAAAGAGAAAAAAACAACTATGAACAGTCTATAGTTCAAATGCCATTCCACATGCTTTCAAAGCTAAGCAAAAACAAGGCAGCACATTTATAAGTTGTCAAATGGACAGACATACCAATGACAAAACTGATAGAAGCAGTGACATTAACACGGTCTGAAAACAACGAACCACTTAAATGATGACAGTTAACTAAATATATATCAATTGGTCAATTTTGATGAACACAATATATGCTGTAAACTAGGTCATTCGGAACACCAGTTTCTTAAAATCTACGGGTCCAAATAAAAATTTCAATCAGACAGGACATTTACCCATATTACAAACTATTACTAACAATAACAAGACCTTGTTTTTGCCAAACCTTTTTGGAGCACTTTCACCTATGGAGACGCATTTGAAAACCTTTTGGGAAAAAGTTAGTATTTTATTTTTAAAATCTACTGGCCTTGTCAGACCACTTAATTCACTCAATCTGAAAAATCTACTGGTATGCATACAATTTTACTCGTCATTGGTATCTGACCAGTAGCTTATACCATAGACTGTGCACAATATTATATTATATTATATTATATTATATTATATTATATTATATTATATTATATTATATTATATTATAAAACGCCTAGCAGCATGATCATCAAAAATTTTTAATTTTATGCCACATTGGACATCAAAAGAATGTTAATAGCACAGAGCCTAAGACCTATGGGAATTTTTAGTCATACCTGAAATATGGCAAAAATGAAACATTACAAAATAAAGATTTAAAAAATTTTTTTTTTCCAATCAGGTTGTTTGTTATACGTTACATGTATTTTAGTCCAATAAAATATGAGAATAATAAGTGACACAATTTTCCTTTTGTATATATGATTCTGCACAAAATGATTTTTGTCAATAAGAAACATGTACCAAGATAAGTCACTGATCTTGTGAAGTATGAAGGAGGGTGAAGTTAACTCGGTTAGCAAGTGCAATACCTCATGGCTAAAAGTTAACAGATTTATCTATATATAGATATATTTCTGGTTGTTTAATCTGTATAATTCTGTTGAATTACATTCTGTTGCACAACATCATGTACATACATTTACCATGTTTTGTATAACACTATTGCATTGCCTCCTTAAATGACATTCTCAGCGCATACATAGCTTCAATATGGATGAAGGTAAAAGATAGTAACTCTACCTCTGTATACAGGATTTACCTGCCAAAATGAATATTCCTCAAGGGGGGGGGGGGGAATAAAGCAATTTTCTCTTACTCACAAACCATTGCTCATCCCCTCCGTCTTTGGATTTTATGTTTTGTTCCTTTTTAAATTTAATGATTGTCTTTATTTCAGATTAAACTATTGATACCAAGTACCTTTACTTTAGAGGTTTTATCATTTCAAGCAGCTTCGCAGGATATGCAGACATAGAAAATATGACTGTGGGAATATTTTAATGTATGCAGTATACAGGGAAACTTTCACCCAACCTCAAGCAGATTCTCACACTGGAAAGCTAAGTACTAGCAAGGATGTATATTGAATATATGTCCTTGGTACACTAAAACTAGGGCATTCAATAACTCATCACCTAGCCCAAATTATGTGGACCATATTACGTGGAAATATCACCTGGCCCACATTTTATGAAAAAAAAGCCAAGATATGTAGTTTCTATGCTTGTGTACATTATACTGTGTTTTAAAAGAGACAAAATATCAAATATCATACCTTGCCTACATTAGGTATATCACAATCCGCTAGGGGCGCTACAGTCGTAACTGTCCAGTGGCAGTGAAGTGTAAAACTGAAGTCGGCCTGCTGACAGCTCGCCTATGGCACCCCTTTTTTAAATCTCTCTTTTAGCGCCGCGTAAAAAAACTAATACAAGCCATTAACTAAATAAGCTGTAAATCAAAGAGTAAAATCCGGTCACGTGATTTTCCCGTGTTGCAGTCTTTGAGAAGTTTCAGTTCAGGGTGTTTGAAGTTTTGCCTCGACAAAATGCTCAAAAATGTCAGGGAAGTACTGGTTTCAGTTTTTTAAAATTTATATCGAATAAAGTTTATGAAATTTGCAATATTATGTAAAAAAATCATGAAAATTAAACCATGCGAAGTATAGTTTATTTGATGCGCAATATTTATAGTACTTGATCTGCACGGAAGCCATCCCAGCCATGTGCTTGTGCGGTCGCCAATTTGGGTTTGTTTCCGGGTCATTAGATTAACATACAGCCATAATTGCCCTAATTGGTCACAAGCAATTTGAGCTGCAGCTACAGCTGAGTGATCACCGCTGGTCAGTAGTGACAGGTTTTAAGCTGAAAAGTGTGGACACTTTTGGTGCATTTTTGCAGTTAAAAAACTTCAATATCTTTGTTGCTTGTAGGAATATTAAAAAAATTTCAAGTGATTTCATCCGGTTTTTGCATTACCTTTCAGATGATATAAGTATTATAATTTTCTGATCAGTTTGAAAATTTTTCTGATATACCTACCTACATGTAAATGTAACCATGGCTTGGCAGTTCTCACACTTTGGTCAGTCGTTTAGTTATGTGCAAAGGGTCAAGCGATGTCATATACACAGCAAAAGCAGGCCAATCACTTTACTATACAATAAATATTGCAAGTGCTGCAGTGCTGATGCTAAACATTGTTACACTCTTACTCTTCGCAAGTCTACTCGTTGATTCATGAAACAATTTCTTAAACTTCAATCATTTTGTTTTTCAAATAAGGCTTACTGAGTGTAAATAACCAGCAACAGTAAAAGCTATACAAAAATGCAGTTGTACACAAAAAAAAATATATATATATATATAACTTATATGCTCGAGAAAATCGGGAAGCGTCAAAGCTCATTTACCTGCAGCAGTTCCAAGCATCCGCGTTTTCAAACGACCTTGAACTTCATAACGTAAATATAATTATATTCAAATTAATGCTGCAACATAACGTTCAACTCTCCCAAACGCACATTAATTGAAACAAAATGCAATAAATCTAATTCAACATCAAACCAGTTTTCCATTCCACAACAGGTGTCAGTAAATGAGCCGAAAGATAATAACGGAAGTAAAGTCGATTTCGAGGTTATGTCCTTTAAACAAGCATGGCGGACACAACAGACCGAGACACGAGAGATGTTAATTTTTCTGATCTTGGACTTAGCCTTTGGTTATCAACCCAGTGTAAGGCTGTCGGGCTGGGGAATCCAACACCAATCCAATTTAACTGCATACCAGCAATATTGAAGGGTGAGTTTGGGAATCTGAATTTACCATATCCACTTGAAATTAATTCAACAGATTTTACTCGGATTTTTGATTGTTGTTAAGTCAGTGGGATTATGGCCAACCAGCTATCATTCAGCTTATTATAAACTGCTAAGGAACAGCTTCTGTGGCTGCATGCACATTTGACAGTCACGTACATGTCGCAAACAATCCTTAGTTCATAACAATCATTGTCATTGTATTAAATTTTATTACAAATCAAGTAATTTATGATTAATATTATTTAATTTAGGTCAAGACTGTATTGGATGTGCCAAAACTGGAAGTGGGAAAACTGCTGCATTTGCATTGCCTATCCTCCAGAAATTAGCCGAAGATCCATTTGGGATTTTTGCTCTTATAATTACCCCTACAAGGTTGAATTATTATTATTATTATTATTATTATTATTATTATTATTATGTGCAAACTGGTGCTCATGAGAGGTGTTTTGAGACATTTGCTTTCATGATTTAATACAGCATAGATAGCAAAATCATCAAATAAGAGTGTGAATGCATGAATTTTGTACTAATGTAGAATTACATAGATCTGGTGGTGATCCATTTATTTGGTAATCATGAGAAATTGGCTATGTTGGTTTAGGTCTGTGCTGTCTAAGTGATTTTCTGAAGTATGTTTTAAAAAAGATTCTTGTCAAGTTGTCATAAATATTTTTGCATCAAGATATATGATAATGATATGACAATAAATCAGACATGAGCTTTTGATCCAAGATTACCACATAGTCAAAGCCACTGTAAATATCAGTGCTGTGCTTTCTAGGTCAAAATGTTGGTTCATGCTGATTGATTGTTTTGTCACACAATTGATGTTCTAATTTTTTGTTATCACAGGTTTGTGCTTGGTAAATGGATGCATGTAGTTAACTTTTGAACAGATACTTGTGAAATATGAATATAATTAATTTTTTGTAGTTGTGTTCATATTTTGATTTGAGTTATAGGAATTCTTGCTAGCAACAAGTGTATTTATGTTTTTTTCAGAGAATTGGCCTTCCAGATAGCGGAACAATTCCAGGTACTAGGGAAACCAATTGGCATCCGTGTCGTCACAATAACTGGAGGGCTTGGTAAGATATCTGTTTCTAGACTTTTACTACATTCATGTAAATAAAAATACATAAGGTTTGTAGCAATCTTAGTATTCAAACACCAGTTGAAATAACTGGTACTGATCATTTCACTTTATAACATATGAGACCGCATCCACAACTAGTTTGTCAAAGACCACATGAACTTGTAGTATAATAACTGAATATTCATAAAATACAGATCGGGTTCGAAATTAACTTGATCGAACCATTTCTCCAAAAGGTTTTTTTTTTCAGCATGTATGCAATTCAGATAACACGTAAATTAGTGAAAAGTTGACCTATTGCCTTCAAAGCTACAGGAGTGATCATTATTACCAAAATACAGGTTGAGATCAAATACCAACCTGATTGGTTTATTTTTCTTGAAGATGTGCAATTTTTGTGAAAGGCTTTTCTGCTGTCTTGTTCTGTAATTATAGTTACTGGCTTTTCTTGCAGATATGATGCAACAAGGTTTAGATATAACAGAAAGACCCCATATTGTTATATCAACACCTGGGAGACTGGCAGACCATTTGGAAAGCTGCAAAACATTCAGTTTAAAGAAAATAAAATTTTTAGTAAGTTGCCATTGAATGATATGCTCCGTATAGAGATTACTTGCATCTAGATGTATGGTAAACATGAAAGTAGTATTATGAATATGAAGTCGGCTAAAAGACAGGTGAACCCATTGGAGTAAAACCATAGATATTTGACTTAACCTGTTTTCAGGTTAAATGGAAACTTATTTATACTACTTAACTAGGTATTAGATGAGGCAGACAGGCTACTCGAAGACGACTTTGGGGAACAACTTCAAGTAATATTTTCTGCCCTGCCACAAAAACGTCAGACATTACTTTTTAGTGCCACCATCACAGAAACTCTCAAACAACTACAAGAGGTAGCCATGAATAAACCCTTTTCTTGGCAGTCCTCATCAGAGTAAGTAATGATAAGTCAATGTATAGATTATGAAAAATATGATATCTTGATTTCAACAGGGCAGTTTTTTTTTCTTTAAGGAGTAGTACATCATCATTATATTTAGATTATACTTTCAAAAGATTTAAGATATTACTAACGATTCAATTTTTGCTGTAGTCCTCATTGGGTGTGGCTTGCTAAAGGTTGATATAAAATCATATTGTATAAGCAAGTAAAGCATGGCGTAACGGAAGTTATTATTTAATGAACAAAATCTTTTCTCAACAATATGTTCATAACTATGCACAGCAAAATGTCATGTCACCATTAATGACACAGATGGTGGCTAGGTGCAAAGTGAGGCTTCCTTAACACCTCTTTATACCCCAAATGTACAAATAATATAGAAATAATGCAGTGAAATTTTTAACCATTTAGATTACAGAACTTTTGTTCATTGAATGATTATCTTAATTTATTGTTGACATAAGACTATTATTATAATAGCAGATTAACCGAAGTCTCCTTTTCACGTTTTTCTCCCAAACTACCTTAGGGTAGTGGGATTATAGTGGCCCTAGTTTGAATTTGATAATGACTGTTAAAAGTATATTTTGAAAGCATTTTCTAGATTTTTGCAATTTTCGTAAAGCTTTGGCATGTGCGACATATATGTGACAGGTATCATATATTGTCAATAACACTTCAGCAGATAGCCCAGTGGTAACGGGTCTGTGGTAATGTCCTTGGCTCCCAAACTTGGCAGACTGGGTTCGATTCCCATTCAGTGGTGTTTTTTCTTTTATTTTTTTAAAAATTATTATCATGGTTCAATGATTGATGTGATGGGTATCAGCTGGTATGTATTAAAATGTGTTTATGGTATATTTCAGAGTTATCACGGTTGAACAGCTAGATCAGCGCTATGTTCTCATGTCTGCTGATGTCAAAGATGCTTATCTTATTCACATATTAACCAAATATACATCAGAAAATGACAAGAGTTCCATTATGATATTCACAAATACTTGCAAGTAAGTCATTTTCATTATTAGATATGAGAGGCAAAGATAATGGATTCATGAATTTGAGGTCTGATAAATATTGACAGGTAACATCATGAACAGTTTTTGGGCCAATTAGAGAAAAAGTAACATTTATCAATCAGACTACAATAATGTCAGATGCCATTGAAGGATATTGGCCTTTGGGAATAATTTATTTATTAAAACAAATATTGGCTTGAGTTTGGACCATATGTTGTTTGCTGCAACTGGCCAAGTTTTCTGAGATCTGCAAAACAACATGGCAGGATATGTGGGTATGACTTTGCTGTAATATGGAAGCTGAGAGGTTTAAAGAACTGTTCATATCTGATGATATTTTGCTTATGTAATATTACTGTTTCAGGTTGTATTAATGGCATTAGGGACTGCAGCCACCATTAAATTGTATTAAGCAAATGCTGCCCCTCAGAAATCCTGTGTATTGCTTCAGAACAATGAATTTACTACTAACATATCTCCAACTGAGCAAAGTGTTTTCTTTTTCAACTTTTTTTTTTAGGTATTGCCAGATCTTAGCCATGATGTGCAGAGAACTTGGTCTCCCATGCGTTGCCATTCACTCCATGCTTCCACAGAAACAGCGTCTTGCTGCATTAGCCAAGTTCAAATCTAACCAAGTCAAAGTTCTGATTGCAACAGACGTGGCTAGCAGGTAATTGGCATGTTATAGTGGATACAGTATTGAAGCGAGTAGATAAATGCCTTATCATGTAAAGATTATGCTGCATTTTTTTTGTAAAATAATATGTGAACAATATGTGGACTTAAACCCATTCAGGGCAGTCAGTCAATCCTCATTGTTGAGCCCTGAGATGTGTGCAAAATTGAAGCACAGTGGAGCATTATTCAAAAACTAAATAATAATATTGCCAGTTTTTCTTTTATTTTCAGAGGTTTAGACATTCCTACAGTTGATTTGATTATAAATCACAATGTGCCAACCAGACCAAAGGATTATGTTCACAGGGTTGGAAGGACAGCTAGGGCAGGTACAAAATCTTTTTTTTTTTTTTTTTACTAAAATCTTAGGTTACTAAGACTCTGGTAGTTATGTTGTGCTTTACAAAGAATCTGAAAGACTGCTTACCTTATTTTATTTGTCTAAAAATTTAGATCCTGGTCAGAAACTCAAGTATCTTTGGGAGCTGTCTAAACTCAGTTAAACAACTAAAACACATTAATTGATGGCACAATCAACAAATTACCTTTTACAGCATGCTCTCATTGAGTGTGAATAAATCTGTTTTGTCTTATGTAAATTAAGTCTGTAATCTTTCATGACCGTAAGACACCATAAATTGTCATGTACAAAATTCCACCTCCTACTGTTGAAGTGTTCCTTGAGCACATGAGCTTAGAGAAATTTGACCTTCCAACAGCCAGGAAGGTGAAATTTCGCAATTTCGTACTGATGATGTGAAATAGGGGCCAGGTTTCACCACTGTCAACACTGCCATATAGTCTTTATCTTTTAAAGACAGATATTAACTTTCTGTGGATTTTTATTCTGTTCTTGTTTTGTAGGAAGAGGAGGAATGTCAATGACCTTAGTTACACAATTTGATATCAAGTTGGTACATGCAATCGAAGATTTTATTAGTGAGTATCCTTTTGTGTGCAGACATAAGTTTCTATACATATCACCATCATCTTTGTCCAAAGGAACGATTTGATCAAAAATGGGCTGTATGGAAAAATCTTTTTGAAAAAGTGGATTAGAATTAAACTATGTATATAGTTAATTACTTTCCATCTTCTGTTTGCACATATGTGTATATATATTTTTTCATTCTTGTTTTGATTTCTCTCTCCTGTATTTGTAAGCCCTTTTTTTAATTAATTTTTTTTAAATCTCTGTCTGCCCACATTGCTAGAGCTGTGGCTAAAGACTGGAAGGAAGGAGGTCCAAAGTTGGACAGGAGGCATGTACCTTTCAGGCTACCACAATAACTGAAAGCAATGTTTTCATTTTCCTTGATCCTCATAAAGATTAATTATTCTCCTAAACTGCCAGTCAAGTTCAAAATGGACATAAGCAGTAATTGTTTATATTTTTTCAATATTCTTTTTAAATATTCTTGGCCTTTTCCAATTTCCCAGGCCTATTATCTCCAAACTAGTTGCTCTACTAAGGGTTCAAAGTTCAATGTACAAGTGTCTGGGTCATCAGTTGGCTTTCATCCAAATTTTGATTAGTTATTATTTGTTCATTGGGATACCAAAATACAGGGAGGGGGGAGGGGGGCTTTGTAAATTATATTAGTTTCAGCAGTGAGGTATCATTTGTTTTAATTGATCATGCCTGGGAAAGTATTTGACTGGCTTGTTCAGTTTTGCCATACAGAGCAAAGAGGAACAGTTAACACTACTGGTATTGGATAGTGGTGGTCTTCACTTTTCCCCCAACTGTTGTAGTGACTAATCTTTTGAAGACTTGCTTGAATTAGATATTTTAGACATCAGAAATTTTCAAATCATTCATACATTCAAACTTAGTCTAGTGAAAATATGTGCTTGGTTAAACATCATCTTACTGGCCAAGTCTTCATATTCAGCTTTTCTCTATACTTGCTTAAATTTAAGAAAAACTTGCATCAAATTTTATAGAACAAAAGTAAAAAACATTTTCTATTTAAGATTGATACATATATTGTAGAAGGGCCGCACTTCACTTTGGTTGTTTACTTTTGCAGATACTAAACTTGTAGTGTACAAGGTGCAGGAAAAAGAAGTCATGAAAATCTTGACAGAGGTAGCAGTGACCAGGAGAGAGGCTGAGATTGTAAGACATTTATACCTATAGAGAAATAATTCAAGAAATGGACAAAAATGGTTAATTTTCAAATTTGAACGGGCATTGTACAAAAACTATGATGGGTGCAATATCATGTACAGGTTAAATGTACCAAATTTTAATTCAAAATGTTGCGTAGCTTTTATAACACAAATGCCTTCAAGATTCTGACAAAAAACGAAGTGCATTGTGAAGTCACCTTATGGTATTTGGGAAGCTGCTGGATGATCTTCCAATCAGGCCAGAAATACTTCGTAGCTTTTGTTGAGAAAATAGCCATGCAGATTATAGAATGTCCAAAACATTTGGACAGTTTAGATCATGCATCGTGAGCTGTCAGTGTGAACAAAGCATACTGAGTTCTTTGCTATGCATTGAATACACCATAAACAAGAATGTAAATGCCACTTTTAATACTGTTTCACTAGACGATGCCAAGTGTTTACATTAGGCATGCTGAGGAAAAACAGTGAAGAAACACGTACTCCCAGTTTTCACTGATTTCTTTGAAAGTGCAGGGGATTATAAGAGTGGGTCTACTGGAAATTGAAGGTTTATCACATAATCAAAAAACTGTCACATTTTTTACTTCCAAGATTTTACCCTCCATTGGTTATTCATTGGTTAGTCATAGTAGCACACAAAGTGCATCAGTCAATCAAAGTTATTATTTTTCTTGCAGAAATTGGATGAACAAGATTTTGGAGAAAAGAAGGAAATCAACAAGAGGAAAAGATTAATGATAGAAGGAAAAGTATGTATAGTGTAGCATAGCATAGCAAGCATTTGGCATAGATCCTAAGCAGTCATTGCATGTGTCAATGCAAAATTTTTATCCCCACACTTTTGGGACAAAAGTCGTGGATCATGTTATCCCACCCGTCCGTGCGTCTGTGTGTCCATGCGTCTGTGTGTTAGTAATTTCCGCTATCTCCTCCTAGACTATTGCAGGTAGGAAGTTGAAACTTTGGGAATTGGTAGACCCATCATCAGGGATGTGCATGGGCACTTTGGAATTTTAGTGCCACAGGGTGTTGGGCTTTCCCCGGGGGTGGTTGATTCTAAATTCTTTTCACATTGTGATTTCTGCTATCTCCTCCTAGACCATCAGAGTTAGGAAGCTGAAACTTTGGTGAATAGTTTACCCATCATCAGGGATGTGCATGGGCACTTTGGAATTTTAGTGCAACAGGGGATTGGGCTGTCCCTAGGGGTGATTGATTCTAAATTCTTTTCACATTGAAATTTCTGCTATCTCCTCCTAGACCATTAGAGATAGGAAATTGAAACTATGGGAATTGGAAGATCCATCATCAAGGATGTGCATGGGCACTTTTGAATTTTAGTGCATCAAGGGATTGGGCTGTCTCTGGGGGTTGGTTGATTCTAAATTCTTTTAAAATTGTAGATTTGTTACATTTATATTTTTAAATACCTTTGGATGAAGCAGTGATGTGTGTGTGAGAGTACATGCGTGTGTACGTGCATGTGTGGTAAGTGGTCCCTAGAATGAGCTGCTCTATGGGGAAGTGCAGGGATATGTACTACCCATCGACACCATCTAGTTTCAAGATGTTGAGTGAATGATCCTCTCTTTAAAGGGATAAGCCTTGAAACATAACAGAACTATAATTTTTAACATATTTTTCACTTTTATTATTGTATTTTGGGATGATAATGAAAAGGTTCATCACTTTGATAACTTGATGATGAACCAGTTTAACTATAACTTCTGAACACATACATAAGTGATACATAAGTGCTATTCTTTGGGGTCTCTTTATCTCTGCATGTCCATTATTGCTGTATACATTAAACACATAATTTAATTTCTTGCTTTTTAGGATCAAGATAAAGAAGGGAGATCTAAAAAAAGTAAAGTGAATAAAAATCCGAAAAAGAGGAAAAAGCCCACTGGGAAAAAATTCAGCTTGTCATAGTACTGAGCCTACCACTTGCACTTGCTACATTTTATCATCAGCATCTTAAGGATTTCTCATGAACTGCACAAATCTTCACAATATTGTCCAAAATGTAAACAGTACTGTGATAGCTTGGATAACAATTTATACAGATGATAGGTATTTGAGAGAGCAAAACAGCCAAATCTATCCCCAGCAACTAGTCAACATGACAAAGCATTCAGTGGCATTTTCGTTTTAGACTGTGAGATTACACAATTTTTATAACAAGGTATATTTGTTACAAATATTCACTGTCTTGCCATGTCATATACCAAACTATTGTTCTAGAAGGAATGTATTATGTATGGTTTATGGATCTTTTGCTAGAAGCTTAAGGGTTACATGGTTAGAAGTATCATATCATAAGTAAGAGACTCTGTCAAAACATAATAAATTATGATTACACGAGTTGTTATATATTCATCTGAACCATTTTGTATTTTCCAATCAAAAATCTTTTGGGCGTATCTTTGAGAATAATTGTCTGAATTAAATTGCTGAATGATTCCCTACATAGTCTGAGTGCGTAAGGCCTGCCTAGTACATTGTTGGAATACAATTAAAGGAATTTTGACATCAAGAAAAATTCGGGTTGAAATACCCCTTTCTGTTGTCCCTATACTGATTATGCTGACGGGAAGGGATTGTAATCACACAGACCATGGAAAAGGGTTCATTTAGAACATTTTGAAGTGCATGATACTGCAAGATTCTTAACCCCAGTATGTCCTTTTCCCTCTGTTTCTATCTCTCTTGTTCCTTCCACCGCCACTGAAAATTGCTGAGAAAATTAAATAAATGCTCTGTACTAAATTTCTTTACGGTCTAGTAAAGTATAGCAAGATGAAGTTAGTGATGGTGTGCATAAACAATAGCAAACATGCAGTTGTAAAAGTATGGTTAATGCCAGTGTATANACCCATCATCAGGGATGTGCATGGGCACTTTGGAATTTTAGTGCAACAGGGGATTGGGCTGTCCCTAGGGGTGATTGATTCTAAATTCTTTTCACATTGAAATTTCTGCTATCTCCTCCTAGACCATTAGAGATAGGAAATTGAAACTATGGGAATTGGAAGATCCATCATCAAGGATGTGCATGGGCACTTTTGAATTTTAGTGCATCAAGGGATTGGGCTGTCTCTGGGGGTTGGTTGATTCTAAATTCTTTTAAAATTGTAGATTTGTTACATTTATATTTTTAAATACCTTTGGATGAAGCAGTGATGTGTGTGTGAGAGTACATGCGTGTGTACGTGCATGTGTGGTAAGTGGTCCCTAGAATGAGCTGCTCTATGGGGAAGTGCAGGGATATGTACTACCCATCGACACCATCTAGTTTCAAGATGTTGAGTGAATGATCCTCTCTTTAAAGGGATAAGCCTTGAAACATAACAGAACTATAATTTTTAACATATTTTTCACTGTTATTATTGTATTTTGGGATGATAATGAAAAGGTTCATCACTTTGATAACTTGATGATGAACCAGTTTAACTATAACTTCTGAACACATACATAAGTGATACATAAGTGCTATTCTTTGGGGTCTCTTTATCTCTGCATGTCCATTATTGCTGTATACATTAAACACATAATTTAATTTCTTGCTTTTTAGGATCAAGATAAAGAAGGGAGATCTAAAAAAAGTAAAGTGAATAAAAATCCGAAAAAGAGGAAAAAGCCCACTGGGAAAAAATTCAGCTTGTCATAGTACTGAGCCTACCACTTGCACTTGCTACATTTTATCATCAGCATCTTAAGGATTTCTCATGAACTGCACAAATCTTCACAATATTGTCCAAAATGTAAACAGTACTGTGATAGCTTGGATAACAATTTATACAGATGATAGGTATTTGAGAGAGCAAAACAGCCAAATCTATCCCCAGCAACTAGTCAACATGACAAAGCATTCAGTGGCATTTTAGTTTTAGACTGTGAGATTACACAATTTTTATAACAAGGTATATTTGTTACAAATATTCACTGTCTTGCCATGTCATATACCAAACTATTGTTCTAGAAGGAATGTATTATGTATGGTTTATGGATCTTTTGCTAGAAGCTTAAGGGTTACATGGTTAGAAGTATCATATCATAAGTAAGAGACTCTGTCAAAACATAATAAATTATGATTACACGAGTTGTTATATATTCATCTGAACCATTTTGTATTTTCCAATCAAAAATCTTTTGGGCGTATCTTTGAGAATAATTGTCTGAATTAAATTGCTGAATGATTCCCTACATAGTCTGAGTGCGTAAGGCCTGCCTAGTACATTGTTGGAATACAATTAAAGGAATTTTGACATCAAGAAAAATTCGGGTTGAAATACCCCTTTCTGTTGTCCCTATACTGATTATGCTGACGGGAAGGGATTGTAATCACACAGACCATGGAAAAGGGTTCATTTAGAACATTTTGAAGTGCATGATACTGCAAGATTCTTAACCCCAGTATGTCCTTTTCCCTCTGTTTCTATCTCTCTTGTTCCTTCCACCGCCACTGAAAATTGCTGAGAAAATTAAATAAATGCTCTGTACTAAATTTCTTTACGGTCTAGTAAAGTATAGCAAGATGAAGTTAGTGATGGTGTGCATAAACAATAGCAAACATGCAGTTGTAAAAGTATGGTTAATGCCAGTGTATAATTAAATGGAAGGTAATACCAGTTATCTTCTGTTGAAATATGCTTAACAAGGTAGACATTTGATAAACAACAACAAACTTATAAAAAACCAGTGTTACATGTTTGGATATCCGTGAACGGTTTTAACTCGACACAATTATCAAAAAATCAAATTATATTAAAGGGTAATAACTGCATAGAACTGCAGGTGCAGTGAATAGGCGCATCACGGGGTATAAGCAGATGTTTCCTGAAGACTAGCACTTGATCATACAATGGTCTTAGTACGCAGTTGTCAATGATAAATGAATGTTATTAACTTCATGCAATTTCAGTAATGCCAAGTTGTTTTCCGTTAATACCAGAACCATCCAATATTGCAGGAAGTGACTTGAGCATTCTTACGCCCATCTTCCTAATTAGAAACACCAACTGTCTGTTCTGTTAGTGCATTGGCAAGATTTATTTTTCATCTAAAACTTGCATGTTCGTTCCTTCTGCCGCGCACGTTTCCACTGGTATATCTGCCTTCTTGGCTGCCTCGTAGAATGCTATTTTATGTGCTGTCTCGGAGCGGTTAATTACGTTGAACAGAGGAAGCATGTCGATTTTGAAAAACCCGGCAAATGGTTGATCAAGGTCCGACACAATATAACACAACATAGCGATGGAGAACACTGTGATCATGGCGATGACTAGCTCAAAGCGGTAGGATTTGCCGTCCACCATTAAAATCCCCAGATAGGCGCAGAGTCCAAGACTCTCTAAGATGATCCACCTGAAGCATGTTTTGCAAGTAAGGATGAGCATTTCAAACACTGTAACGGTAGGGTATCGCAAGTTTGTTTCGCTATTTTCACAGACGAAGAAGTATGCAAAAGTTATGCCTAGAGGATATTTCAATATTATTTAAAAATAATTTGTATATCCTAATTCAGAGGAAGACTGCGCAAACTTTAATGAAAGTGACGATTCAATTTGGGTCGTATTTGCATCGGGACCCTAACAAAAAAAATGCGTTACTTACTGTAAAGGATGCAGCCTGGTTCGAAATCCAGCAAGTTTATCATAATCTACCCCGATCAAGTCAACTACTATGGTGATGGCTTTGTTCATCAATACGACATCCACTTTGGCTGATATGTCATTTACGTCCACCTTTCGCAGCCGATCCAGAATGCCGTAGAGACTTTCTAGTAATGATAATGAAATGATTATTTGAGAGTAATTATTTTAGAACAATTTCGTTATCTGTATGATTATGACTAATATCACGTAATTACGAGACTCAATTTGTATTCATTTTGACAGGTTTTATTGAAATGGATGGTCGAGGTTATGGAAAATTATAAATAAGTCTCCTTAAACACAATAACATGTACAGTAAGAGTCTACAAAAGAATGAAGATGGTCTTATAATGTAGTTTTGACTAGTAATGAAACATATACCTTTTGTGTGTATTGTGGGCTCGTGATGAAACTGACTCAATGGCCTATTGAGAATCTGAAAGGTCATCTGGATACATTCATCTTTGACAGAACGGTACACTTCCATCTTGTCGTCAGGAGACATGTGCACCTTGGACGTCATAGCAGTAAGCTCTCCAAGTAAGCCGATTTGATACAAGAAGCGTTTTCTGACCTCTCCCTGCTTCAAGGCAACACTTTGGAATACAAATCCAAACATGATGGCATATACCAGTCCGGACGGAGTGAGGAAACTTCGGATAGCATCATTGACATTCAGCGATTTCACATCCACGCCAAGATCTGTCCACAGGACATAAATCAGCCATGGTTGAAGGGAAAGAAATAGGGGACAGCAAGCCATTGTTATCGCGCATGGCAAAGCAACTTTAAGAAGTCCAGTTGGGCTGTTGATAGAATGCATCATTGCTCTTTTAATTTCTTTGTCAAATGGGCTTAGAAATTCTACTTCATCTATGTCCTCGGGACGGATCTCTTTCCCGTGGCCTCTGTGGATTCTTAACAAACTAAATTTGCCATCCTTAATATGATGCGTCGTAAAATACAAGTATGTCATTGCTGAAATTGAAATGATATTATCGTTATATAGTAATTGCATTTAATTGTTGGCAAGAAATACAGGTTAATTTTTTTTCAATAAAATCTTTTCTTGGCCATTTTTAACCTGACAACGTATTCTCATAATTAATTAGACGATCTCAATTAGTCCTATCGATATTAACCGTTATTTCTTATGCTTAAAACCTACTAACATTTACTCTTTTGATATTTTTATTGCAACTTATCCATTTAAATTGTTTTAAGTAAGGTGCAAGTGTGTCTTTGTTCTGTAGCAAGTATTCCTAAACAACCGTTTTAAATGTAACGTTATTTTTGCTGTCCTTTGCTGTTAATATTCTACATTTTTTAAATAATAAAAAAAAATATGGTAGATTCATGACGTTGAATTTTAAAAGGTGGCTACCAATGTGAAATACTGCGCATTCATCAAATGCTTACCAAAAGTTAAAAATGATAGAAATACAACCGGTGGAATAAAAATATCGTTGGTCGTTGGTTCATTTGGCACAACTGCTTCTGTTTCTGCTTCAGGTTCTGCACTTGCAGATATGCCCTGAATGGCAACTGATATTGTCATGCATAAAGTAAAAAACAGAATCCTTGACCACTCCATATTGATTCGAATTGGAAGAGTCACGCAGGGTAAAAAATGGCAACCTGAAAATTTGCCTGAGATGTAAAACGCAGTTACGTCAGGGAAACGGAAACGTCATGAACGTCGTGTCTTAACGCTGAATACACCTAACAGCTCGTGTGTCGTTATGCCATTTTATTATGAAGTGAATCTCAGTCCATTACCAATCACCAGTGACAAATCACATTACCAGTTACTTTACACTACTGCACTTTCTACTTTTTTCATGGAAAACCAATGAGTAACATCAGTTCACTGATTCTCAGTATCTATATAAATCCAAATAAGTTTTTTTTTTTTTAATTTTATCAAAAGTCAGGAACCGGAAGAATTGTTTGTCCAAGTGGAACTAACTTACAGTGGCGGCTTTCGGGGAGTGTCATGGGGGTCCTGCCCCCCCCTTCGATTTCTGAAAAAATCATATCTATGGCCCCCTCTTGAAATTAGAATTTTGACTAGCTGAATCATATCTAAAGCGTACCAAATGGCACCGTTCGCCCTCTAAAATACCAAAATTTCTCGAGGCCCTTCGGCAGGTCCCGAGCCCCACTCCAGGGGGGGTTTGAAGGTTGGCTTCGCATCCGGTCATTCCTAAAAACCGGACCCCCCTTTTTTTCTAAATCGTGTGGTACAAGTACACTTAACTAGACCTATCCACTTTGAGAGATTGGGCAACTTAGTAGCCTGGGCACAGTTTCATCAACACTGCATTCTACTATCCTATGGATAACATTATCCATTGGATAAAAATGTTATTCTCTGGACAGTTATCCTGCGAATAAAGTATTGTTTCAAAACGATGGATTTTTTTTTCATTTTTTGGTCTCTGATATTGCTGTTCAGTGGCTTAAAAAGACTGCTATATTATGACATACCTGGTTATCACGTTAGAGAGTAACCTAACCGGAGCCAGATTTTTCTGGGCTCAAGTATAATTTCTCAATGTAATGGATACCAATCCATGCACAGGCTTTTTATTTTCACTATGCATATACTTCTATCTTTTTACATTCACATTTTACAATTTTGAGAACCCGACTTCAGATACATATTTTAAACTCGACTCTCTGTACATTAACATTGATACAATTGTAAAGTAGTTTTAACTTTAAGTTCCTTTGCGTTTTATTTACCATATAAGCAGTGCAATGCTCATGCATGTACAAATATGCACATGTGAATACCACAAGATGCAATTTACAGTTTATTGTGAGTGTTGGTGTGAAGTGTCTATCAGTTTTAGGAAACAACAAAATATAGATTTATTGAAGATAAATATTATAAGAAGAAAAATGCTTAAATCCACAATCAAATTACAACTTATTTGTTTTCATGTTCTATTTCAAGATTTATCTTCAAAATCTATATCAATGTATTATGTATATTTTGAACATCAACAACACAATGATATTTCGGGATATACGCAACAGGACGCGTTTTTATAAAAGCATCAACGACGCGTATTTAAGGAACACAAAGGCGCCAAAAAGTTTTGAAAATCCACATGGATTCCAATTAGCTTAAGATTATTAGAATATTTACAGAATACTAATTGTTTAATTATTACCAACATTATACTACTAGCACAGTGTCATCTTCATCTAATTCGCCAGCCTCTTTGCCTGTGCTCAACTGCCATTCAGCGGTTACACCAATGTGCGTATAAGCCTCAAAATAAGCCTCTTCTGCACTGGTGATGACGTCATAAAGAGGCTGCAGGTCAATACGAAAAAAGCCACTAAAGGGAAAGTCCATATCTGAGACAATGTAGCAAAGCATACTGATAGAAAACACTGTGATCATGCAAATTAGCAGCTCAAATCGGTGTGACTTGCCATCCACCAACAAAATTCCCAAGAAAGCCAGGAAACCAAGCGATTCTAGAATCATCCACCTAAAAAAAAATAAGTTGAGAAAGTAATAGACATTTCAAATGTCTGAAGGCCTGAAATATCTATAATCATTTGAAATATTTTTCATCCAATTTACGTGAAAATCGTGATAATAATTTGACATTTATTGTTAGTGCAAAGTCGAAATATTCATATCTTACTGCAAAACGTGAAGCCTGGCATGAAATAGAGTCAGCTGGTCAGAATCTACACCGATGATTTCTGTGATGTTGGTGATGGCTTTGTTCATCAGCACCGCATCTACCTTGGAAGATTTGTCAGTAACATCAACTCGACGCAATTTATCCAAGACACTGTAAAGACTCTCTGAAAAAAAAAACATAGATTATATGTGTGTGTTTAAGATATTTTCTTAGTCAAATATATCGTTTTCAATCCTGTTTTGCTGCATGTGGTCCATTTTTCAGTTTTGAAAATTGAAGCGCTGTTTTAAAGTCTTTAAGTGTCCCTGTACTTACACTAGCAAAGGCTTTTGCAAATCTGTTTATTTGTATATTTGATTGTAGAGGGGATCGAGAAGTGATTAATATATAAATACTTTGACACATATAAGCATTATAACATCTTATTTCAGATGAGCAAAATAAATGGATGTTTTACAACTATAAAATACATAGTCACCATTTGTAAAGAATGTATATAGATTCGAAACCCCGACCCCAAAGCCGTTAAACCCTACATCATTTTAAAACCTGTAAATCTAATTTTGTAAAAGAGGGAGTATATGCATTTATGGGAATGTTTGAGAATTAATGAATGAAAAAAAAAAAACGCAATATTTTTTCATTTTGTAGGGAGAATATATACCCTCCATTTTTCCGGGTGGATCATTCTTGAATGAATCTTGTGATCTATTCAGAATATGAGACATCATACTGATACATTCATCCTTAACTGATCGAAGCACTTCCATGCGGTCTTCTGGTAGAAAATGGAGTTTAGTTGTCATAGTGACAAGCTCCCCCATTAGTCCAACTTGGAACATTAACCTCTTTTGGACTTCCTGCTGTTTTGCCGCCACAAACTGGAACACGAAGCCGAACATGATAGCATAGACCAGTCCCGATGGTGTAAGGAAACACTGGATGGCGTCATTAATATTCAGAGTTTCGACATTAACACCCAAGCTTTGCCAAAAGCTTTCCAGTAGGAAACCGTGTGAATATAGGGTAAACGGACAAAACGCCAGTGATACGATGCAAGGTCCGGAAACTTTGGCAAGTTCAAAGGGGTGGTTGGGATATTTCCTTAGGCACTTTTGGACTTCATCATCAAAGGGAGAAAGGAATGGTTCAATCGCTGGGTGTTTTTCATAGTTAACTATCTCAGAACGCTCCAAATTTAGCTCTCCGCCTTTCCATATTTGCGACTTAAAAAAAAGTCCCGCCAAAGCTGAAAAAAAAAAAATAGCACAAAAAACTTTATACAAAATATCATATGCAGTTTTAAAATTTTACCAGATTAAATTTAATTTTTAATTACTTGACAAAGGCCTATGGCTTAATGTAACTTCTCTCCATTGTGCATTTCGGCATATGTAGGCTACTTGTAAGAAACCCGTCAAATGTTAATTTTACAGTTAACGTTACATCTGAATACGGTTTTTAAAAATTAATAGCATGGATTTTTGATAAACAAAGGAAACAAATTGGAAATATACATGTGCATTTCAATATACAAAATTAGAATCAAAATTTAGTGCGTTCATCATGATGCGCTATGTAAGTTTATACAGCATAAACAAGCATTTAAATTCAGACAAAACAATAAATTAACTTGATTATAAAATTCAAAAAAATATCGTAGGAGTTCTCTTGTCTAATACTCCGTATTCGCCCTTTATTGCAGATACTTATAGCACAATTAGGCTTAATTAATACCATGCATTTTATTCATTTTAAATTAACAGATAGATAAATAACCTGATAGGACATTTCCCATATAACAACACAAAGTGCAACGTTGCCATATCATACAATAGCCATACCAAATATGATTAAAGCAATAAACGTGAACGGAGGTGCTAGAATCGGACCGGCTTCTCTTGGTTCAGGTGTTGATTCTGCTTCTGATTCTGCTTCTGATTCTGATTCTGATTCTGGTTCAGGGGACGTGCTAGTACATTCCACATTAAGCAAACTGGATGCTAAAACACTGAACAAAATCCACAGAAGAAGAAAATGCCATGCCGGCCGATTTGCCATTGTTTTGCACGATGTTATTGCATTTCCATATAATGGCTACTACTGGCTTTTGGCATCGAGCGTTTCTTTACGCCGCAAGACGTCAACGATGTTAGATTACGCTAGTATGCGTATGCACGAGGGGGAGACGTGTAACGTGAATTGTGACGTATACATATTACAGTGAATGCACTGTATGTCAATATGGAAGATAGTAGACTCGCCCTTCAAGAAATCGACGCCTTCAAGAAATCGACGAAAACCGGAAGTGCGTGTTTTTTGCACTGTTTTTCCTGTCATGCCCATCGTAAACACTGTGTTGTCAAGTAAAATCATAGAAGTAGAGAAAAATGAAGCGTCTGATACAAAGTATCCAACGCGGCATTCACGTGCTTGCTTGCGATGCGTTCAGTACACTTTGTTTACACTGACAAGTCGAGGTCAGAAATGCACAATGTTTTTCTATGTAATTACGTAGTTTCAGTTTTGATTAGTGAATTTTCTTTTATCAGCATGGTCATTTTCCGAACATTTGTATAAGCCACGAAATATTTCTCACCCAGCAGCTTTCCAAGTACAAGCGAGTGACGTCATGACGCACTTCCGGTTTTCGTCGAGATCTTGAAGGGATTAGCGTTACGGTTTGCTGCACATTTAAAGTGTTCTGTCTCAAAATATACCCAACTGCTTGAATTGAAATTTACGGAACTTATTCTTCACATGATATCACACATATGTGCCTAATTTGAGAGCTTTAGCTGTTATATATTTTCTACAGTGCCCATTCAAATTTGAAAAAGAGCTATTTTCCGTCGATTTCTTGAAGGGCAAGTCTATGGACATTCCATTCATGCACTGACGCTCTTTTTTGTATCCACTCGTATGTACGTTATCACTCATTCTCAAAATATCAGTCCATTAAACATTTTTTAATTTTATTAAAAGTAAGCGAGCGGAAGAATTGTTTGTTCAAGTGGGACATAAATAACATCATAATAATAATAATAAACGTGGGCTACTTAATTTTAAACATTCGTTGCTGTCGCTCGCAACACCATCTCTAATTCTACGATCTAGTTTATTTTTACGAAAGTAGAAAATCCGCAGCTTGTCAGGAAGCGACTATGATGTTTTAGAGTCTAGATCTACGTCTCAAAAAATGTGTAGAATGTTTCTTCTAAATAACTCAACAAGGTGTCGCCAGGTTTTTAAAAATTGAAAAAAAAAAAAAAAAAAAAAAAAAACATTCATTACATCTTTTGGCGCAAGTTATCATTTTTAAGTGTTTGATGTATTTGTAATATTTTAGCCATTAATGAAATCTTCAGTTAAGTTACATCCACGATTAACTAGAGGATAGGAAACGCGGCAAAACTGCATTCACTTAAAAATGAACACTAAATATAGTAAAAAAAAATTAAAACATAAAAAGGGNTTACCGCTACTATTCCCCGTCGTTCATTCCCTCCAGAATGGCCGCGGGACTAGTGTTACGGAGCAAATATGACGTCACTGTAATGGGTTAATAGGAAACGCGGCAAAACTGCATTCACTTAAAAATGAACACTAAATATAGTAAAAAAAAATTAAAACATAAAAAGGGTCCAAATCAGTTATGAATTTGATAAAATCGCGATAACCAGACTTTGTTTTAGCTCCGGTCCGGTGTGGGGGTGTGAACGGTATGCAGGTCCGCAGGAGACACCTTCCAGTGTTCAGGGGGCTTAGACTAACCTCTCAAATGCATATTTGATACAATAATAGTTAAAGGCATCTCATTTTACCTTGCAAACGGTTTTCAAACAGTTTTTTCGGACACGCGTAGCACTGTATTTCAATGTTTGCTTATAAAATTATTGGTGAAGTTAACGTTGAATTAGTCTCGTCTTTGTGACAAAAGAACACCTAACACCTGTCGGTGACAAGTGAAATTAGGTCATTGCCCGTAGTTACTGTAAACTAATCCGTCAAGATGGCGATGGCTCCGGACGCAACCAGCTACATCAAATCGGAGTACACCAGCAATTATACATGGGAGCCTACACGACATGGCCCATATGCATGGTGAGTTTAATGACATGAAAATGAGCTTCTGTCAAGGGTTTGCTTATTGTGTTATGTTTGCGATTTGTTAGTTAGCAGAAGAATGTTTATGGCTATAGCCTACCGTCTCACATTGTTACTGCATGTAGTTATGTTATCTGTAGAGTTAAATACCCCGTACCCAACTTGAACAAAGAGAGGGTTTGCGAGTGAGGTGCTATTGAAAAGTTCATTCTTATGTGCAGAGTAATGAATTTCGATCCAGATTGCAGATGTAAAACGTTATAAACCATAATAGGCCTAATTTTATTACCGAATAATTGAATATATATATATATATATATATATATATATATATATATATATATATATATATATATATATATATATATANCATGAAAATGAGCTTCTGTCAAGGGTTTGCTTATTGTGTTATGTTTGCGATTTGTTAGTTTGCAGAAGAATGTTTATGGCTATAGCCTACCGTCTCACATGGTTACTGCATGTAGTTATGTTATCTGTAGAGTTAAATACCCCGTACCCAACTTGAACAAAGAGAGGGTTTGCGAGTGAGGTGCTATTGAAAAGTTCATTCTTATGTGCAGAGTAATGAATTGCAGATTGCAGATGTAAAACGTTATAAACCATAATAGGCCTAATTTTATTACCGAATAATTGAATATATATTACTTCGTTCATTTATGCATAGACAGTAGACATTTACTCATTTTCAAATATTTCACATAAGATATTCAATTTCGCTGATGCCGTACATACAGTACATGTATGTTGATCTATATTTTTTTTGCATGTTTCCATAATAAAACTGCTGAAACTGAACTGGAAACAAATATTGTAAGAAAGCAAGCACGAGTAGGGAATTGCATTTTGCCTTCTGAACCGTTTTCGCTTTAAACTCGAACTGACAACTTTTTTAATCACTCCCAAGGACAAGAAAAATTAGTGCTATGAAGTATTTTTTCTTAATTCATTGAATTGTCATATATATACATATATATATATTTTCTTTCAGGGGTGCTCAGCCACCTGTACCCCAGTCGCTAAGAAGTCTGTTCAGTTTGCCCGTAAGTATTCTCTATGGACACAGACATACGCGATCGCACTTGCATTTTATTATTATTTATATAGGCCTACATGTAGAAGAGTGAGTTACCTTTATTTCTTTATTATAGGCCTAATGGAGTTTAACTGGGCCGAAGTTATCATGATTTTATTTAAAAAACATATATCTTCCTTTATTCATTCATTTTTGTCATGTTACAGTAATTTGTAAAAAAAAAAAAAAATGGCTTTGATGCTGATGTGTGTCATGAACTTTGCTGAATTTATATCAAAATTATTTTCACCTTAGATAGACTTGTGTAGCCATCGTAAAGGATAATGATCTTAAGTAACCTTTTCAACTCATAGGGTGCATTCCCAGAGATTTAGATCGATCCAGAGATTTAGATTTAGATTGACCTAACTCCCTGGGGTTCCACGCTAAATTGCAGTCAGACGAGCGCGCACCATAGTTAATAACCCCCTTACAGCTTTTAGTAGGCGGGACAGACGCTTAAGCCCGCTAAGCTGACAGCAATCTAGTGAGACTCCCCACAGGGATAGATCGATCTAAAATCTATGGGAATGGGGTCATAGGATATAAATTTTGTTTTGATTTAAATTGACGTGATTTTCTTTCAATTTTGCACTATTTCTGTCTAAAACGCGTAGTTATCACAGAATTTCTTGGTATATTAAATTATAAGAAACCAGATAAGTAAAATCTCATATTTTCCTTCAATATTAGACGGCTAAAGTCCAGCTGGTGGATCGCAGTCAGACGGGCCTTCCGCCTGTTCACGAGGCAACCACCTGGAGCATGCGTAGAGCAGAAAACAGACCAACTTATGCGTACAGAGACAACACTCAGCCAATGACAAACATGACCATGATGGGAAGACCAGAAGAGCAAGCAGAAATTGCCCGTATTAAGTCCGATTATGGCCAGCCGTGGCCAAATACGAAATTATGGGAGACGTGGAAGCAGAGGGAGCAGTGTAAACCAGAAGTGGTTTACTCACACCAGTTGACTACGGACTACCATTACCCGTACGCACGCGCTCCTCACGTCCACTCGTCCTATATACCTGGCTATGTTTTTCCAAGTGACAGGTTCACCAATAGGGGGAGTTCCTGGAAAACACAGTTCAAAAGATCCAGTTGGTTAGAGAGTGGGAGTTTGTACGGGAAATAGTTTAAAGGACTCGGACTAGGTCGATTTTAGTATATAAGACGAAACAGAATTTCTTTAAAAGATTAATTCATTTCTTTAGAGACTATTTCATCTAAGCAAAAACCTGTTATCAAGGTCAAAACGCTTATTTATAAGAACGTTTCGTTTGCTTTCATCTTCTTATTTAAAAATACATAGTTCTAAATTATTTTTTAAATACTTTTTGAACAAGGGCGTGTGTCCCTTCGCTTTGTTAGAAAGTTATATTTTCTGCCAAATTTACCTATTGTTTGTTTTGAATTAAGTGTTCATTTATTTGCAGTTCTCGTCTTTTTTTCTTCCTAACAAATTTTATAGCTATCTCCGTTGTTCACCATTTAGCGAAGGGTTGGCTGGTGTCTTCGAGTTTATGGTGATTAACAATCAGATATGTGGAATTTGTTAAAGGTTGAAGGATGAACATGCAGTGTGGGAAACGTCCCCTTAACTAAAATTATTATTTATATATTTGTTTGAGTTACCTTGATTTTATTTATTATAATTTAGTGGAACTGCGTCGAAGTTATCATGACTGCTTATATTTTATTTCAAAACTTATTGTTTACTTTATTCATTCATTTTTTGTTATGTTTAAGAAAATTGTAAAAAAATGGCTTTGATGTCGATATGTGTCATGAACTTTGCTCAATTTATATTAAAAGTCATTTCATTTTAAATAGACTCGTGTAGACATCGTAAAGGATAATGACCTATAGTGTTTATGGTCATCTGCGTTTAATTAATTTTTAATGATCTCCTTAATTTGTAATTTCTTCTTTTTCTTTTACACAGAAAATTTTTGTGGTGATTTTAAACTTCTATTTAAATTTTAAAATGAAAGTCCGCTTACTTTGAAATTAATCAAGCCTCCTGGTATGTAGCCTACTGGTATGAGCTTGCTTGAATGGATGTTTGCTGTTTGTTATATGAATAAACAAGTGTTTATTTAAAAAGAAAGTAGTTGAAACTTGTCCGTCCTTGTTCTTCATTTCTGACATTATTCTTCTACTATTATATGCCTTTGTCCGAGTGACTTAACTCGCAGCATGTTTTGTCTAAGGGGGAACGAGAGAATACATAAGTTTTATACAGAATTGCGTTCTTTCTTGATATATAGGTCCAGTTTGTAAATTAAATGATACAAAATTACCCCATCTTTACTTTAAATTATGTGTACCATCATCATCATTATACATATATATATTTTAAGAATAGGAATGAAAACTGGGGAGCTTCAGCTAAGCATTCAAAGACATATTGTTTATCACATTTTAGAGAGCTGGGTTTCCAAGAAAGACCACGTAATATTTTAACCATCTCCCACCAAGTTCAACGTTCCCTCTCAGTTGTTCTTTCCACATTTCGGCTGAGTAAGTAAATACATGTCTTTCGAAAAAGGTTTGGATTGGCGCAACAAGGAGATCGTCCCCAACGAGAAATTCCAAGTCAAGAGTTTGTGCAAACTCGTCCTTCAGAAAATTCCAACACCACGGTCGATTTTTCATAACACTTTTACATACTAATTTTTGTAAAATAAGGTAATTCGCCGAGGTCTGCTGTGTAGTTAAAGTGCCAACCGCAAGTAAGGATTCCTCCCGTTCGCTCATCTCTCCATTTATATGGGGGTACTAAATACACATCACGAACCCTAGCCCCCTTCTCCAGAACTGGAGCCACTAATAGATCATCGCCAAGTAAAAATTCAGAATCAATTGTTAGAGATATATCGTCCGTTGCATTTATCCACCAGAGTGGTCGGATTATCGGTGCACCAGTTTTAAGGTAATCTTTGCCTAGGGTCACTAATTTGTCAGCATACTGCTCTCGAATTGCCATCATCCTGCGAGTGATATTTATAACATCGTCGTCGTACAACCACGGAGGTATAGAAAACTGTATAGAAGGTAGAAAGACGTTTACCTGCAGCCAGCGAACAAACAATTCCCGACTCGGATAGGCAAGTCCAGTCAAGCTACCATTATAAGCATTGCCTCCAATCATGTCGGGAAGGACAAAGGGATATCCCAACAGTCCAAATGTCAGGGCATCGGGGATAACTGTTCTCAGTCCATTGTCATAACCCCATGTTGAATCTTTGTCCATCATACGTACGAAAATGGGTAAGTGTTGGGTTCTCGTTCCAACACGTACTTCTTGGTGCCGAACTGTTGTGTCGGATTTGTACGCTATCTCAGCCCAAAGCTTAGTATAGGAATCTGGATTTGAATACAAAACATGCGTAAGATAATGTTTCGGTAGCCAATTCACTTCCCCTCCATCAAATTTGAAAGAACTTACTCCGTAAGTTGTTTGTAAGTTTTTCATTTTATTTAAAAACCATGCAGTTGCGTTGTGATTGGTAACGTCCAGCAACGCTGCAATCTTATTCCACCATGTAATCAACATTGGTAAGGGGTATTGAGGGATGGATCTGGTCCGATGATGTAAGAAAAAATTCTGATATAATCCCTGTTGAAAGCTTGTAGAGTCAATATTCATGAAAGGATGCACCCAAACCGTAACTCTAAATCCTTGTGTTCTCAACTTCTGAAACATTGCGGTCGTATTTGGAAACTTGTCTTTGTTAAATGTGTAATCCCCGTATTTAGGGGTCCAATCGTCATCAATTTCTATTTGCGAATGGGTAAAATTATTGTCCAGAATTTGTTTCGCATAATCAAGGACCATGGACTGGTTAATAGCTTGTTTGTATAAGGCCCAGGTTGACCAAATTGGAGCCACAAAGAGTTTTTCATCTGGTATCTCTCTGGGTTTCTCAAAAAAACGATTTGACATGTATTCGTGAGTAGTTTTAAGATTATTGCTCCTGCATATAGTATATTCTAAGGTTGGAAGCGTGTTCTTAACGTTGATATATGGCAGGTCCCATCTACTTTCAAGGCATATGTTTTTATCTGAACTGCTGTTGATGCTGACATACAAGGGCACGCTGGCGTTCACAAAAATACCAACCCCAGCAGATGAGAGCCAGTATCTTTCTATCACCCCGCCATATTGTCCAGCGTAAGAATCTCCGGCAACGTATGGTGCCATATCCATAGACCAAGAATCTATTGGCCAATATTGATAATACACCTGTGCGCCTCCATACCAATGGGACCCCTGCATTTCATAACAGTCTCTTAGGGATGACACATTACAACTTAGAGACTCCCACGACACCGTGAAGCATGTTACGCCCTCTTCTACTTGTGAGGAATTTATCCGCAATCTGGCATCTTTCCAGTCAAGGCAAACTCCTTCGGAATTACATACGCTAAAATCATTTTCCATTGAAAAATTAACTCCAAGATTACCTCGTAGGACTTCTTTCGATTTGGCATCGTCAGTCGCTTGCAAAGAGAACTGTCCATTTTTTCGTGGAGAAAAGGACGCCAATGGTAATTTAAAGGTATTGATGGGTTGTTCTGATTGAGTCGGTCGCGTAAAATACCACGAAATAATGCCGACTGCCACTGTCAAAATGACAATGATGCTTACAGCAACCAAACCCTTACATCTTCCGTTATTGCCCATGGTTTTCTGAAAAAGCAAGAAAAAACGAACTGTTTATCGACATTTTGACCGCGGTGCTCTACTTGAAAGAGCTGTACCACTGTAGTACAAAAGCTGTAGAAAAATACGTTGAAAAAAGGATGTTTTGGAAGGAGTAAAGACTAAATCGAAAATGAGCTTAAACTGTTAATTTCAGATATGTCAAATTCAACAATAAAAAGCTTTTTACCTTAAAAGTTGTATCCATGTTTCCTTTCTTGTGTTGCTATTGCCTTTTTCAGGTCACCTGTGGTGCACAGGGCTGATAAAACGACGTGTAGTGTATAACATACATCTTAACAAATAACGTGGTCTTATCAATTCAAGGACTGGTTAATCGAATAATTAGGGCAACGCGGGCGGCACTCGTTTCCTTTGTTTGCTCTTGTGTCGACAACTGTTATCGGTTATGCGATTTTTCTTCACGCGAGGTCTTAGGCCGCATTCACATCGAGAACAGCCGAGGCTCAACAAAGCCGAGACCTAAATATGGCGGACGTACATGAAAGGAAAACCGCCTAATCTTTTAATAGTCTCTCCGCCTCTCACACGCCTCCCCAAAAATTAAGTGCGCATGCTCATTGGTCTTGGGTCAGCTTACATCATCTCCGTAGATAGCCGATTCATTGATGCTCAACAGGCCAATTCATTCCTTTTTCGAAAGATTTTGAAAGATAACAGAACAGAAGAGCTTTTTTCCTTCGATCGCATCCAGCCGCCATGCTTTCTTCACCTCGAGTTTAATTGATGAGCATGCGCACTTAATATTTCTCAGGTGGCTTCCGGGCGAATAAAGCCGAGATTTAATGACTGTACCCAAGCAGGGACGACGCGTGGGGAGGCGTGTGAGAGGGGAGAGACTATAAAAAGATTAGGCGGTTTTCCTTTCATGTACGTCCGCCATATTTAGGTCTCGGCCGGCTTTGTTGAGCCTCGGCTCTTCTCGATGTGAATGCAGCCTTAGATTCTAAAATCTACAAGGGTGCAAGGGTAATCCCCAAAAAACATTTAAAAAACCGAAATTACATAATGCATTAAGAACCTAACACAGCTTCAGAAGATTTTCAATAACATCATTTTAATTCTTTAAGTAGGAGAAAGAATTACACCTTGGTAGAAAGATTGTTAAGGTTTTGATAACGAGAAAACAAAACAAATACAACTTATTTATCTGTATATAACATTTTAACATCACAAATGTCACATTCGAAAAAACTTCAGATGATTTCAAATAAAAACTTTCAGACATTCATTCTGAAAAGTACAATAAAATGCCACTTAAACGACTAAATAAGCAATATATATGTATAAGCGACTGTCACAACTTTTTCAATAGGTACCTATTTAACTGTGATGTAAAACTTTATCTAATTTCTCATTTCATATTTGATATAACTTAGGCTACATCTGTTGCAATTTTAAACAATACATTTTTCACAACTATTCACCTTTGGATCTTAGAAAAGAGCACTGAAGTGAGCATTATGCTTTAACTGTGTAAACAGCAATTTTATACTGAAAATAATCATTCATATCATATTTGAACATTTTAAAGAGACTGAACTCTTACATTTTACAGTTAGATTTTTTTATAACTCGTTTACTTTATAATTCTTGTAAAATAAGGCAATTCATCGAGGTCCGCCTTGTAGTTTAAGTGCCAACCGCAGTTAACGACACTTCCCGTTCGCTCATCTCTCCATTTATATGGGGGCACTAAATATACATCACGAGCCCTAGCCCCCTGTTCAAGCACTGGGGCTACTAACAGATCATCGCCAAGTAAAAATTCAGAATCAATTGTTAGAGATATATCGTCCGTCGCATTTATCCACCAGAGTGGTCGGATTATTGGCGCGCCTGATTCAGAAAACTGCTTGGCAAGAGAAATAATAGTGGGTGCGAATTTTTTATGAAGGTCAATCATTTTCTTTGAAATGTTGATTATCTCGCCATCATATGCCCAAGGCGGAATTGAAAATTGTAGAGAGGGGAGAAAAACGTTTGCCTCTAACCATCGTATGAATAGTTCACGGTCTGGGTAAGTTGACGCGTAGGCATTACCCCCTATCATATCTGGGAGAATAAACGGATAACCTAAGATGCCAAAGGTAAGTGCGTCTGGGATGAGCGTTTTAAGCCCGTTATTATACCCCCAGACAGAGTCTTTGTCTAACATCCGAGTGAATATTGGGGTATCCTGTGTCCTCCAACCAACGCGAACCTCTTGATGCCGTACGTCTGAATCGGCGTCGTATGCCATTTTAACATACATAGTTGAGTACAGACTCGGGTTAATACCGGGGGATGCCATGTAAAATGGAGAAGGGGGTAGCCATCCAGATTCCCCGGCATCGAATTTGAACGAGTTAATACCGTAAATGTTTTTCAGTCTGTGAAGTTTGGCTAGAAACCAATTTTGGGCGTTCATGTTTGTAGCATCTAATATAGCGCCAATACCGTCCCACCAGAATGTTGGCTTTGGTGTTCCACGTTTGGTTTTGACAAAGTATCCGTTTGCCTTACCCTCCTGATAAGACTGGGATAACAAGCTAGCAAATGGATGAACCCAAACTGTTACACGGAAGCCCTTGTTGTGTAGCTGTTGAACCATTCCTTTCGGATCAGGAAATTTTCTTGGCTCAAATGTCATGTCTCCGTAATGCGGTGTCCAGTTATCATCGATCTCTATCTGGGAATTACTGAAATTATATTTCAAAATAGCGTCTGCGAAATCAATCACAGTTGATTGATTGATCGTTTTTTTATATAATGCCCACGTTGACCATATCGGCGATGTAAACATTCGTTCATCTGGTATCTTATTTGGAGGTGGTAGACTGAAAAAGTTCTTCGCGGCAAAATTACGCATTTGCAGAGCGTTGTCCGAAGAGCAAATGTTATATTTAAGAAAAGGTGGCAAGTCATCATTATTTATATAGGGAGAGTTTTTGAATCGACCCATCAAACAGATCTTATGGTCACCACTTGCATTGACACTGACAAATAACGGGACGTCTTCAGGTACATAGATCCCAACGCCTCGAGAACCAAACACCAACCGCTCAGCCACGCTTCCATATGCAGTCTTCGCACTTATACTATCATGGGTAACGAATGGAGCGAAGTTCATAGACCAATTTTCTATGGGCCACTTTTGGTCGAAGACTTGTCCAAATCCATACCAATGTGCCCCAGACATATTGTAACAATCAGTAAAATCATTAATGTCATATGTCAAGGCCTCCCACGAAACTGAAGTGCAACGCACTTCCTTAGTCAAAACAGTTTCTTCCATTACAAGCCTTGCTTTATTTTTCCACTCTAAACATGTTCTCTTTTCTCTGCTTCTACTGCACTGAGAAATAGGTGCAGTGCCATTTGCCAAACTGATACCGACGCAGCCCGACAAAATGACCGAAGGCTCGAAGTCGTAACTAGTCTTTCTTGCGTGCAAATTCATAACCTGGGATTGCGGTAGGTATGACACAGCTCCAGCATTATATTGAATGTGCTTTGCACATGCAAGGTTCGTCAATAATTGTTCGTTTTGGCTTGGGGCCAGCAGAAAAACATTGAACATTACCGTCATAGATAACAGTAGTGAACCAACAACGACTGCACTCAATGAAAGCATGACTACAAAGGTCAAAGGTCTATTGGGCTGTGGAAGATACCGATGATCTGGACTTTTTCCGAAAGACAACTGTAAATATTGAAATAAAAAAAGCTGTTTGTATAGCTCGTTTTAAACATTTGATAAATAATTGTTATAACATATACTTAATTATGTTTTTAAAGACACAAATGTATGTGATTAAAGCCTCAACATGATAAGTACTTATCCAAAAGCTATGAAAATAAAATGGTACAATATGAAAGAAATCAAGTATTATCAACACGTATGGGTTCTATCACTATCTTAGCAAAACATTAATATAGTTTAGCGTTTGGAGAGAATGTCACCAAAATATATTTTTAAGAATGCAATTACTTTCGTTAAAATAATCCGATCATGCTGATCTTCGAAAGGTAGGCCTACCTGCAATTTACCACACAAGCCGTTTAGTATATCTTAAATAAAATGAAAAACACTGTTTTTTTCACTCATAGACTAAGCAACACAAGTGTTGGGCGGCGACAGCAAACACAGCGATCAGAAAATATACAGAATATACAGTGCCCGTATATAAAATATTTAGAGAGAGGGTAAAAGACATTTATGTTTTAAGTATAATTATTTAATAAGCTATTCCGAACACTATACGCAATGTCTTAATGATCCCTGCTTAAGGATATTCCCTTACCTCGGCTTTCTGTGGGATGGTATCAAGGAAAAGCACATTTTTATCCTCCATTCTGCACAAATAGCCTACCTGCTAAAACTGGAATTGAACTGACAGTCTGTGGACCACTAGATCACATTGCCTACTGTCATATGGCGTTACGAACAATGGGACTTAAAGGGATAATAACTCTTCGTTTCGGCCAAAAAATGAATTTTCCTGGAGTAAACAACAATTTTCCCATACTTACCAATGGTTAATGAATTCCTTTTTACATTCAAAGTTAGTCCTTGGTTTTTTTCTAAAAAGTTTGGTTTTTTGTTAAAATCTCTTAAGAGATTTTAACAGAGTATAGCCATCAATGGAGGTCACGTGGTCTAAAGACAAGCTCAGATATCAGAATAATAGCTATCACTGCCGTTTTTGTGGTAAAACAGAATATATTATATTTCTATGAGTTATTCACAATGTTTTTATTGTAAAATATATATCTCATACGAAGAGTTATTATCCCTTTAAACGTTTGCATACTGATGTAATGTGGTACAAACTATTATCAGTGGCAGAACAGGATTTTGATAATTTTGTACCCCAAACTGATAGGGGAGACCTTTATCCATCAAACGCTCTATGTAACCATCCAGTACCTTTGAAAATGACATACTGAGTAGATGTTAAAAACAGAAGTGAGTTTCATTAAAACTAACTCGAGCTGACTTTCGCCATATGCAACTGCCGACAGACTTCAAGAAAAATGATTTGATTAGAAAAAACTAACGTTTCACTGGTTCAATAACTTTAATATTTACTTTATTTTTTTCCATTACTCTTTCGATGCCGTTTGCTAGGGTTTATCACTATCACGCTGCTCGACATTAATGCAATCTAAACCAGCAGATAGCTGTATTATCTTTTGCGTGTAATGCAGCATTACTACCGAGTGTTTGTGAAGTTTCCTTTGGGAACATTCTTAATTCCTCTGTCAGTATTTCAAACTTAAAATTTTGGTCACAGGGAGGTGGTTGTCACATGATACTACAGTAGATCTTCTATCCACGTGTAGGAATTGCACGTATTATACGCGTATACAATTTGTCACTTTCTTTCATTTGATATATTTATGAAAGCCAGATTTGTGGCATCGAATGAAATTAAATATCAACCAGAGAGATTTTGGGAGAAGGGATGGTGTTGACCAAATCAAATCAAATAAGAATACTAAAATGTTTAAATATTTTGAAAACATCAATGTATTTCAGTTTAAATTTTACTCCTTGTACAATATAATTTGCACCTTGTGATATAATTTGCATTAATCACAGTATGCTTAGTCTCATCCACTATCATTGTTATAATGTTTAGCCTTATTCAAAGCCTTCAAAATAGAGTTAACATACCAAAATTGCAAGGTTCACATTCCGTTTCACACTATAAACTTGATAACCAAGAATGTGTTAGAACTACTATAAGCTACACAAAATGGAACAATATTGCACACTTTTCTTCAAATATAAAATATGTAAAGTTTCAGAGACAAGCGTGATAAGGTAAGGTAATCATTTTGTTATAAGTGTATCTGAAAGAGAAAACAATTTAAAGTAACTTTTCCTTTAACTGTATGGCAACTAATCAAAAAAAAAAAAAAAATCAGCATTCAAGGAGTCTTTGGAAAGGCACAAAACTAGGCAATGTGTGAAACTACACGGATTTTACATTGGCAAGTGTGAAAAATAACTCTGTTTCAGCATCTGATTTCACATTTACAAAGTGCATTCTGTTCAACTAATGCATCATGGGTACCGTATGGACAAGTACATTGACATGATTGGCTACCCTTGTCATGTCAAGACTGCTCTAGGTTGTTCTGCATACAAATGAAAAATCTGCATTACACATTAGAAACATACGCAAGTTCTCTTTATGAAAAATACAACTCAGTGTCTCTCTACATGTAAAAAGTTAACAGTATGCTGACAGACAGGAGAGCACAAATTAAAACCTGTTAAGATATGATGTGAGCACATCATTGCATGGAAAAAAAACATGCACACTTCAAGAATCAACAGTCATTTTGTTACAACAAAAGTTACCTTATGGCTGAAAAGTTAGAGGAATAAAATAAGTATTATCAGGTCAATCTTAGCAGCAAAAATGTTACATAAGCAGGATTTAAGTTAAGTACATTATGTCAATACATCAGTGCTTTTCAACAAAGTCCTCTAATTTTGCTGGTACATGTCCTTTGTATGGCAACTTTTGAGTTCTGATCACTTTGGCAGCCAGACACTGTAAGGAGATATATTCCAGTGGTGAACACACGTCTCCAATAGTGGCATTCTTCATGAGCTGCATAGGTGTACGCCCAGAAGCATTACACATGTCTAAGTGAGCACCATGGTTCAGCAATACACGCATCACATCTAGCTTGCACGGTTTGTTGGCAGCTGCTATGTGCAGTGCTGTGTTGCCTTCAACATCAACATCTTCCAATGACGCCCCAACCTCCATTAGCAGGTTGGCCACTTCTGCAGAGGGAAAAGAGCAGACAGGGTATCGCCCAACTGTAGTTGTGTCTTTAGAACATGCAAGATGCAATGGAGTCTGGCCCTTCTGACCTCTAGGTTTCAGTTGTACCAGCTTGTAGATGGATTTTTTGAATGAAAATTCCTGCTCTGGAGAAAGTTTTTTCTTCATGCGTGACATAAGGCACACCAGATGCATCATTATTGTCAGGGTACGGTTAAAGTGAGAACCATCCTTTTCAGAAGGCAACATTCGGGCTTTCTCCTCAGGAGTCAGCTTAGCCAAGTAAGCCATTCCATGTTCTATCTCTGCTACACCTTTTTCAAACACTGACATGATGTCATTGAACTCTACAGGATGAGCTGGACGACCTCTTCCATCAGACATCCAAAAAGAGAAAAGTTCAGCAAAGGAAAGGAAACTGCTCTGAGTCATGGGGCTCAAAGGTTCTAGCATTTTTTGTTGCATATCTAGTGCATACATCCATAGGACAATACAGCGGTCAAAATTCCCCATATCAGCATAAACGGCACCACGATAACGGATATAATAGGAAGTGTCTGGATGAGCTGGACCAAGAATTCTCTCACGGACTAAAAGGGCTTGCATACGCATGTCATCCGGATCTGAAATCAATTCGTCCAGCTCCTCATATGTCTTCACCTCAACTGCATTCTCATAAGCTGCAACAACTGAGTCTGTTGTTGGTTTAGGTATTATGCTTTTGTGGTCTCGATGTCTCTCATCCAGTGCCATTCTCCAGTACTGAAGGGCGCCTAGCATGTCACGTTTTTTGTCCACGTAAGTTGCTCCCAGCAATTCCAATGCATCTATTTTTTCTTCTCTGGCAATGTCAGATCTAGTAAGTAAGTACTCAACCACCTTTGTTTGCCCAGTGACACTGGCAGCCAGGAGAGGAGTCATACCATAAGCATCTTTGTCCATTCGAGCATCATGACTGAGGAGTAATTTCATAATTTCAACACTTCCTGACTCAGCACAATCATGCAGGGCTGTATTACCTAGGAAAAATGACATTAAAGCTTAAAATACAATAGAAATAAGTTACACTTTGAATAATTGTGTAAAGTTTAAATGTTAGCACATACTTTCAATCTGATTCAAATATCATTAAAGAAAATTTTGGGACCTGTTACAAAAAGTAAAAAGTAATTACAAGGTCAAAAAATACAGTCAACTGTCAAATGCTTTATTATTGTATCTAAAGAGCACAGGGGTCGAAACAGACGGTCGCCCACTCGCCAATGCGACTTAGAAACGTCCCGGGCGACTACCTGTCAGGGGTACTGGTCCGTTTTGGCGACCGCTGAAAAGTGCCAAACATCGTTGCCAAACCCACAGTCTGCGACGTTAAGCACTAGCCGGAGGCAATTGCCCACCTAAAGTGGCACCGGGCTAGTAAAAAAGTTGAAATTTTAATAAGCACTAGCTGTAATTTTGAACCTATATTAACACTCAGTAAGATTTCAAAAATATGAGTCGCCAGTCTTCTTTGTTCCTGCCTCTAATTTGACGTTTCTAGATAGTATGATATGCCTCTCAGTTGAAAAAAAATCACACCTAGCTCAAACTACTGAATATTGATTAGTTGCTATAAATAACTTCACTGTAGTTATTAATAGTACCNCTGACATCGAGAACAGCCGAGGCTCAACAAAGCCGAGACCTAAATATGGCGGACGTACATGAAAGGAAAACCGCCTAATCTTTTAATAGTCTCTCTGCCTCTCACACGCCTCCCCAAAAATTAAGTGCGCATGCTTATTGGTCAAGGGTCAGCTTACATCATCTCCGTAGATAGCAGATTCATTGATGCTCTACAGGCCAATTCATTCCTTTTTCGTCTCTGTTTTGAAAGATAACAGAACAGAAGAGCTTTTTTCCTTCGATCGCATCCAGCCGCCATGCTTTCTTCACCTCGAGTTTAATTGATGAGCATGCGCACTTAATATTTCTCAGGTGGCTTCCGGGCGAATAAAGCCGAGATTTAATGACTGTACCCAAGCAGGGACGACGCGTGGGGAGGCGTGTGAGAGGCGGAGAGACTATAAAAAGATTAGGCGGTTTTCCTTTCATGTACGTCCGCCATATTTAGGTCTCGGCCGGCTTTGTTGAGCCTCGGCTCTTCTCGATGTGAATGCAGCCTTAGATTCTAATATCTACAAGGGTACAAGGGTAATCTCAAAAAAACATAAAAAAACGAAATTACAAAATGCATTAAGAACCTAACACAGCTTCAGAAGATAATAACATCATTTTAGTTCTTTAAGTAGGAGAAAGAATTACACCTTAGTAGAAAGATTGTTAAGGTTTTGATAACGAGAAAACAAAACAAATACAATTTATTTATCTGTATATAACATTTTAACATCACAAATGTCACATTCGAAAAAAACTTCAGTTGATTTCAAACAAAAAACTTTCAAACATTCATTTTTCAGACATTCATTCTGAAAAGTACAATAAAAATGCCACTTAAACGACTAAATAAGCAATATATATATATGTATAAGCGACTGTCACAACTTTTTCAATAGGTACCTATTTTACTGTGATGTAAAGCTTTATCTAATTTCTCATTTCATATTTGATATAACTTAGACTACATCTGTTGCAATTTTAAACAATACATTTTTCACAACTATTCACCTTTGGATCTTAAGTGAGCATTATGCTTTAACTGTGTAAACAGCAATTTTATACTGAAAATAATCATTCATATCATATTTGAATATTTCAAAGAGACTGAAGTCTTACATTTTACAGTTCGATTATTTTATAACTCGTTTACTTTATAATTCTTGTAAAATAAGGCAATTCATCGAGGTCCGCCTTGTAGTTTAAGTGCCAACCGCAGTTAACGACACTTCCCGTTCGCTCATCTCTCCATTTATATGGGGGCACTAAATATACATCACGAGCCCTAGCCCCCTGTTCAAGCACTGGGGCTACTAACAGATCATCGCCAAGTAAAAATTCAGAATCAATTGTTAGAGATATATCGTCCGTCGCATTTATCCACCAGAGTGGTCGGATTATTGGCGCGCCTGATTCAGAAAACTGCTTGGCAAGAGAAATAATAGTGGGTGCGAATTTTTTATGAAGGTCAACCATTTTCTTTGAAATGTTGATTATCTCGCCATCATATGCCCAAGGCGGAATTGAAAATTGTAGAGAGGGGAGAAAAACGTTTGCCTCTAACCACCGTATGAATAGTTCACGGTCTGGGTAAGTTGACGCGTAGGCATTACCCCCTATCATATCTGGGAGAATAAACGGATAACCTAAGATGCCAAAGGTAAGTGCGTCTGGGATGAGCGTTTTAAGCCCGTTATTATACCCCCAGACAGAATCTTTGTCTAACATACGAGTGAATATTGGGGTATCCTGTGTCCTCCAACCAACGCGAACCTCTTGATGCCGTACGTCTGAATCGGCGTCGTATGCCATTTTAACATACATAGTTGAGTACAGACTCGGGTTAATACCGGGGGATGCCATGTAAAATGGAGAAGGGGGTAGCCATCCAGATTCCCCGGCATCGAATTTGAACGAGTTAATACCGTAAATGTTTTTCAGTCTTTGAAGTTTGGCTAGAAACCAATTTTGGGCGTTCATGTTTGTAGCATCTAATATAGCGCCAATACCGTCCCACCAGAATGTTGGCTTTGGTGTTCCACGTTTGGTTTTGACAAAGTAACCGTTTGCCTTACCCTCCTGATAAGACTGGGATAACAAGCTAGCAAATGGATGAACCCAAACTGTTACACGGAAGCCCTTGTTGTGTAGCTGTTGAACCATTCCTTTCGGATCAGGAAATTTTCTTGGCTCAAATGTCATGTCTCCGTAATGCGGTGTCCAGTTATCATCGATCTCTATCTGGGAATTACTGAAATTATATTTCAAAATAGCGTGTGCGAAATCAATCACAGTTGATTGATTGATCGTTTTTTTATATAATGCCCACGTTGACCATATCGGCGATGTAAACATTCGTTCATCTGGTATCTTATTTGGAGGTGGTAGACTGAAAAAGTTCTTCGCGGCAAAATTGCGCATTTGCAGAGCGTTGTCCGAAGAGCAAATGTTATATTTAAGAAAAGGTGGCAAGTCATCATTATTTATATAGGGAGAGTTTTTGAATCGACCCATCAAACAGATCTTATGGTCACCACTTGCATTGACACTGACAAATAACGGGACGTCTTCAGGTACATAGATCCCAACGCCTCGAGAACCAAACACCAACCGCTCAGCCACGCTTCCATATGCAGTCTTCGCACTTATACTATCATGGGTAACGAATGGAGCGAAGTTCATTGACCAATTTTCTATGGGCCACTTTTGGTCGAAGACTTGTCCAAATCCATACCAATGTGCCCCAGACATATTGAAACAATCAGTAAAATCATTAATGTCATATGTCAAGGCCTCCCACGAAACTGAAGTGCAACGCACTTCCTTAGTCGAAACAGTTTCTTCCATTACAAGCCTTGCTTTATTTTTCCACTCTAAACATGTTCTCTTTTCTCTGCTTCTACTGCACTGAGAAATAGGCGCAGTGCCATTTGCCAAACTGATACCGACGCAGCCCGACAAAATGACCCAAGGCTCGAAGTCGTAACTAGTCTTTCTTGCGTGCAAATTCATAACCTGGGATTGCGGTAGATACGACACAGCTCCAGCATTATATTGAATGTGCTTTGCACATGCGAGGTTCGTCAATAATTGTTCGTTTTGGCTTGGGGCCAGCAGAAAAACATTGAACATTACCGTCATAGATAACAGTAGTGAACCAACAACGACTGCACTCATTGAAAGCATGACTACAAAGGTCAAAGGTCTATTGGGCTGTGGAAGATACCGATGATCTGGACTTTTTCCGAAAGACAACTGTAAATATTGAAATAAAAAAGCTGTTTATATAGCTACATTTGATAAATAATTGTTATAACATATACTTAATTATGTTTTTAAAGACACAAATGTATGTGATTAAAGCCTCAACATGATAAGTACTTATACAAAAGCTATGAAAATAAAATGGTACAATTGGAAAGAAATCAAGTCTGACTGACCGTATTATCAACACGTATGGGTTCTCTCACTATCTTAGCAAAACATTAATATAGTTTAGCACTTATGGAGAGAATGTCACCAAAATATATTTTTAAGAATGCAATTACTTTCGTTAAAATAATCCGATCATGCTGATCTTCGAAAGGTACCTGCAATTTACCACACAAGCCGTTTAGTATATCTTAAATAAAATGAAAAACAGTTTTTTTCACTTATAGACACAAGTGTTGGGCGGCGACAGCAAACACAGCGATCAGAAAATATACAGAATATTCAGTGCCCGTATATAAAATATTTTGAGAGAGGGTAAAAGACATTTATGTTTTAAGTATAATTATTTAATAAGCTATTCCGAACACTATACGCAATGTCTTAATGATCCCTGCTTTATTCTAAGGATATTCCCTTACCTCGGCTTTCTGTGGGATGGTATCAAGAAAAAGCACATTTTTATCCTCCATTCTGCACAAATAGCCTACCTGCTAAAACTGGAATTGAACTGACAGTATGTGGACCACTAGATAACATTGCCTACTGTCATATGGCGTTACGAACAATGGGACTTAAACGTTTGTATACTGATGTAATGTGGTATAAACTAGTATCAGTTGCAGAACAGGATTTTGATAATTCTGTACCCCAAACTGATAGGGGAGACCTTTATCCATCAAACGCTCTATGTAACCATCCAGTACCTTTGAAAATGACATACTGAGTAGATGTTAAAAACAGAAGTGAGTTTCATTAAAGCTCTAATTTGAGCTGACTTTCGCCATATGCAACTGCCGACAGACTTCAAGAAAAATGATTTGATTAGAAAATACTAACGTTTTACTGGTTCAATAACTTTAATATTTACTTTATTTTTTTTCCATTACTCTTTCGATGCCGTTTGCTGGGGTTTATCACTATCACGCTGCTCGACATTAATGCAATCTAAACCAGCAGATAGCTGTATTATCTTTTGCGTGTAATGCAGCATTACTACCGAGTGTTTGTGAAGTTTCCTTTGGGAACATTCTTAATTCCTCTGTCAGTATTTCAAACTTAAAATTTTGGTCACAGGGAGGTGGTTGTCACGTGATACTACAGTAGATCTTCTATCCCCGTGTAAGAGTTGCACGTATTATACGCGTATACAATTTGTCACTTTCTTTCATTTGATATGTTTATGAAAACCAGATATGTGGCATCGAATGCAATTAAATATCAACCAGAGAGATTTTGGGAGAAGGGATGGTGTTGACCAAATCAAATCAAATAAGAATACTAAAATGTTTAAATATTTTGAAAACATCAATGTATTTCAGTTTAAATTTTACTCCTTGTACTATATAATTTGCACCTTGTGATATAATTTATCATTGTTATAATGTTTAGCCCTATTCAAAGCCTTCAAAATAGAGTTAACATACCAAAATTGCAAGGTTCACATTCCGTTTCACACTATAAACTTGATAACCAATAATGTGTTAGAACTACTATAAGCTACACAAAATGGAACAATATTGCACACTTTTCTTCAAAATAAAATATGTAAAGTTTCAGAGACAAGCGTGATAAGGTAAGGTAATCATTTTGTTATAAGTGTATCTGAAAGAGAAAACAATTTAAAGTAACTTTTCCTTTAACTGTATGGCAACTAATCAAAAACAAATTCAGCATTCAAGGTGTCTTTGGAAAGGCACAAAACTAGGCAATGTGTGAAACTACACGGATTTTACATTGGCAAGTGTGAAAAATAACTCTGTTTCAGCATCTGATTTCACATTTACAAAGTGCATTCTGTTCAACTAATGCATCATGGGTACCGTATGGACAAGAACATTGACATGATAGGCTACCCTTGTCATGTCAAGACTGCTCTAGGTTGTTCTGCATACAAATGAAAAATCTGCATCACACATTAGAAACATACGCAAGTTCTCTTTATGAAAAATACAACTCAGTGTCTCTCTACATGTAAAAAGTTAACAGTATGCTGACAGACAGGAGAGCACAAATTAAAACCTGTTAAGATATGATGTGAGCACATCATTGCATGGAAAAAAAAAACATGCACACTTCAAGAATCAACAGTCATTTTGTTACAACAAAAGTTACCTTATGGCTGAAAAGTTAGAGGAATAAAATAAGTATTATCAGGTCAATCTTAGCAGCAAAAATGTTACATAAGCAGGATTTAAGTTAAGTACATTATGTCAATACATCAGTGCTTTTCAACAAAGTCCTCTAATTTTGCTGGTACATGTCCTTTGTATGGCAACTTTTGAGTTCTGATCACTTTGGCAGCCAGACACTGTAAGGAGATATATTCCAGTGGTGAACACACGTCTCCAATAGTGGCATTCTTCATGAGCTGCATAGGTGTACGCCCAGAAGCATTACACATGTCTAAGTGAGCACCATGGTTCAGCAATACACGCATCACATCTAGCTTGCACGGTTTGTTGGCAGCTGCTATGTGCAGTGCTGTGTTGCCTTCAACATCAACATCTTCCAATGATGCCCCAACCTCCATTAGCAGGTTGGCCACTTCTGCAGAGGGAAAAGAGCAGACTGGGTATCGCCCAACTGTAGTTGTGTCTTTAGAACATGCAAGATGCAATGGAGTCTGACCCTTCTGACCTCTAGGTTTCAGTTGTACCAGCTTGTAGATAGATTTTTTGAATGAAAATTCCTGCTCTGGAGAAAGTTTTTTCTTCATGCGTGACATAAGGCACACCAGATGCATCATTATTGTCAGGGTACGATTAAAGTGAGAACCATCCTTTTCAGAAGGCAACATTCGGGCTTTCTCCTCAGGAGTCAGCTTAGCCAGGTAAGCCATTCCATGTTCTATCTCTGCTACACCTTTTTCAAACACTGACATGATGTCATTGAACTCTACAGGATGAGCTGGACGACCTCTTCCATCAGACATCCAAAAAGAGAAAAGTTCAGCAAAGGAAAGGAAACTGCTCTGAGTCATGGGGCTCAAAGGTTCTAGCATTTTTTGTTGCATATCTAGTGCATACATCCATAGGACAATACAGCGGTCAAAATTCCCCATATCAGCATAAACGGCACCACGATAACGGATATAATAGGAAGTGTCTGGATGAGCTGGACCAAGAATTCTCTCACGGACTAAAAGGGCTTGCATACGCATGTCATCTGGATCTGAAATCAATTCGTCCAGCTCCTCATATGTCTTCACCTCAACTGCATTCTCATAAGCTGCAACAACTGAGTCTGTTGTTGGTTTAGGTATTATGCTTTTGTGGTCTCGATGTCTCTCATCTAGTGCCATTCTCCAGTACTGAAGGGCGCCTAGCATGTCACGTTTTTTGTCCACGTAAGTTGCTCCCAGCAATTCCAATGCATCTATTTTTTCTTCTCTGGCAATGTCAGATCTAGTAAGTAAGTACTCAACCACCTTTGTTTGCCCAGTGACACTGGCAGCCAGGAGAGGAGTCATACCATAAGCATCTTTGTCCATTCGAGCATCATGACTGAGGAGTAATTTCATAATTTCAACACTTCCTGACTCAGCACAATCATGCAGGGCTGTATTACCTAGGAAAAATGACATTAAAGCTTAAAATACAATAGAAATAAGTTACACTTTGAATAACTGTGTAAAGTTTAAATGTTAGCACATACTTTCAATCTGATTCAAATATCATTAAAGAAAATTTTGGGACCTGTTGCAAAAAGTAAAAAGTAATTACAAGGTCAAAAAATACAGTCAACTGTCAAATGCTTTATTATTATATCTAAAGAGCATTTCTATTTTATTTACAACACCCAAGTCTTTTAATTGCAGTCAGTCTAGTATCCTTGCAGGGAACTTTAAAACGTTAAACTTAACATGAAAAAATATTTAAACTGCCATGTGTTTTATTGGCCAGAGAGAGAGAGAGAGAGAGAGAGAGAGAGAGAGAGAGAGAGAACACACCCTTCACACTTTTTCTATTCACATCAGCTCCAAGGCTCAGCAAGAACTTCACAATCTTGTAATGTCCTTTATAGCAAGATATCATAAGGCATGTATGACCATGGCGATTGGCTATTTCAATATTGGCCTTTCTCTCCACAAGGTATTTCACAATCTCAAAGTGGCCATCGAAACAAGCAGCACGTAATGGTGTAGAGTTTGTCAGTGTGGTGCTGTTTACGCCAGCCCCTCCTTCAATCAGGAACTTGGCAACCTCAAAATGACCAGCTGCAGCTGCGCACCACAGGGGAGGGGCACCCTCTATCGTTTCACCATCGAATGTTACCTGTCCCACTTGCTCTAACTCGGCCCTACAGTGTTTCACAAGGTACTCTACAACTTCACTGTGTCCATTTCGACTTGCTGCGATAAGTGGAGTTGCACCATTAGTCTTTGCATGGATGAGCTTTTGCACTTCTTCTTTCGGACGATTATCCAGGAAAATGCGCAGTCTGCTTACTTTTCCGTCTCGAGCAGCGTTATACACAACACTTTTGAACTCCATTGTACTTCTAATGGCGTCTCAGTCGGTTAAAGTCTGCCAGTTAGAAAAAAATTAATTCTTTCAGCATTTTCAAAGAGAAAAATTAACTAAAACCATACTTGTGTTTGGGAGACGATTCCTGAAAATATGGCGACATTTTCCTCACGACGCGTCGCTTTTTCCAAGACAAGCTATCGGCATATCAAATTCCTTCAAACACTGACCCCTATCGTCAAATTGTAAGGTGGAAAAAACTGAAAGAGAAAGTTGAAAGAGTGACACTTTTGGCTTGCTATATATCTATAAATTATTTGATTTCGGCTGGGCTCAAAGCTTGCGCTTCAAACAGTTAAGTAACGTTTACTTTAACGCTATTCTTTGTGCTGTTCGAGCTTACGATAACTTCAAAAACAGATCTAACATCAATGTGATGGCGTGGTTAGAAATTGGGATGGGAATTTCCCAAGGAATGTGAATCTACCGGAAGTTGGACTGGAAGAATAGTAGAGACATTTCAGTTGGTATTGTTGTTCTTTTCTGAACTGTTAACTTATCTTCGGAATCTGTCATGTACTTTAAATGCTAAGGCTACACATATTGGTTAATATTCCATTTACTAGTATACTCCCAGTATGTTTTTTATGTATGAAACTTGCATTTGAATCTTGACATTAGCAGGTGACAAGATGACCGCTGCTTCATTAGGAAATGACATCCCATTCCACCAGATTAAACCTGAAGAAATCCAAGTTGAAAAGAGTCAGAAAATGCTGCTTGGTCAAGGTGGTTTTGGGGCTGTGTATAAAGGGATCTATTTAGCTCATGGTGCAAAACAAATTGCTGTCAAAGTCATGCACACACAATTTATTCCAGAGGGAGGGTTATTAAAACAGTAAGTGCTTCATTGATACAGGTAAAAGAAACACATTAATTAAAAGAATATAGGATGATGCCACTTATTTGGACAGTTTTTTTCCATAATTTATCTGGAGATGTATGTTGTTTCATTGTTTTTTTTTATTGTTCTGTTTTATTCCTATCCATAATGTTCTTGGTTCTTCACTTAAAATTTTGATGGAAGGCATTATTTGTATTTTTACCCCTTTCATTTTAGTAAGAAAAAAGCTATTAAAATAATGTTTCTGGGAATTGTGTGTACTATTGGATTTGTGAATCCTTTTAAGTATTACAGACAATTCTTGCTCAGTAAATAAAATTATTTACAGAATTGAAAATGAGCTGTTAAAGGAGGCAAAGAATATGTATGCAGTTCGAAGTGAACATGTTGTTGCAATCTATGGCATGATTGTTGTTCCTGAAGACAAAGAATATGCTTTAGTGATGGAGTTCATGGAGCACGGATCTTTGGACAATCTGATGAAGAAAGTTGATTACAATATACCATGGCCAGTTAGAATGAACATGCTCACTCATGTGGCTTCTGGTCTTGTCTGGCTGCATGACAAAAAGATGGTTCACAGAGACATCAAAATCCAAAACATTTTGGTTAACAAACATTTTGTTTGCAAGGTAAGAGTGAAGGTGGTTTTTAACTGTAACTATCAAAAATAAGGGGCATTCACATCTAGCATGTTTTATGTTATAACTTCTCCCATATTTGTTATAGTTATATATGATGAAATGGTGTGTTTTTCTTATTTCTTTTATGTTATTATTTGTTTTTAAAGAGATGTAGCATTGCATGCAAGTTAATCCTATAGGATAATTTTTAAAAACATATATCTGATTAACTACGGTACTGTTCTACTTTCTGGAGATATTCCTTTGGGTGTCAATTTTTATACCATTATGCCTTTCTGTACATGCACATGTCACATCATCATTTAGAGTTAAATATTTATGTGGCAAAAATATGCATCAAGGTAAGAAAAAAAAAAACAATTAAAAAATCAGATATGCACAGATGTGTCTGTACATATAGCCATTACCATCATGGCCGTCATCGCCGTCGCCATACACTTTCACCGATAACATGATCAGTAGAATACCATTTTACCTATTGGCTTCAAACTTACAGAACTGATGGGTCAAGTTTGAAAATCAGCATGAACAGGCCATTTTCCTAAATGTTATGCGTTTTTTTTTGTTTTTTTTTTTTGCTTTTTTTGGCATACATGCAACATGGATAACACGATAAGTGGAAAACCATTATACCTTTTGGCTTGAAACTTACATGTCGGCCTATCTTCTTGATCAGGAAAAGCAGTCTAATTGGCTTCTTTTACTGTTGTACATTTTTGTGACATTTTTATCTTTATCATCTTTCATGAAGCCCAGTGGTAATCAAATTTACTAAGTGTCCATGTTATTAATTGTAGATAATTAAAAATTAATGGTAATTATACAGTTATTCATTATGTAATATTGCATCAAAATTGACAAAAAAAAAAAAACTTCATGCACTGTCACCACAAACGTTATGAAAAGAAAACTGTGTTATTTATTTATTTATTTTTTTTACTTACAAGAATGATTCTTAGGATTGTCATACAGCTCAACTTAGAAAACCAGCTCTATTGGATTGTTATTTTTTTTATTGAATTTATGCAATTTTTTGTGAATTTTTCATTTTTCTCATTCTGGCATTTTTAAGTATGAACTTGGGCCTGAAGCCTTATGCATTTACTTTCATCAGTATTACCTGTTGTGCATAATTAATATTTGATGTTGACTATGCAGTTAGGCATAATGTATTATTGCATCAGCATTGACAGTATCCTATTTTGTACATTATTATTTTCTACTTTTTGTCTGTACATTTGAGAGCTTTGCTGCCTTGTTACATATCAGATGTATGAAGATATCATTGGTCCCAAAACTGCCAAATAATGATTTTGTTTTACTTGAAATAAAATGGGCTTTGACTGTAATTTTGGGTCATATTTGCAAAAATTACATATTTTGTTGCAGTTTCCTTTTATCTTGTAAAATCCAAAATAAGTCCTCACAGTGTGTTTGGTGTTGAGAAGGATAAATTGGCAGTTTTCTTCGTAAAGATTTTTTTGTGAACCATTTTACCTAGACTCCTCGTAGCTTGTTTTTCTTTGTTGCTGTTAGTCTCTATATATATTGTACTAGCAGTGTTTTAAATTCTGTTGTCTGTATATGCCAAAGCCTGGCAAATTAAAAATGTTGTACATTCTGTTTTGAACTTGAAAATATACCCTACTAAAATGGAGAACTATCAGTAAAAGCACCACAAATATGTTTGTGATTATAAAATTATATATCTGGAAGTTTGATGATTTTTGCCTATTAAAAAGACCGGGTAATTATCATAATAATTCCATTCATCTCAGTTCATTTAGTGAATTTACCAATTTATAATATTGCACAATCTAGCCTATAGTTGCAAATAAACATTATTGTAATTTTTTTGTATAGCTTTTTACCCTTTTTTTTTTGCAGATCTCAGACTTTGGCATGGCAACTCTACAGAGGATCACACAGAAACAGTTTTCATCCAGAAGTGGTGGAAATGAAGGAACTGTGACACATACAGCACCAGAATTTTTCCAAAATATTAGAACCAAGCCGAGTGAAAAGACAGATGTGTTTAGGTATTTTAGTAGTGCATCAAATAAATACTATAGTTTTTCCCCCATTTGGAGTGCTTTATTAACATAAGATTTCCAGGTCACTGACAAGACTGAAGTTTCTACTGTGTTCTTTATGTAATGAATTTTTACACAGAAAATTGCCCTTAATTTTATTAACATCTTTGTTAGTCAATAACAACTAAACTGAATTCATCTGTGTACTTTTGAGAACTACCTGCATTCAGAGGATGACAACTGATGGAATATAATGAAAATGTTTTGTAATACCAGTCTTCAACATAGATATATTTTTATTTACATTTCAGCTTTGGAATCACTCTGTATGAGATAGTGGTAGGATGTCCCCCATATCCTGGTTAGTTCACTTTATTTAAATGAGTTTTTTCCTCTTGTTATGCCCTTATTCAATACATTGAATTGATGGGAAGGTTCTGATAAATTTAAGTTTTTAGTACATGAAAAAAAACTTAAAATAAAATGGAACAAGATATGTTTAAGCTTTCGTACTTAAAGAATATAAGTAATTTTATTTTTTCCTTTTCCAGATTCTGCAACGAATGAAATGATTGTCCAAAGTCTCAAGGATGGCAATTCACCATTTGATGAAGAGGCCATTGGCCAGCTTAGGCAACAGCGTTGTCCAAACTTTCTGATTGAATTGATGGAAAACTGTGTGTTAAAAGATGCGAGTAAAAGACCACTGTTTAAAGGTAATGTCTTAAAGTCATAATAACTCTTCGTTTTGGCCAAAAATTGGATTTTCCTGGAAAAAACGGCAATTTTCCCGTACTTACCAATGGCCAACGACCCCATTCCTGCATTCAAAGTTAATCCAGGGTTTTTTTCCTAAACGTACGGTTTTTTGTTAAAATCTCTTAAGAGATTTTAACTGACGGAGCTCTCTCTGACATTGCAAAGTCACTGGTGACCTACTTAAAACCGCGGGAAAAGCAGACAACAACAACACTATATAAGATTCATGAGATATATTCGTCTTTTTGTTAAAAATGCATTTATATCCACAATGTGTGCCATTCTGGGCTTTTCGTTATCCGACGCACTGTACAAAAACTCGCAACTTACGTCTGCGTCTGCACTAATGCGTTTGGCGCCATGTTATTTTGGTCTCGAATGAACGCGAGAATCCGCGTGACACCATTACGTCATTAGCAACGAATGCACTTGTCGACCGGAAAAAAGGCATCGTAAGCCCTATTGACAAGCACAGATTTTAGTTTTCCTACAATAACGGCCGTTTTAGTGGTAAAATACAATAGAATATATTTCCATGCGTTTTTTACAAAGTATTTCATGCGGATTTTTGAATCTCAAAGGAAGAGTTATTATTGCTTTAAATTCTTTTGTGTGTTCTACGCACAAAGTTGCCTCAAATCATTGACTTTCAAAACATTACCTAGACTCAAATATTACTTCTAAATATACATGTTGGTGATGTAAAAAGTTCAGTATTTTGTGTATGTTAATAAGTCATATATTTCATCTTTGTAGAAATTGCAACAACATTACACACGGAATACTACATGAAATATGAACCAGATTATAATTTAGGTTGTGTAGAACTTTACCAGAGACTCTGCTCACACCAGGTACTGTGCATTGCTTCTTTTTTGACATGATGGTATGACTGTTAATGTGGAATGTTTTTGATTCTTCACAATTATGATTTGAAGTAATGTTTTCAATATGTGCTGAATTATAAAATATTGAGTAGTATCATTAAAATTTCTCATAATTTAATATTTGCAGGAATGTCATATTTTATGAAAGAAGCATTTGATGGATAAAATTTTAATTACCCCAGGACTCCCCTTTGCATATTTCTGTTTGATTGTGTAAAAAGATTTGTTATATATGTAGATGGTGTAATAAGTTTATTTGAATTACAATTTCCACAGCCTGGAACATTCGGTCCATCTTTCAGCCACGTGGAAGCTTATGTCGATATCACAGATGCACCTGTTCAGCAAGGTATAACAGTGAGATTATTTGAGATATTTTGGAAATCTATAACCTAGATTTTCGCTATTGTTGAGAGACAATGATCAAGGCAAAGTCAATTTCATAACTAAACATTGCTTTACATGTAAGAGACAGTGGGCTTAGGCATTTGTATATCCCAGGTTTTGGTGTGGTGTTTAAGTTGTATTTTGGGATGTATTTATTTATTATTTTCATATAAAGAGAGCCCGAAATGTAAAAGATACTTGAAATCTGGCATCATTGGTTCTTTCTTTTTGAGTGTTCTGGAGAGCTACTGACTTTTGAAAAGTAAAGTATTGGTATATATTTTGCACTGGTTCTCTCTGTAAGATCTTACTTTCTACTTTTAAGGTCCACAAACACAGGTGAAAACACCTTGGCCTTTACAAGGACCCAGCAGCATAGGCCAGCCTAGACCACCTGATGTACAGCTCTCTAGTAATTGCCAACAGTGTATGGCAGGACCAGCAGTTCCACCACAAAGTCACTATTCACCACCCCCATCTTATCACTCCGAGGACCCTCGAGCAAACCATAACCCACTTCATCTTTCAGAGAGAAGAGATGTACATCAAACACCAGCAGGGAGCACAGACACAACAAGAAAAGTTCCCTATAACCAAAACCCCCACAACAAGTTCCAGTTACATTCCTCAGAATCGTTACCAGGAAATGGTCAATTTGGTACATCATTTCCTGATCCAGGTAGAACACCTTCAGATGTCTCAAGTATTCATTATCCGCACCAGGAAACAGGGAAACCCAAACCAGAGCCGCCTTTATTTGAGGAATCTATGCATATTGGAGGCAGAAATTTTCCTCATGACGAACAAATGTTCAGTCCTCCTGATCAGACAAGTTCGTCTCCTTTATTTGCAACCCCAAACCTTTCACCTAATGTCGGAGCCATGGCAGGTCCTGCAACTGCAAGAAGTGAGCCAAGATCGTATAGTCCTTCTGTACGTGAACAGCAAGCAAGGCTCAGGCAGCTAGCTCAGCATGTCCAAGGAAGTGATGTGGGAAATAATATTGGAAGGTACACAAGGGAATTACAATCTTTGAGAAATGACATAGAAATGAGTAAAATGAAAGATGAGATAAGTGAATTAGAAAATGAGAAAATGAAATCCCAGATTCGTGAAATATTTGAAAAACTTCCAGGTCAAGGAAGGAATATTTCACAGCCTTCATATGGAGTTTTGCAGCAAAATTGTGTAAATAATTACCAGCAAATTGTTCAGGACATTCAGCCAAAAAATTTACTGTCCTATTTAATTCAAGATGGATACTTGACCATCGATGATGCAGACTGTATTAAATCCAAACAAATACGCCGTGACATGGCAGAAGAGCTTCTTAACATCTTACTTACTAAACCTGAAAGTGCCATGCATTGCCTTGCAGTTGCTTTGTGTGAAAATGGACAGGGACATTTGTCGTATCTTATTGACCCCAACTTTCATTTCTAGATTTTGTGATGATAAAACCCTTCCAACTGTAAATATGACTAGGAAGCCGACAGTGAGGTTTAGAAAATCAGAATAACTTGAGGAAACTGTTAAATGGTTATGACATGACCATTCAATTTTTTGTTTTATGTTTTAGAGTATTTTCACAGTAAAACTGTAAATGTCACTCGATTGCTGTAGATAAATGGTGCTTTTAGTGTAATGAAATTCCATAAATTTGGTCATTTTAGTTAAGTAATTAACACCCAAAAATACTTATATCCTATGCCTTTTTTATAACTAAGTTTCAGTCTGGTGTGATGTACTTCAATTTTATAATTTGCATCAGCTGTATGTGGTGTAATTAATATCTAGAAATGTCAATATCCTAAACTCGTANGTTTTTTTGCAGATCTCAGACTTTGGCATAGCAACTCTACAGAGGATCACACAGAAACAGTTTTCATCCAGAAGTGGTGGAAATAAAGGAACTGTGACACATACAGCACCAGAATTTTTCCAAAATATTAGAACCAAGCCGAGTGAAAAGACAGATGTGTTTAGGTATTTTAGTAGTGCATCAAATAAATACTATAGTTTTTCCCCCATTTGGAGTGCTTTATTAACATAAGATTTCCAGGTCACTGACAAGACTGAAGTTTCTACTGTGTTCTTTATGTAATGAATTTTTACACAGAAAATTGCCCTTAATAAAAAACATCTTTGTTAGTCAATAACAACTAAACTGAATTCATCTGTGTACTTTTGAGAACTACCTGCATTCAGAGGATGACAATAAACTGATGGAATATAATGGAAATGTTTTGTAATACCAGTCTTCAACATAGATATATTTTTATTTACATTTCAGCTTTGGAATCACTCTGTATGAGATAGTGGTAGGATGTTCCCCATATCCTGGTTAGTTCACTTTATTTAAATGAGTTTTTTCCTCTTGTTATGCCCTTATTCAATACATTTAATTTTGAATTGATGGGAAGGTTCTGATAAATTTAAGTTATAGTTTTATAGTACATGAAAAAAAACTTAAAATAAAATGGAACAAGATATGTTTAAGCTTTCATACTTAAAGAATATAAGTAATTTTATTTTTTCCTTTTCCAGATTCTGCAACGGATGAAATGATTGTCCAAAGTCTCAAGGATGGCAATTCACCATTTGATGAAGAGGCCATTGGCCAGCTTAGGCAACAGCGTTGTCCAAACTTTCTGATTGAATTGATGGAAAACTGTGTGTTAAAAGATGCCAGTAAAAGACCACTGTTTAAAGGTAATGTCTAAAATTCTTTTGTGTGTTCTACGCACAAAGTTGCCTCAAATCATTGACTTTCGAAACATTACCTAGACTCAAATATTACTTCTATACATGTTGATGTAAAAAGTTCAGTATTTTGTGTATGTTAATAAGTCATACATTTCATCTTTGTAGAAATTGCAACAACATTACACACAGAATACTTCATGAAATATGAACCAGATTATAATTTAGGGTGTGTAGAACTTTACCAGAGACTCTGCTCACACCAGGTACTGTGCATTGCTTCTTTTTTGACATGATGGTATGACTGTTAATGTGGAATGTTTTTGATTCTTCACAATTATGATTTGAAGTAATGTTTTCAATATGTGCTGAATTATAAAATATTGAGTAGTATCATTAAAATTTCTCATAATTTAATATTTGCAGGAATGTCATATTTTGTGAAAGAAGCATTTGATGGATAAAATTTTAATTACCCCAGGACTCCCCTTTGCATATTTCTGTTTGATTGTGTAAAAAGATTTGTTATATATGTAGATGGTGTAATAAGTTTATTTGAATTACAATTTCCACAGCCTGGAACAACCGGTCCATCTTTCAGCCACGTGGAAGCTAATGTCGATATCACAGATGCACCTGTTCAGCAAGGTATGACAGCGAGATCATTTGAGATGTGTTGGAAACCTATAACTAAGATTTTTGCTATTGTTGAGACACAATGATCAAGGCAAAGTTAATTTCATAACTAAACATTGCTTTACATGTAAGCGCCAGTGGGCTTTAGTCATTTGTATTTGCCAGGTTTTGATGTGGTGTTCAAGTTGTATTTTGGGATGTATTAATTTATTATTTTCAAATAAAGAGAACCCAAAATGTAAAAGATACTTGAAATCTGGCATCATTGGTTCTTTCTTTTTGAGTGTTCTGGAGGGCTACTGACTTTTAAAAAGTTAAGTATTGGTATATATTTTGCATTGGTTCTTTCTGTAAGATCTTGCTTTCTACACTTCAGGTCCACAAACACAGGTGAAGACAGCTTGGCCTTTACAAGGACCCAGCAGCATAGGTCAGCCTAGACCACCTGATGTACAGCTCTCTAGTAATTGGCAACAGTGTATGGCAGGACCTGCAGTTCCACCACAAAGTCACTATTCACCACCCCCATCTTATCACTCTGAGGACCCTCGAGCAAACCATAACCCACTTCATCTTTCAGAGAGAAGAGATGTACATCAAACACCAGCAGGGAGCACAGACACAACAAGAAAAGTTCCCTATAACCAAAACCCCCACAACAAGTTCCAGTTACATTCCTCAGAATCATTACCAGGAAATGGTCAATTTGGTACGTCATTTCCTGATCCAGGTAGAACACCTTCAGATGTCTCAAGTATTCATTATCCGCACCAGGAAAGCGGGAAACCCAAACCAGAGCCGCCTTTATTTGAGGAATCTATGCATATTGGAGGCAGAAATTTTCCTCATGACGAACAAATGTTCAGTCCTCCTGATCAGACAAGTTCGTCTCCTTTATTTGCAACCTCAAACCTTTCACCTAATGTCGGAGCCATGGCAGGTCCTGCAACTGCAAGAAGTGAGCCAAGATCGTATAGTCCTTCTGTACGTGAACAGCAAGCAAGGCTCAGGCAGCTAGCCCAGCATGTCCAAGGAAGTGATGTGGGAAATAATATTGGAAGGTACACAAGGGAATTACAATCTTTGAGAAATGACATAGAAATGAGTAAAATGAAAGATAAGATAAGTGAATTAGAAAATGAGAAAATGAAATCCCAGATTCGTGAAATATTTGAAAAACTTGCAGGTCAAGGAAGGAATATTTCACAGCCTTCATATGGAGTTTTGCAGCAAAATTGTGTAAATAATTACCAGCAAATTGTTCAGGACATTCAGCCAAAAAATTTACTGTCCTATTTAATTCAAGATGGATTCTTGACCATCGATGATGCAGATTGTATTAAATCCAAACAAATACGCCGTGATATGGCAGAAGAGCTTCTTAACATCTTACTTACTAAACCTGAAAGTGCCATGCATTGCCTTGCAGTTGCTTTGTGTGAAAATGGACAGGGACATTTGTCGTATCTTATTGACCCCAACTTTCATTTCTAGATTTTGTGATGATAAAACCCTTCCAACTGTAAATATGACTAGGAAGCCGACAGTGAGGTTTAGAAAATCAGAACAACTTGAGGAAACTGTTAAATGGTTATGACATGACCATTCAATTTTTTGTTTTATGTTTTAGAGTATTTTCACAGTAAAACTGTAAATGTCACTCGATTGCTGTAGATAAATGGTGCTTTTAGTGTAATGAAATTCCATAAATTTGGTCATTTTAGTTAAGTAATTAACACCCAAAAATACTTATATCCTATGCCTTTTTTATAACAAAGTTTCAGTCTGGTGTGATGAACTTCAATTTTATAATTTGCATCAGCTGTATGTGGTGTAATTAATATCTAGAAATGTCAATATCCTAAACTCGTATTGTATTTGTGGATGAATTCTGTTAGCAAATGCATGCACCAAATGCGTTTGATAACATACCTATGTGGAATGCTATTAGATGACTTTACTTAAGATAATCCTTGTAAAAAAAAGTCAACCTTTTTGTACAGTCTGTGTGAAAAGAAGAAATGTTATTGAAAAAAATTTAACATGACAATAACAATAAAAATCCCAAGGTTTGGTAAGGGTACCAAGACCTTTGGTTAAATATAACAGTGATTGACAAACTGGATGGAGTAGGTGTTTCTTGGAAGTATGCCAGGTTAAAAAATGTAGCAACATTAATCCAAATCTCATTTTTCTCCAGGAGGCTCAGAAAGTATGAAACTCGCGACTCCCCTGCATGAATTTGAAAACCAATTTTTTATTTGTTGTGCAAATTTTAAATTTTTAACAAATTGGCAGTTTGCAGGTGTCACTTCTAAACCATATGCAACTTAAATTTTCTGAACATCCACAGTAACAGTTGTGTAGTACACAACTCAAAATTAGGTTTATGTTGTTAAGCATTATGTAACAAATAATTGCATCAAAATTGTGAAAAAAAAAATGTGCACTGCCATCAAACACCACAAAGAAAAATTATTTTCCAACTTATCCGACTAATATACAGGAAAAAGGAACAGTTCGTGTTTGACAAGCAACTCGATTTCCCAGATGTGATATTTTCTGTAATTTTTTGTCAGACATGGCATTTTAAAGGCGTAATTTTGCATTTGCTAGGGCCTGAAGTCCTATGGCAGGTACGTTTTCCGAATATCCTAAGTGATAGCAGTACATACGTAAAAATTAGTCATTATGTAACATTGCAACAAAATTGACAAAACGTTTAATGCACGATCATCTTGAAACTGGTTTAGTTTTTAGACTTGCCAGTTTGTAATTTAAATGCCTGTCCATTTGACAGCTTTTCTGCCTTGATTGTATTGTATTGACTATTGCGACACGCAAATAACAGATCTTTTGTTAAAGACATCATGGTTGATGTAATTGAAAAAGCCTCATAAGCAAAGCCAATGTGGCGCAATCATGCATTCATACAAGAAATGTACAGACAGCGAACATGGACAATAAAAGTTTAACTTTAAAAACCATCATAAAACATTCATGTATGCTGCTCTCAGTTAGCCAAAGGAGACGACCTTTCAAATGTTGGGCAACCGTCCACAACAGCCACTGGTTTGTTAATGTACCAGATATCTGGAGAATTCTTCAAAGAATTTAAAAGGGATAACATGTTGAACCAAATCCAGGTCCATTGTTAAAGAAAAGTAACTATGCTATTTTAGGGGGCACTTCTTTATTACATAGAAGCCAAATTGCTTTAACTACTCGGAGATGTACACGTCTCTTTGAAGCACTCAATTGGGGGGGGGGGGGGGGGGGGAAGCAAGCAAGCAATGCTTTACACCAAACCTTTTCTCTCCTTTTTTTCCCTCAGAAATGACAAAACAACATATTTGCTCAGTTTCATTTTTTTAATTTAATATTTTTTACAGTTCTTTTATTTTTTCACATAATGAAATTCATTTTTTTGAAACAGATTCCCTTCCAGAATCTCCTCTGCTTTTTGAAGCAGACCTGCGACGCTCCATTTTCCTTTCCTTGGCTTCTTTCAACCTCTGAGCAAGGAGTTTCTGGTATTCTGCGGCTTCATCTCTCTTCTTAGCAGCTCTTCTTCTCTTGAGTGCCAAGCGATGTCTCTTACGCTGCAGCACCAGAGGAGTAATCAGACGCTGGATCTTGGGGGCCTTTGTTCTGGCCTTTTTACCTACATATAAGGATAAATTGTTATTAATAATAATGATAATAATTTTAAGTCTAAAATACATTAAAATTTTTCAGTGGACTTTACATAAAATTAAAAACTAAAGCCTTCCTAAATTTCACAATGACATGACTGACTAGTTCCGAAGCTTAAACTCCTTGCACACATACAAGCTGCAGGATAAAAATTTATTTCTCTTGGTGTGATACAAGTTTTATTTTTTGTTTACATCACTGACAAAATTTAGTGAACATGGTTTTCAAGTCACAGTACAGCAGTAATGAAAAGTAAGAGATGAGAAAATAAAACCCACAGCAGTAGATCTAAAATTTTACAAACCTTCTTTTGCTGGTAAAGGACGCCTGACAACATACTGGCGGACATCATCTTCCTTTGTCAAATTGAAAAGCTTGCGGATCTTGCTAGCACGCTTGGGTCCCAAGCGACGAGGGATGGTTTTGTCAGTTAAACCTGGTATATCTTGTTCCCCTAAACAGAATTAAAATAAGAAAGATTAAAAAGCTGTTTCATAATGCTCAGGAAAGAATGTTTCAGTACAAATAGCTATATGAAACTGAAAAACTCAAGTAAGTAATCAAACTAGAACACAGTGACATACGATATAGTTATGAAGGAGAAATGCAGTCAACAGACCCAAGGTAATTTCACCGACTACCTGATTAAGATGCTATGAAGAGCAACTTGCATCTTAAAATTAATTCCCAAAATTGATGTGAAATGGCAAATATCAGAGAGCATGATAAAACTGTTCCTTTTCAGAAGAACATACACAAACAACAGTTACAAATGTACCTTTCTTTCAACATAGGAATGAATAAGGTTTCTTCATGTAAACCTGAGTCTTACCTTTCTTAACAATCACCAAGTTTAAGACGCTAAGGTTAGAATCCACAATGCAACCACGCACAGACTTTCTCTTGCGTTCTCCACTACGGCGCTCACGGTAACAGCTTTGGCCCTTGCCCAAAAGCAGCTTGACACGGCCATTGGTCAAAACCCCCTGCTTCATTGCGAAGCCTTGTTTGTCATTTCCGCCAGAAATTCGAACAACATATCCCTGAATCAAAAATTTGCTGGTATAACAACCATTAAATATCACATTTTTAAATCTTGACATGATGCAGGAGACCTCAGGGATTCTTCTTTATTTATAACATTTATGCTTCTTTTTTGCTTTCAAATTAATGTGAATTGCAATTTAAGAACAACCACCATATAACTCACCTTCCACTCATCTCCCAAACTTTCAGCACTGACTTCAGAAGCCATGCGCTTCTCATAGAAAGCTCGAATTTTCTTCTCATCATCAACTTCAATGAGCTTTTGACAGCCCGTCGCCGGGAAGGATATATTCAACTGAAATAGCAATTCAACACTAAGTAAACATTTGGTTATAGAAAATATCAGTATGTTACATTAGAAATAAGTTTTGATAACTATAAGACTGGTTTTAAATAAGTGAATTAATCAAAACTGATCTAAATTTCAAAGGCAAATTAACATTTCGTTTGCAACATGCTATAGCATCATTATGAAAAAATCCAGAAGGTTGCCTTTTAAAGCAGAAATGGCCAGGTTAAATTGATAATTAAAGATCTCATAATACCCATGCTGGATGCTGTAGGTGCAATAACACTGGTACCATCAAGGATACCCGTTAAAGAATCGTCTCCATCTTGTAACTTACAGGGTAATCAGCACATACATAGTGTATCTGGTATAAACTGCGATACCTATGAGAGTCATGAAGAATATTATTTTATAGCATGGCCTTTCAGAAGATGTTCATAACTGGAATTATTACCTTCATTTTCGACGGCCCCTACCAGGACAGTCTTAGGGGTGATAAAGAGGCCGACCAACCTTGAAAGCGCGAGAGGTCACGAGAGCCCAGATTATTGACCAATCAAAAGTCCCACATCCCGCGGCAGGTTTGTGCATGTTATCAACATGTATGAACTTCCCTTTAAATTGGATTAACAACTGTTTTTAGCATACGATGATAGCGATCCTTCAAAACTTGAGTTTGCATCGTTGAAAGGAAATACCATTTCACCAGGTGATTACTGTTTCAATAATTTGTCTATTATATCTGTTTGGTACTAGTAGTAATACTAAATGATTATTTTCTCTACATACATGTAGTACATGTACTTCTTAATTATTACTTCTCTGAAAATTACTAGCTGTAGTTGTTGTAGCAATAGTAGCAGCAGCATCTGTAATATGGAAGAGGAGAATTTAGTCGGAGTACTCGTTTCCAATTACCCTATTGTTCTAAGTAGATCGGTCCAACACCTAGTCGCGGGGACTCGCCAAGTGAATGCAATCAAATTAACACGCCTCCTCTTGGCATTGAGCAGAATGCAGCAAAGCTGGTGATTACACGAGTATTTGGGAAGTCCAGTTAAAACACGTGCTGTGCAATGAAACAAAAAAATGAAAATCAAGCAGGTATGTCAGTGAATTAAAAATCCCAGGGCTTTTATAATGCTTTGTGAGAGGAAAAGTTTGAGCTTGGAAATCTCTTTTTAGGTGCTTTTGACATATGCATAAGTTAAGAAAGGTTTGTGCACTAGTGGAGTGTAAAGTGGAAATCAATCCATGTAAAAACTTAGGGGCGGATCCAGAGATTTTTTCTGACAGTCTTCCAAATTATCTTTGTTGATCCATCTTCCATTTTTGACCATCTTCTGACAGAAAAAAAAATAGATACCAGTCAATGTTAACTTGAAAATCTGACTGTCTTCCAGAACACCCAGAAGATGGCCTCAATCTGCCCCTGAAACTGACCTTCCATGAACTATTACATAAAGCTTTGTGGTCTCAAAATGTTTCTGCATACTAGTACTCTCTCATCTGCATGGTGATGGTTTCTAGGGTCAACTTGTAATGTTGAATGGATTTAACAGAGCCATACCTGTCTGAGTCCTCTGAGGCCTGCTTACTTGTCTCCAGCTCCCAAGTGGAAGAGACACAATATGCAGAATATGTGCCCAGCAACATATTTAACAGCTTAGCAACTTTACGGAAGGAAGGATCCATAAACAATAAAGAGGTTAACTAACATAATGCTGAATATCAGTTATTTTTACCTTTTGTGAGGGTCTGTTTTATTTGTAAGGGTCCTTTTTATGATCACCTGACCTTCACAATACATAAATAACCCTTTATAATATATCCTACATACAGTTGAATGGATAGAAAAAGTAATACAATAAAGATTTTATATTAAATGTTTTAAACTATTGTGATTTGATGTTCTTTAATAATCATTATTTTTTGGTTTGTTTAGGATACTTGTAAAGAGCTTGATGCCACTCCTACATCAGAAGCTGAACTTGGTAAGCTTATGATAAGTATGTTTGCTGTACTGTATGTTTGCTCTTCTGTAACATGTTCAACATCCATTGCTCTCAGAAGCTGACAAGCTTACTGTGCAAATTTTTTGTTTTACTTCTACTTAAGGTTTACTATTACATATTGTCTAAAAACAATTGAGCTTGCATTATATTTTTGCACAACATAAGACCATGAAACTTTCGTTTTTGATTTTCTTATAACAAAAGTGAACTTAATTCAGTTGGATGATTGGTTTTCTCTTCAGTTAAGCATGAATCAAAAACATCTAACATTGTGAAATATGTGAATCTAACTAAGTACCATTCACTGTTGCTCAGGATAGTTGCTCACCAAGTAGGTAAAGGCAAAACCATTTTTGTCAGAATACAAATGCACAAGCATTGTTTATAGATGAGTCCTTTTAGTGCACCCCTTATTCAAAGAATGATGCCAGTGTTATTTGAGCACTATTGGGTGTGATTTGATGTCATTTCAGATGGTAACAGGGCTGTAACTCTCACTGGACTTTCTGGTACCATTGGTAACAGAAATGCTGGAATAGGCCAAGGTGGGGAAATGAGTACCAGTGGCTGTGGAGATGATGATCAAATGGAAAGAAATACAAGGGACAATGAAAATGATCGTGGAATAAACAGTGTTGAGGATGAAGAAATTAAATCTGAAGAAAAAAGTGATGTTGAAATCCAAGATGGGTATGGTTTTTTTAAATTAAAATTGATATCCAAGTGTAACATGTTATATTTTCCTAAGTCAGAACATTTCATGTTGGAACTTTTTTAAATGAGAAAATGATATTTTTGGATTGCCTTTTACGCTTCACTGTCTTAACATCTTACATCAGGAAGGAAACCACTACAAAAGAAGTAATTTGTTTTGGAGCAGTATTCAGCTGATAATGACTTATGTGTCAATATATATATATATTTTTTATATAATTTAGACACCCAGTGGGATTAAGAGCAGCCCAGGCTTGTAATTATAGTCCAGGTAGCACACTGATACAGAGTAAGTTGACATGAAAAACTGCATCCCAAATTTTGCTGGTCTGAAAATGCTTACTTGCATTTTTGTCAAATATGATTTCTTGAATTAAAATGTATATTTCATGTCAAGGTTTTTCACAGTCAAGCAAAATAGATGTGAGGAAGTAGATTTAGACAACTGGTGGGTGTGAAATAAACTGAATGTTTTTAAAGTGACTTTCATCGTTGAAGATATAGTAGAAGCCACCCAAAGTGAGGCAGAGGGTGATCATATAAGTACCATCCTTGCAGCAGAAACAGACAGCAGGGAGGATGAACTTGGAGTACCTTTTCAAAATGGTCACTACAATGGAACACCACAGTAAGATATTTTTATAGATGTTGATTGTTTATTTCATGAGGTAAATTTTATATAACCCAGCTTCTCTATCAAGTGAAAGGGATATCTTAAACTAACCCTGATTAATGCTTAGCAAAACAATTATTTGACAAATACTGTGTGAGCTTGAAATAGTTTTTTGTGTGTTATGAATTTACTTTGCATACAGATAGATCAATCAAATATAATATATGAAAAAAAAGTGGAAATAAGTTTTGGCAATTTCTGTTTTAATGCACGAAGGATAGTAATGAACACAGTTTAATATGTTTATTGTTTTTGATTTGTTACCAGTGCTATAAGTGAGACAGAAAGTGGTGGTATAAGTGATGCCCCAACAGCTGTGGTCAGTGATACGGAGGGTCATGGCCAAGTCTTTGTGAAGAAAACACCTTTGGCCATGAAACCAAGAACACCAGGTATAAACTGTCTAATTTGCTTAACTTGAAAAGTGAAAAATCAGTTATAAGTAGTTTGGTGGTTTATGGTCATAGTGCTTTAAGTAAGGGCTTGAATATTACAAAATATTTTCAGATTTGAGTTATGATAGGACAATCAAAATATTTGTTTACTTTAAGACTCGGTTCCCATACTCAGATCGGTCCTTCTGGATCAACCTAACTCTTTGGGGGTTCAGGTTATATTGCTATCAGCTCAAGAGGCTTAAATGTCTGCCAGGACCTACTGAATCAGCTAGGGCTAAAGATAATTACCCCCTAACAGTTTTACTAGACGTGACAGACGTTTAAGCTGTTTAGTTTGATAGCAATTAGTGAGACTCCCCAGGGAGATAGATCGATCCAAATATCTGTGGGAATGGTCCCTAAAGCTAATATGAGTAGTCTGAGACAATTAAAAAACATCCTGTAATTAAGGACTTGTTGATTTTTTCCAAGAACAAAAGATAATAATGAATTACCTTGTTTTGGCACCTGCGAATATTACAGGCAGCCCAGAGAAGAGCAGCAGCACTGTGACCACGAGTAACCTCAGTTCCTTCAGCAGCTCTTCCAGTGATGAGAGAGATTGGAACAGGTCATGGTCCATTCTAATATAAGTGGTATTGCGGCTGTTGAGATTGGACACTATTGTCTATTGTTGTCATTACCACCAACTTTTCATTCTTTGATTAGAGGAAAAAATCGTTTGAATAGATTACCAAAAGCCAGTGACTTTGACTGGTTTTAAACAATATATCCTTGTGCTACTTATTTTGATTAGAAAAAATTAGATTTCGAATGATTATCTTTGCTTATTTAGGAAAAATTCAAAACAAAAATCAAAGGGAAATTTTGGCAGTTTGGCCAGTGAAGAACAGTCCAATGTCCATAAAACCACATGGAAACAAGAGCAAGTCTTTATGGCAGAAAAATATGGGAAGCAGGTGGATCATCATGGAGAAGATGAAGTGGAAAATCAAAGCAATTCACAAGAAGATTTGTTCCCATGTAGTCAGAATACAAACCAAAGAGGTACTAACATGGCTTAAACTTCAAAGAAAGTAAAGATACTGTATACAGCATTTCCAGATGACACAACATTTTGATAAAGCATCATTAGTTTTTAAGAAAAATTATCAGTGCTTTTAAAGAGGGATTATTCTTTTGTTTCCGGTGTCCATAGTTGCCACTCCATCAGAATACATGGGTTCCTTACAGTTTTCACAACATGAGGTTCTTGCCATGGACACTTTGGAATCTGACAGGTATTCATGCTGTTTATTGACCATCTTGCAGACCTGTCATCCTAAAGTTATCAGTTAAAAAAATATATTAGTTTTGTATCAGTAAGAAGAATTTGTCTGTGATTGCAATTTTTTATTTGGAAATTTTGCATTGACTTTGATATGGAAGAAATCATTTGTGGTAATCTTTTTAAATAGTATGCTTTAAAGACTCATAATTCAGTTTACACAATGTCTTCAACACTGATCATGCAAAAATGAATTTCCAAAAATTGAGATTGTTTTTGCAGCAGATGAGGTTTCAATGAAAACAACTTAATTCATTCTAAGTCAGTTAATGAACCAGATGAAAAAGAAATTGCCTAAATAGATTATAAAATAGAAGACCTTTGCCCATCAGTTTTATGATGCCTGTTTATGAACCCTATTTGTGTACACAAATTATGTGTTAAGCAAACAAACTTACAATGTACACAAGTGCCAACATGTTTCTTTGATTTTGTGATTTTTACATTAACAGACCCCCATTTATATTTATGCTATATTAAAAAAAAATTACTTGTCAAATTTATTATTGTCTGTACATGTTCTTTTCATATATCTATTGGTTTCCCTTTTTATTATGTGCATGCAGCCAGTCAGTGAACTACATTCCACCATCTCCCGGAGCTTATGGGTCTGTTCCAGTCATTATACCAAGTTCTCCCACTGCTCTGTCAGGTTAGTAGATGGCAGTGTTGTCTTCACAAGGTTGATAAATGACCAGAGTGAATTAAGTCAAATAATGGCATTTGTATAATGTTTTTAATAAGCATGTTTAGTAGTAAATTTCTTTAAGATAAATCTTTAATGAAGGGTATTGAACAGGATAAGGAATGTTTTAAATAGAGAAGAGAGGAAACAAAATGCTGAAGCCATGTTTAAATTTACTCACTTATTCAAGACATTTAGAGATGCGAATGTTATACTTGTATAAATAGATGATGAAACAGAAACAGCAACAGGTCTGGATTTGTCCTTAGCTAATTTGTCAAGCCTTCAGAAAATAAGACATTCAAGATCAAGGTCATTGGAGCAGAATCCTGTGGCTGATGCTCTTGACACCACTTTAATTTCAGTAAGTTATGCCATTTCTGATTGTGTGAGATGTCACTTAAAATTTTAATTACATTGTGCCTAGAAAACGTAAATATATAAGGCTGTCTCTCAAATTGACACCGGCTCTTGAAATATTTTTTCATGTATGTAGCTTTGGCTTAGTGCCTTTAAAAACAATACAAATAGCCTTGCTTGTTTACATAGTTACTAGGCCAATTCTATGAAAACTGAATGTTGAGATTTGTGTTCTTTTTAGAAGGTATGAATAGCTGATTTGCATTTGCTTTCCTTTTAGACACTGGATGAGAATCACAGGCGTGTGGTCAGCCGCTGCCAAACAGACAAAAGTAAAGGAAGTAGTGCATCTGGAGAAAGCTACAGACATGATTCAGGAAATATTGGGGGTAAAATTTATAATTACTCATGTTTATTTTATTTTATTTTATTTCATTATTGGGTAGATTGTCATGTACTTGAATTAATTATTTAATCTTAATGTCTCTTCTTATACTTTGATATCAGTAAAATATTTAGGATGATTGTGTATGTTTATATGTATGTATGTGCCCACAATTGTTAATTCTGTTCTAGCATTGTCCATCTTCTTTCCCTGTGGACATTGTTAGTATGGATGATGGACAGGAAGAAAGCATCATAGTGTTACAACAGAAAGAGGTATGTTGAAGGAGCCTCCAACAAAAGATGAAAAAAAAAGACATCTAGAAGTTGGGTTTATTTCCTTCCATGATCATACATTCATAGTGTTTCAGTCCCAATATAAGACCAGTCAATGAATGTAGTGCTGTTTAGTTTAGATTTAACAGAACCTCACCTCTTCACCCCACCACTCCTTAAACCTCTTACCAGGTAGACTGTTATTCTTAATTTTGATATGTACTTTGCAGTATGTGATGGAGCCTACCTTGAGAGAAGATGCAGTTACACCAGACAGCCAGTGTCCAAGAAAACCAAACCAGACAGGGAAATCTAACACCCCAAGAAAACTTTTTGAGAATGATATGACTGTTGCAACAAAGAAACTACAAACTGATATAAGAGGTGAAATACCAAACACCAGAATTAACAATCAACATGAGTGCAGAGTACAGACCAAACATGGTATGTCAAAAAACAATGAAAGTTCTGCTGACAGCAAAAAAGAAATTGTAGCATCACAGCCATCTTTAGTTGCAGGAAATTCTGGATTTGACCGTGGTGTTATACTGGAGCAACATCACCAGGGCAAGAGGTATGGAGCAAAACAGCACACTGATAACATTGTCCATGTGCAAGTAGCAGAGGGTTCAAATAGGGAAATACAAGATTCAGGACATCAGCATGAAGCGGTTAGCTATTCAGATAGAAAATCGTCTCATATTGGCAAATTTGCTTTAACAGAAAGTGTGCACCTTCATTTAAGTGCTACTGAAAGGAAGGACATTTATGAACAATCCATGGTAGAGAGTCTGCCAGAGAACTGTCCAGTTTATAAGAGTGCTAGAGAAGAAGATGCTAGTATTACTATTTTGGAAGAGGAAAGTCGGCCATCAGCCATACAAGGTTGTCATGGTAAGGTTTTAGATTTTTCAGCATACAAATTTTCTGTGATGTTTAGGGCAGAATTTATGTGATTCAATGCATTATAACATTTGACTGAAGCAGAGTTTCAGAACAAGTCATAGGAAGAGTATTTTGTAATTTAAGTTTATTCAAGAATATTAAAATAATCCATATTTCTACATAAAGCTTCCCATTTTACAAGTCGGGTTCATATAATAATAATAATAATATTTATTTCTTCAAACCGCACTACACTACCGTCTCAATGCTGTTTACAGGTAAAATTATCAGGATTACAACTAGACATATATATAATAAAAGCTAAGGTTAAAAATAATTAAAATAATTAAAGCTGGTTAAAATAGTAATGGTCTGAACAATAAAACTTTTTTCTGATAAAATGAGAAAATATTAATTAAAATACTGTGCAAATAATGTTTTAAAATCTTTTTTAAAAACCTCAACACTATCAATAGTCCCAATGTGTGAGGGTAATTGATTCCATAAAATTGGTGCTGAAATAGAAAATGCCCTGTGGCCGTAGGTTTTGGTTGTTTTTTTATTATCATTTCTGATAAAACAAGGAGTGGAGGTGGATCTGGTAGACCTGGTGAGACTGGGTGTACTTGGATGTAGCATCAAGTTAAAATATGAGGGACATTCTCTGGTGAATTTAAAAACAAACAACAGTAATTTAAAAACAATTCTCTGTCATACAGGAAGCCAATGTAGTTTGAATAAAATGGGTGAAATGTTTGATCTGAGAGGGATTTAGTCAGTAGTCGTGCTGCAGCATTTTGGACAGATTGCAATTTTTCAATTTGGTAGGTAGGAAGACCATACAGTAGACTGTTTCCATAGTCAAGATGTGAAGTTATAAAGGCAGGGACAAGCCTCTCCATTTGACTTTTATCAAGGATGTGGGATAGTTTGGAAAATTTTTTAAGACCATAGAAAGCGGCTTTGCATTTTTACTGATGTCGGCAGCCATATCGCACCTATTATCAAAACTTGATAAGTTGGCCCCATGGTCGGGGTTTTACACATTTTCAATTTATTAGATTGATTTTTGAGTCTTTGATAAACAAATGGTTCAAATGAGGCAGATTTATTGAGATTTCCCTCCATCACATTGTATATGTTGCAAGAACCAAAATATGTATCAATAAAATTTGTTTTAATTGAGAATAAATTAATAATGGTATAAAGCAGGTTTTTGAATGATAATGCGCAAAGAATAGTGGGTAATATGGGGTCCAACTTGCCCCGAGCCAAGGGGGCCAACTAGCCCCAGGTGCACAATTTTTAGATTTGAGAATTGCAGTTGTTTATGGTGCAAGAATGGACTACATTAATACAATTTAGTAAATTTTGAAACAATTAGCTTTAGTTTGATACCCTATACATATACTTTATTTGATCAAAAGTCTATGAAAATAGATTTTTAAATCTTTTGAAAAAAATTACTTTTAGGTGCAAAACCCATTAAATTTAGCCATACCGCCTAAGTAAAACTTTTTAACTTCTGACACTTCCTTAGCATTGTAGGCTACTGTCACTTTACTAAATGATGTGATCAATTTTTTTCACCCTGTAGTTACTTTTTCATACATAGATGGGGTGCCAACTTACCCTGGGGTCCAACTAACCCCGGTTTTCAAGGTGTCACTTTGAACCCCAATGAAAATAAAGCCCCTGTTACATTTTCTGAATTTTAACAATATTTTTAGAGTATTTTCTATGTAGCATTTCAAATTTTAAAAAATTGGTGAAAAGGCAGTAAAAGGCACACAATGAAGGATTTTTAATGGATTCTAAGTGCGTGGATGGCTTCTAGTTGAACTTATGAGGCCAAGTAAAATTTTTAAAGCATTTAAATGACTGATTATAAGAATGATCAATATCACAACAACCTTCTTCTGTCTTTTTCCATAACTTTATTTTTGAGTGCATCTCCATTGGTGCAATTTAAGAAATATTTGACAAAATCAATGTCTTGTCATTACTAGTATAAATCTGTAATAGGGGTAAGTGTCTTGTCTGATTGAAATTTTATTTGGACTAGTGGTCTGAATGGCTGATAAGCTGAAAACTTAAGCTGAAAATAAGATGCACAGACTGAATGTACCCCCCCCCAACATACACACACTTATGCGTACACATACAAACACACATTCTCTCTCCCATGTTTCTCTGTTGTAGTTTAATTACGATGCTGAACATTGTTCAAATAGGCTATGATCAGAATAGACTTGTCAGAAATAATACAGCTGTTTAGTATCAGCACCTTACACAAATATGGACAACAATCACGTGACTGGTACGTGCCTGTACCTGCCAACAAGCTTGTTACACCTGGTCTTCACGACATGCCTAGACAAGAGGGTTTATCAAAGAGGACCAGTTTTATAGGGGGATGAATTAAGAATTTAAAAAAATGCTAGTATAACAGGTTTAAGTTCTAAAAAAATGTCATTGCTTTTTAGCACATTTTTAATACTAGATCAACCTTAGATTTAGGGATAGATTGATATACATATTTTCACTGTTAATGCATGTGTATCCTGCTGTACCCAATTATTAGAATAGTACAGTATTAGTTGGTCCAAGATGACCGTTGGTTTATTGTGTTCTTCCACTTTCTGTGTTTGAATGTTTTCGATGGCAATGCTGGCTTTAAAATTCTCTGTTGATTTGCAAGGTAAGTACTAATATATGTAGAGCACTGGCAACTGTCATTGTATCAGTATTTTTATTTTATAATTATATAATATTTTGAGAAGGCATTGATAGATAAGTGGCAATAAAGTAAAATGGTTCATAGATAACTGAAGATAGGTGTTGTGATGTTGTGAAAGATGTGGTGTAATATGGTAATGGCAGATAGTGTATATTTAATCATAAAAGTAAAACATTCTTATTGAGTGAAAAGCTGGCTGCCCTATAATTGTATTCGGTACAGTAAAAGTACCACAAATGCTACAGAAATTATAATTAAACCCACTGAAAAGATCAAGTCATTGCTGTAATTCTTATGCATTGTGTAACAAATAGCTATAACAGAAAATGTAAAGATCTTTTTATATGTGATTTATTTCTCATATTCCATAAGATGTAGCAGCAGAGACTGCAGAGGACTGGTCTCTCCATTTAACCCCATCTCAAGGCAGTACTTCACAGTACACTCTGGCATTGAGTGAAGCCACAAGAGGGGCCAACCCCAGGGGTATGATATAACTTTGAACGTCAGAGACTGCTATCTAGAAAAGAAGTATTTGTAAATATTGTAAAGATACAAAATCTGCAATGGCTTTAAAATAATAAAGTATTGAAAATGCTTTAAGGTGACTTAGATTTTAAGATGGTGAAATATAATTGAAATATTAGAGATTTAAGTTGAAGATTACTTAAGAAAAGCTTTTATTTAAACTTCTACATCACACTACTAAAACTTAAGCAAAATTAAATAAAGGATCACCGATTAAAGAAAACTTTCTGTTATTTGTATATTTCAGAAGTTAGGAAGAAAAAAGATAGACCTTGCATTAAGGATACACCAAAGCATTATCTCTCAGAAGAGTCCAAGAAGAGCAACAGACCCACATCAGCAATGTCTACATCCTCTGAAGCCTCTGGAGGTTGACACATTTTCTCTTTTCTCCTTTTCATTATTATTATCAGATTTTAAGTGCTTATAATTTTCTGTTTGTCACAAGGTGAATGTTGACAAACATTTGGTACATTGTATCTCCCAGGGCTTAAACATTTAGTTCTAGTGGTGCAAAGTATTTATATGTTATATTATTTGTTTGTCTAAAAACCATTATTGTTCATATTCTTGTTTGTTCCTATTTTACTGGTTTGTGCTTTATTTTTCTGACAGCATTTCGTCTCAGTATGCCAGAAATACTACCTGACACACCTGATGTTCAAAGACATGAAGATGAAGAACAGGTTGGACAGCAAAGTCAGAAAGTTTCAGACTTATCTTCAAAAGTAAATGCCAGGCAAAAAGAAAGGTATTATTGTTTAACTTTTTATTATTATCATTGTTATTCTTCAGATTTTTAAAATCTTTACCAAATTTATTGAAATTCTTTTTAATTGTAAGGTTTTGATTGTGATTTGTCTCTTTGCTTGTCTCTTTATTTTTTAAGTAAAGAATAATTCTGTTTTCAATGTATTTCTGTTAACATATTATATTTGGATTGTCTGGGGGGTTTCTTCACATGCCTCAGGTTGAGTGAACAGTTTACATGCATGCTGTGCATTTTCACTTTACACTTTGCAGAAAAAAAATGTAATTTGTGATCTGCAAGTGAAATAACATAATGTAAAAATATGCAATATTTTTGGTAGATAGTTTTTGCATAATATAGAGTTTTTGAAATAGTATACTTTCACCAAGCAATATTGTTATATCCTTTAAAAATCTAAATATTATGCTTGAAAAAATGCATGCTATCATTACACAATAGGTCCCCATACATTTTGAATGGTAGCAGGTTAAGATATGACACTCACATTGACACATGGTATTATTGCAGGATTTTGGCTGAAAGAAAACCAGAGGGGCCAACTTTAACCTTGAATATGATTCACACCCAATCAGAAAATTCTGAAGATGTGACTGAATTTATGGTGGAACGTAAGAAGTTGATATGTATTTATAACCCAAAGATACCAGATCGTGATATAGTTAAACTTGGTAGCTTTTTTTACAACCATGAGACCTTAAAACTGGAGATAATAAGATTACTTTCAAGTTTCAGATGATATAATTTCCCCCCACCCCCCAATGACCATATTTACAGTCATCAATGTTTTTCATCATTCAGGTCCGGATATTGGCAGCAATTCTGTGAGCAGTAACCACAGTGTTGAAACACCAGTCTCCATGTTCACCAGAGTGAAAGAGGCTGTCATATCAGGAGGGCATGCTACTTGTCCTCGGTCAACAACTTTGTCAGAAAGGTTTGGAGTTATTCAGTTCGTGTCATACTGTACAAATAAAACAGAAGTAGCTGTTGGGCTTTCACTTATTTGTCTTAAGCAAAATAGTTGGAAAAGAATCTGGTAAAATTAAGTTAGCAATATTGGAAAAATGGGTTGAAAAAGACCTGACCTGTTTTCAATATAATATGTTAATCATATTACTTACTTTTTTTAATATGATATATTTGATATGGAATTGATTCTGAAATGATTCAGGGGTATGCAGAATTTACAATTCATAAGAACCAGCCAAATTGCAGTCTATTGACCAATGTTATATTTATTATTTCATTATTTCAGTGAGCTTGATCTTTTTGCATATGTGTCACAAGATAGCCCTCACCAACAACAGATGTCTGTACCAAGATCTGATCAGCTGAGATCAAGGCAGAGGAGAGAACAGGATTGTGACGGAGCTCAAGGAACTGTGCAGAAGACAAATCAAGCACCTGTACTTCAAGAAGAGCAAAAGAGGGTTGGTATAGAAAATTCCTGGCTTTTCAGCATACTGGCCTGCATAAGGCTTTAGAAGGTTCCATCTTTTGGAGGATTTCTGTTCTTTGTGCATGAAATGATTTTTAGAAAGTTACTGAATTTTGTAGGAAATGATGATATTGAAGTGATTGGATGTCAAACTAATGGCCAAACATTTATTAAAGGCTTATTTCAGAACACTAGTTTGAAGTTGCTGATTGTCTTAAGTTGTCAGTATATGTGCCCTCTTAAATCTGCTAGATCATTGGGAAATTGGCATCATTGTGATTGATGTTTTCCTGTGCTAAAACTCTGTGACTGTGAAAAATGTGATTGTTTACAGGATGACACTGAAGATCAGCAGTGCACCAAAATATCCAGTGAGAAGTCTCATTCACCTCTCAAGTCATCAGCAGAGTTAACTGCCACAGGGGAGTTTAAAGTTCAAAAGACAGACTACTCTAGGGAAACAAAGAGTAAATCACAAGGCCAAAGAAAAAGAAGATTTAGAAAAAGACACAAAGATAAACCAGAACTGAGACATGTGAATGCAGAGAGATACGATACAAGCCATGTTGTTGTCACTGGTGATAGCAATAGCAAATCACAAAGCCGACTTTATGATTGTGAAACACAGTCATATGATTGGCAGAAAGAACTAGCTGAGCAGAATCAGAATAACCAGAGTGACACACAGCAAGACACACAGATAATAGAAGACAATCAGCTGAATGTGCATGACCCATTTGAATTTAGAATGTCTCAGTCACAACGCGACAGACAGTCTCTGAAGAGCTTGACTTTGGGAAGAGAGGCTAGGAAGAGAAAGGCAACAGCACTACAAAAGGTAGGAATGTTAGAATATAAATTAAAATTGTTTCTCATCAAAAGGACGATATTGGTGTTATTGCTATGTAATATATGTAATGAGCTGTAAGTTTTCACTATTTTTCCATCAAATCACTGCATTTTTATTTTTAAATACTTGACAAACTAATGAAATGTCCCCATTCCTTCAAATTGGTATTTCAAATGTGATGCAAACATTGATACTTTGATATACACATAAAGTCCAAAGCTCATTTTGTTATCTTAAGGAGGAACAAACATTCAGTAATTCAGTGTCTACAAAAAGAAAAAGTGGAGCTAAAGGAAAAAGTGAAAGTATAGCAGGCAGTCATTTCAATAAAACCCAAGCACGGCAGCGGCCAAGGTCACAAGATGTAAAGGAAGGTCAGGATGATGTGTCTCAGGGAAATAGCAACCAAAATGGCAGAGAAGCCCAAGGTAGGAAGAGACCCCATTCAGAAGCTGGCCCAAGTAAAGATGGTTCTTCTGGAGAACAGCAAGGACAGGGAGATGGCAACAAGGAAAAGGCAAGTTTGGTCTTTCTTGTACAAGGTCAAAACCCTTTCAGTTTTGGTACTGATGATGTCTCATTACAATCGTGAATTAGAAATACAAAGTTGCTGTTACTGTTTCAAAAAAAGACTTTTACTCTAAATAAAAGTGAACTATATTTTGTCATTGAAAGTCAAGTCTCAAATTTATAGCTTCTCCTTCCTTTCAGCCACCTATACAAGGCGGAACAGATGAACCTCCACAGAAAATAATCAGAACTGTTGTGGAAGAAATAGTTACTGTCAGAAGGATTATTACAGAGGAAATAGTCATTGGGGGACGAGTGGTCAAGAAAACAACCAGAGAAGTAAGTATAATGTATTTTACTCTGATTTTGTTTGTCTTACACTCATATGTTAGAAGCTGTGTAGTTTTTTCAAAGCAGGTGGCTGATGAAGATATTATGTTCACAAATGATATGTGATAAAGATGTGACCATATTTAATGTTGTCCAGACTAGTTTAAAGTCTGGAAAAAATATTCAGCACCCATCAGTTTGCCCGTTTCTCTCATTTTACCTATTGCCTCTTACAGTCACCTATAATGCATGTATGTATGATTATATATAAACATATATGATGATAATCTCTGTAAACCAGGAAAAAGAAGAACCAGTTGTAAGATCAAGTCCGGGCAGCATGTCCACTATCTCTCCATCAAGGACTGTTAGTTCCTTGACTTCTGGTGACCTGGGTGATGTGAGCAGTTTGTCTAAGACCACCAGCATCAGTACTACTGGGGGCAGCAGCCTGAGCAAGTCCGCCAGTAATGTGACCAGTCCTAGCTCTGGTCGAGAGAGTCCAAGCAGGTTTGGGTCAAGGGAAAATAGGTCAGCAGGGATGCTCCAGCCACCACAACCACCCCAGACATCTTCAAAAAATGATAATGAAGACAACACTCAAGGTGATGGGAATATACAGCCTGGTATTGTGAGTGCTTCTGGAAACCAAACCAGAGCTAAGAGTGTGGCCTCTAATCAGACTGGTGGCCATGAGGGAGATGATGAGCTGACACAACAAATTAGCTCTGGAGTGGTTAGTTTAGACCATGATAGAGCTCCAAGTGCAGATCTGTTACCTTCGCATGTCCACACACCTGTTACAGATGAGAGAACTGGATCTTTACAAAGAACGGTAGATTCTTTCTTAAGTCCAGCACCACCTAGACCCTCTCCCACAGAAACGGTCATTCTTGATAGGACACATAGCTCGGAAAAGTCCCTTAATAAATCTTCTAGCAGTAGTGCTGCTAGCTTGAAACATTCTGAATCTCTTTTTACCAGTCCTGAATTGGCGCAGCGTCAGAACATTGAAAAGCAGACCAGCAACAGCAGTGAGATTATACAGGCAGGCCAAAGAAACTCCAGTTCTTCCAGTGCAAAATGTTCACAGTCTTTGTTCACAAGTCCAGAATTAAAAAAGAAGTCATCCACTGCTTCCACAAGCACTACCAGCACCAGTACTGTGATGTCTGAAAGGGGGGAGAGTATAGATGACACTGTATTTACTAAACCTCAAGCAGACACTGTCAGAAAAAAACAGCTTAGTATTAAAGATACAGAAACCTCCATTGCCAAAGACAACATTGTCCATGCAGAAGCCTCTGAGAACACTTTATCTCCTGTAAAGGTATCTGAAAGGCCAAAAAGGTTTTCATCATCTTCAGGAAACTCTGGAAGCAAAACAGATGATGGATTGACCAGAAGGAGTAATAGAAAGGGAACAATTTCAGGTAATTTTAATTAGTACCACCAGCGTGTACGCTGGCGGTACTCATGGTTTTAGTCCCGACCCCTGTTGTACGGCTCTGTTGGCTCCGCAAGGCGTCGTGGGATACAAGTCACCGTTACCACTTCTCCTCCTAGTTATATATATATATATATATATATATATATATATATANTATATATATATATATATATATATAGAGAGAGAGAGAGAGAGAGAGAGAGAGAGAGAGAGAGAGAGAGAGAGAGTCATTAGTCTATTTCTCATTTTCCTTTTTTTGGAAGCCTACGCAAAAGCATGTCACATTCATTTTAAGTAGTGAAATTACTACTGACAGACCAAAATTTACATTTTTAATTGTGAATGCTAAAACTATGCTTGGCTTAGATGAAGTGAGTTAAAAATTACCATTGCAAATATAAATCTATGATGTATGATTGAGTTTGGAATTTGCTGATGTGAAAGTTTCTGTCCCCATAAAATTGTACTTTTGGGGCCAAAATCTCATGTGCTGCCCCAGTGTTTTAAGGTGTATTCAGTACCAGTTGATCCCTGGACTCACTACCTATAGTCCGTGGATCAAATATGGCGTGACTCACTTAAAAGCATGCCGAGATTGAATTGCTCTGTCCATGCTGGGATGGTGTGCATGGGAGGCGGGAATCCATTGTTAGGTACACACCATATTTGATCTGTGGACTAGTTAGTCTGGGAATCAACTTGGTTGGGAATGCAGCCGTATTTTATTTTGATCAGATATAATTGATGATAAATATACAAAAACAGGTTTCATGGCTTTAAAGTGGTCATACGAGAGCCTGTTCCTAAAAGTGTTGAAATTTCTGTTACAGTTTAAAGTAAGGGGTATTTAGATGAAGTTTTAAGTAATGGATATTTAGATGAACTTGCCCTCATTTTAATATGTGTCATGGAGTATAATTACATTTCTTGACCACTGCAGGTCAATCCAAAATGCCTACCAAGCAGGATGTACAAAGAAAGGAAATTCCAGAAGAACCAGAGAGCAGAAGTCAAATCAGAGATAGTAGCACAAGGTTGGTATATTTTCTTGTTGTCCTGAAAACAAAAATGTAAATTGGCTATGCAGTCCTGAAAATAATGAAATTACTCTGATTTAGGGCAGTGATAAGTATTTATTAGCCATTGTTGGGCTGGAGTATGGGATTCATAGTGGTTTAAGTTGTGTTCTATCAGGACCTACAGGTAGTATGGGGTGACAATTTGTGCTCAATGTAATATATTTGTCTGATCCAAATTTTTTTTTTAAATTGCAAATTCAAAATTTTACCCCAGTAAATAGTACGTAAGAGTAAAAATATGACATATTACTTCTTGACAAAATAAAACTGCAACAGACTATTTTTAACAATTGGCAGAGCTTGTACTGCACTGTCATTCATAATCCATGTATGTGAATAAGTGACACAGAAAACCTAAATGTTGCATTATGAATTGTTTTCAGCCCAGTGATTCCACTGCAGTCCCTGTTAGAATCTGGCTCCAGGTCTTCTGCACTCAGGCCAGATCTTCTAGACACTAATATTCCTGGTTCTGAGTTTGAAGGGGGGCATAGAACTTTAGAAACAGGTAAGTAACATTTGTCAGAGATAAAGTATACAAACAGACAACTTCCGGTCAAAATTGACTTTCAGAAGTTCTGAGCACCTCCATTTCATGAATTTCGGCCAGAACGATCTTTTCCCAAATTTAATTATTTTCTACTGTTCGAAATTCATGGCACATTACCGTAAGTATGTTTCAGATTGCAGTCTTGGATATGAAAAATATGTTACTGTTATTTTTGGGGTAAAAACTGTATTATGCTTGTTGCTATGGCTGATAACATTATTACTGTTGAAAATTACAGAAGTTCAAAGAATAATTACAGTAGGATTTTGCATTTGCTGAAACATTTAAAAAAAAGCATGTGATGGCTGTATGATATTTTCTTTTAGGAACAAATGTTTTGGCTAGGTGGAAGGATGGATTCTTCTATCCAGGAGTTTTTATTTCTGTTGAGAAGAATGGAAAGTAAGATTTGTGTGTGGTTCATTTAATTTAATATTTTTTATTATTAGTCAATGATAAAATGAAAAATTTGTTATAATATTTTTAAACATATTCCCAAAAGAATGTTGGGCATTTTGAATTTTTTCGCCTTATAAAATTTACTAAGTTACATATCCAACCAAATAATTATTAATCAGTATTAATCTCTGGTGGCAGGTACCTTGTATACTTTGATGATGAAGACCAGCGTCAGGTGAAAGCAGCAGATCTCATAGTCAATCCAGAGCTGCCAGTTGGCTTAAGTGTCATGGCATTGTCGGTTGATGGATATTTTGATTCCGCCATCATCTGTGAAGTTGACCAGAGGAAAGACCAGACACATTACCTGGTTGAGCTTGATGATGGGAAGAAGAAAAGGTTGGTTTCTCCAGGAAGGAGTTTTGAAATGTGTGTTATTGATTTAATTGTTGATTACTGCATAGGTTAAAACCTAAGCCTCAAAAAATAATGGTCATGAGTTAGCGCATGACATTATTATGTGATTATACAAAATGAACTTGTTTAATGATGTTCCCCAAAGAAAGAAAAAAATCCTATTTCCTTTATTGAAATGCAGCATAAGAGCAAAGGACAGGTGCAGAAACGGATTTTGTACAGCACAGCAGCATTATTTATGTAGATGCAACATCCCTGGCATTATTTTTTCTTCTTCAAGTGTCAGGGTTGGTGCAGGCATTGACCATCATGGCCCTCCAGTTTACACCATTTTCAGTCAATTGGAGGAGCTCGTTGTTGGACAGTTGTTGATTTGTTGTAAAGGCATTACTAGTATTTATAAAATAAGTCCAAGTTGGCTGACAAATCTTAATTTATTTTGTAGATTGACCAAATCCAGCATAATTCTGAGTGTAGACCAGGCTGCTTTGTTACCATGTGTCAATAGGCCGGAGACTTGTCCTCCTCCAGCTACTGCTGCAGCTCATCTGGGAGATGTTAGCCTGGGTAAGTCTCAGAATAAAGATTCTCAACAAATCTAGTTATTCTTCATCAGCATGGGGGAGGGGGTGATACATTAAGACATTTTAGTCACACTTGCTTTACTTTTCCTTTAATGTCACATGAAAACTTTGCCATTTAAAAAAAAAAAGGGAGGCTGAAAGGTTTTTGGTTTTTCCAGATAATTTGATTGAAGGCAAGCGAAAAAGATCCTCAAAAACAGGAGAGCAGTCTGCTGTAGCTGGTACTGCCACCGAACCAGCTGATACGAGCACTTCTACCAATAGCAGCAAAGGGAAACAGCTGGCATCACAGGGTAAAAAGGGCCAGAAAAGGAAGTTTTCCCACTTGGAACCAAAGGCTACCAGCACTCCAACACCTAAAAGAATGGCCTCTAGGTTAATTGAGGAAGGTATAAATTACATTTTTTCTATTCATTCTAAATATTCATTGTAGCCTCTATGTGATGTCACTATTCGCAATACGCGATGCTTTCGAGTTACGTTGCCCAGGTTCACTGTAAGCTAACGGTATAAAAACATTTCAGCTTGTGTTTTATAATTATCATATATCATATGATACAATTTTTGGTTGTAAACATGATTTACCTATCCATCCTTCCTGCTTGTACTGAATTGAAAGGAAATAATGAAATGCAACCCTGTGACATTTCTTTAAGTTATACTATTTGAGTATTTCTACCATCTACTTTATGGTTTTATTTTGGTAGGGTTTAGAGACAATAATTTAACATGGCTGTGTGCATATACCCTATATTTTTAGAACATCCTGGAACAAGCAGATCTAACATGGAAATCGAGACTGAATTTGATTTGTTTGCCAACGTAGAGCAGTCCCCTGTGACTGTCAGACGTTCACCTAGGAAAGCCAGAGCTGGTAAGAAAAAATATAACAAAATGCTACGATAAAAAAAATGAAAGATTACATCAGATAGCAGTTCAAAAGAATTTAAGGGTAACTCGGCCTACATGAGACATGAATCAGAAGGTTGTCACATGCTGTATCAAGGTGTACAGGCTGTTTGGTTTGTTGTAATCTAAAATGTTTTTTTAAATTTTCTTTCCTTAGTACAAGGAAAAATTGTAATTCAGTTGATAAGCAGTTTAAGTTAGATAAAAGTACCTGAAAGATATCTTTGATTGATATAGACAACCTGAATATAGTATCACATTTTATTCAATTTCTGTAAGTGTTTTACCCTTTATGAATGTATCTCTTAGGTCTGTTCACAGATGGGAAAGGTCCTATTCCTCCTCCTGGAAGCACTCTCTTCCAAGGTTATGCCTTCCTGCTCACCAATGTGGACAAGTCTGAGAATGAAAAAAAAGCAGAAAGGAAATTTTTACAACAGGGATTAGATTCTTCTACTGATGACTCATCAATAGAGGGTAAGACAATGAGTTAATTTTACATTTATTGTAAAAACTGCATTTGATTTTGATACTTATGATATATGACTGTGTGTTCTCAGTTAATTTTGCCTTTTGATTGAATGAAAAATTAGACAAGGGGAAAGTACCCTTTTGTCAGATTAAAGTTATGAATCGCATTTGGATTTGATTTCTTTGGTGGAATATAAAATACTGCCAGATTACATTTTATTATTTTCTGTCCCATGTATTGTGTTCAGAAGAGGAAGAGGAGGTCGTTCCATTTGATAAGTGTCATCTGCGAGCTCAGATTGAAGGTGGAGGAGGTGTGGTCCTGGACAAGTTCAATCCTAGTCAGGTAATTACAAAATATGATAGAAGTTTCTATAAACCTAAATTCATGTTTTTTGTAAGCTCACACAATTAGATTATTTCACCAACCTGTTTAAGACTATTCTGTTAAGCTTGTGGTCAGGGTGTCTGCCTATGGAATGGGAGGACATGGGTTCAACCCCATCAGAGGACATACCATTCATTCATAAACGGTACCTGCTGTCGCCCAGCTTCGTGCTCAGCACTTGGGGGTTAAAACAGGGGTAAAGTTCCTGGTCTAGCAGCAAGGGAGGCCTTAGTCTCAACATCCAGTCTGTATAAGGGCCAAAAATGGCCAGGTGTCAAATGTTAAACTGCGCTGAGACACATGTGGAGTGTGGTATACAGGAAATGAACTTAACTTTACTATTAGTAAGAAAAGTTAGAATTTTATGTATGTATCATCTATTTGATGGAAAACAAGACAATTGTATAAAACAACCTTGCTAGAGTGATATCAGTTTACTTATTTTACTTGATGTCCCAGATCTTAACTAGGATAAAATTTCTTAATTGTATTTACAATATTTAATATGCATGAAATTGTGTGTGTTTGTTTGTTTGTTTTTGGAAACAAAATGTAGTGAATTTATAGGAAGAGATCTGTGTGTATTGTGAATAGCTTTATGATATCGGGAAATGCAGACATTGTTTAAAAATTGTTGAAATGATAAATTCATGCCAGTTTTATGATGAATATGCTCAGAACAAAAAGCTGCACGTTTTCTGAAATATTCTCAATTCCTTAATTTCTTTGATAGTAACCATTTTACTTCCTGTATGTTCACTAAATTTGCAAACAAGTAATTTTTGAATATCCATAAAATGGGTTGGATACCTATAGAAACCTTGGTCAGCCTTGTAACAAATATTTAATAAACTTTCATACTTTATATTTCAGATTCATGCTGCACAGCAGGTGTGCCTCATATCTAGTGCCCACCAGAGAACAATCAAGTACCTGCAGTGCCTGGCTGCCTGTATACCATGTGTGTCTCATGTGTGGATCAGAGACAGCTGCAGATCGGTAAGATTGTCCAAGAAAAGAGAGAATAGAGATTGGATGTTTTTTTTTTCCTTTTGAATGATTAGGTTGTTGCTTAAATTGTTATTAAGTGGCCAGAGATTGAGGGGGATAAAGTAATTATTTCTTAATTTGAAATTGATTTAAAGAAATATCTTTTACCATCTTTGCCAAGAGCATTTTAAAGCCCCCCAAAAAAGTAATTTGTGTCTGCATTTATTTTCTGTTTACACTCACAGTATATGACTAATTTTTGCTGCCTTTGGTTTTAGAGTCAGTTGCTAGATCATAAAGCATATCTACTTCCTGCAGGAATCAACATAGAATCAAAGAGACTGGTAGAATGGTAAGTAACATTTTCTGTAATGTTATGAAAGCTGTCAAACTTTTATTTCTTTGGTCATTGTCAGTGTATTGTCCAATCATTCAATCATCATGGCACTGTCTATATGACAATTTAGGAACCCTAGGAATGATGCTTTGATGGGAATGTCAGCGCTGCTGGTGTCAAGTAATAAAGACTTCCAGCTAACATGGACATCTGTCCTGGAGGCTGCAGGGTGCCAGGTAACTGCCAAGATGCCTGGCCAGGTGCTTAAGTCAAGTAAGTATAAATGTAATGTAGCATCATTTTATGCAGTACCAGTTCAGTAAACTCATTCTAGGTATAAATTTTGATGGGGATTTCCTGGAATTGAGTTGCTACAATTTCTGAAATACTTATTTTCTTTCCAAAAGTATACATTTTAGTCATCGTTTCTAAATTGGTGGAAATTTGCCACTAAAAAAAAGAAAAAGATTCCAAGGAGAAAAAACAACATTAGCTTTTTTTGTTCTAGTAACACATACAGTTGATTAGTGATTGGCCATTTAAAATTAGAATAACTGCACAGTGATATAGCTCAAAACTCTGGGTTCTGATAATTTTTCTCCCTGATTTTCATGGTTAGGTTTTGTATGTTTCAGGTTTCAAAGATGAAATATCAGTAGTGGTCACTGATAGCAGATGTCCGAAGAAAGTGATAACAATGTCAAGTGACTTTGGATTGCCAGTTGTGTCCACTGAGTGGGTCATCCAGTCCTTAATCAGTGGCCAGAGAATGAATTATTGTGGACATGTTAAATATAAATACAATTATGAAGAAACAATTTAATTATCATTTTATGCTCAGCATATTGTTAAATACAAATATGAAGAAACAATTTAATTTTTATCATTTTATGCACAGCATATTGCTCTTTGGTATTTTTATGGTGAAAATTTACATGACTTTTTTTACACAAATTAGAAATCTTATGATTAGAAGTCATGTTATCTTAATGCATGGAATTTTAATGTTTTATTAAAAGGTAGTTCTTTTTTTAGACCAACTGTTCATTTAATGCATGTTTATATTATTTTGTACATAATGATTTGTAATTCAAATTTAAACATTCAATAATGTCATGTTGTTTGATCATGTTTTATCAAATATGCTTTGAAAACCAATTGAAAGTCGGAGAAAATTTTGAATTGTGAGATTTATCACATTATAGGCAGAATTTCAATTCTGTTCCATTTTTTAACAATTTTTATTAAGTTGAAACTTTTATGAGCATTAGTATAGATAACCTAGATTGATATTTGGAAAGGCAGATCATTCTATATGCTGCCCTTTGTAATTCAATAAATAATTGCATATATCATCTTTATTTAAATAAATTTGTAGAGAAGTTTTTCGGTGTATATATGTGATAGATACAATACGTGTTGCCTGCGGCTCGCCAATACACAAGTAATTTTCACATACAGCTCGGTGACGAGTGTTGTATCTGGCTTAAAGCACGGCCTCTGATTGGCTACTACACTAGTAGTGCAACAGACCGTGGAACGCACTCGTACATGACGTGCTTGTATGTTGAATACAGCACGGCCAAGTCTTTTGTTCTACGCGCTAGTCGTGGTTTAAGTATTTTAATGCAAATGTTTGTTTCCCATTGTATGAGAATATATTTATAATCAAATTAAAATGGAACTTCATCAGAATTTTATTGATGCCATAAAATCATACCAACGTTTTTAACTGAAATATGTTGGATTTTACCTTTACTGCACATAATAAGTAAATTTTATGTACCTCAAAAAATATGTTAATGGTATTTTAAAGGTACACTGTATGTATTAAAACATTTCCAAAAGTCATATTTTCCTTGTTTACGTATCCTTCAAAGCTACTAGTCTTTCCCAATTCTGACCTTAAAAAGATAAAATCCTTCAAATAAAATGTGGACGATTCCTTCTTAAATGTCCAGGAAGTCATTATGAACTAAATTATTAAATTAAAAATGAAATATACTAATCCAAGTACAAGGATGGGTTGAGCAATCAATGATTTCCAAGTAGGAGAAAAATTGCCTTTTTCCTGAAGAAAATTCATTTTAGCAGGTAAATACCTTACAGAGTACCTTTTGGTGTACATAAAATTTGTGAACAGTCCAAACACGTCATTTTCTTTTTATGATATGCATGGGCAGCCAAATATTCACTAATCTTACAAGCATGTGTTCTTAAAGAAAAAATCATAATTTATCTATTGAATGATTTACTTTTTTCAAATATATGCCCACCAAAAAGATACTACAGTGTAACTCCATTAATACATTGTTCATGTTAAACAATTTGGAGAGGTTATGACCCATTAAAATATGCCATCTCTCATATTATTTTGAGAGAAAACTAGCTTCAATTACATGCCAGTCACTTGCCACATCTAACAAAATACTAAATAATTTTTTTGAAGTTAAGCATATTATTAAAGTTTGTGATGGATAATTAAATATAAATATAAAGAATCATTTTCACATCAAACCAAAACCAGTCAGGCTGGATTTCATATTTTAAAAAGTTATCTTTGTATGCACTTCATGTAATTACCATAAAGCGCATGTTTCACTTCTTTTTAGTTTTCTCCTCATAAATGCATCTGCAGCTGGCTAGATTTCATATTTAAAAAAATTATCTTTGTACGTGCTTCATGTAAATACCATAAAGCGCATGTTTCCCTTCTTTAAGTTTTCTCCTCATAACAGCTGGCATATGATAACAGATGCATTAAAATCACTAGGGTTATATTTATATTTATCATTTAAAGGCAACACAGATTTGTCCTCAAATGTCCCATGTTGATGCCCTAGATGAATGAAAATAGCTGTATTAATGAAGTGTTTAGTGTGCTCAAAGCACTGTACTTGTGAAGAATTACACATTGCTTATAATGACCCCTTTTTCAGAGTGCAGCAGTACTTTAGGGGATTATTTTATTTATCTTGATAATCCTTATTTTAATTTTTCAAGCTATTCTATTGCACGCAGGGGTTTTAAAATGCTTATTCTTTTAACTACAATCTATGTATCATTTCTAAATATTAAGTAACATATCCCTAAATTGGTAACATTGGTGCAAGTTTCTTCACTTTAGGAACAATATAATTCCAATCCCTGATGCATTTTTTAAAAATCACCAAATAAATAAATAAATAAAATTTAAGAAATGGGCCCTTTTTAATCCTTACTTGAACCCTACTGATAGGTAATAATAGATTTTCTTGTCAAAACAGAAAATGCGGCTAATGAAAGTTATCTGTTCCATAGTTGCATAAGGTGAGTACATTGTTATTTGGACCTAGAGTTCATGTATTCCATAGTCTACTTAGAGAATACCATTATAATATTTTAATTACTTATCATATATCATTAAAAAAATATTCTTCTAGGATCAGTTTGGGAAATACTGCCCAAATAAGGCCAAATATGATGCTTCTAAGACTTTTCCTTTAGATTTCTGAACCCTAAGGGCATGTTTCTAACACAAACAAGTTAAAGCTACTGACAACTACAAAGTTGCAATCCTTTAAAGTCTAATATTACAAGCCTCTTTCCATACAGCATGTTACTCTTGAACATTGCTGATAACATAAAATAATGGGAACAACCCATGTTCTCATGATATTAGCCACATCAGAAGTATTGAATTTACAATAATGCAGAGACTAATTTATGTAATACTTCACTCTCTACAATAATGTGCATTCTTTATATTCAATAATTTAAAACATGCACTGTCAAACAAAAGTGGTAATGGACCTGACCAGAGTACACACACACACACACACACTTGAAAAGAGTGTTTAAATGAGTAATAAGAAAAAAGTTGACACACACAGAAATAAAGCTCCAAAATCACGATCAAAATCTGCACCATGGAGTATTTTGTATAATCCTTCCCTGTGCCTTAAAAAGATGATACTGTACAACCATGTTCACTCTATTTTACATCATATGCTGTGTTGGTATAGAAAAAAATATACGAAATTCGCATAGAAATGTGAAAGAACATCAAAATCTATTTTAAATGCTGTAAATTGCATGAACTACATGTACCAATACAAATATATATATATATATATACAAGGCCTTAATGCAATGTAAAATCATAGATCACAAAAACTTATTTACAATGAATTTGTATCAAATATATTACAAATATCATACCCAGGTTAACACAATCTTGTTATTTTACAGTGTTCTAGAAATCAAATATATCCTGGAGAGCTATGAAAACACTTTAAAAATCTCTGTCTACTGGCACACCTTTGTCTTTTAACAATGCTTTGACCAGAGACAGCAGTTCCTCAGTGATGCTTTTTGCCTTTGTTGCTGTGTCATTTTTGTATTCATCATGTGGAATACCTGAGTAGCATCTGTCTGGATATCGCATGCTTACGGAATGTCTGAGCAGAGTCTGAAGTTGACTTGAAAGCATTGCAATTTCATAACCATTGCCTGAAAGGTCTAGACTGGCAGCCATTGAAGGCAGGTCATGGCTGTTGTCCTTCAGATTGGCATCTATCGCAAACTGTGCAGCTTTCAGTGCTTTTTCTGCAGACTGAAATTTATATAAAAAATGAAATAATGGTAATATGTCATTGCTTAAGGATGGGTTTAAGGGACCATTCCCTGAGATATCGTACTAACTTTGAATTGATCCATCTCCTAGGGGATTCTCACTAAATTGCTATCAACTTAAGCAGCTTAAATGTCTGTCACGCCTACTAAAGCTGTTAGGGGGTAATAAACTACTGGAGGCCGAGCGTGCACGAAGTTAATTATCCCCTAGCCGATTCGATAGGTGTGACAGACATTTAAGCCACTTAAGTTGATAAGAATTTAGTGTGAATCCCCGTGGAGTTAGACCAGTCCTGTTGGATCTATATAGGCATGGGAACACAGTCTAATAGAAGGGTGCTAATGATGCTCTACTGTCAGCCTCTTTAGCAAAAATGAAAAGAAAAACACACAAAATTGAAAATGAAATTATGAGATGTGAAGATTAAAGATGTAAAATATTGTCATATTAAGAAGAAAAAGAGCTAAATACTGTAATTAGGTTTTATTTACAATTTCATTTTATTTTACTTCTTTAGCTTACCTGATGGCACTTGAAGCATGCCCATTCATAGCTTTGGGTTGGTACACTGGTATCATTGGTGACAGCCTTGAAATCCCACTGGGACTGGCAGAACCACCTGAAAGCTTCTGTTGGTTGGGGATTCTTCCGGGTATATGAACCTCCACTATATGACCCATAACTTCTAGAGCTCCCACCTGAATAGAATCGGTGATAACAATCTCTTTCATGTCTGGCGCGGCGACCCATGTTGGTGTAAAATTGGCTAAATATATCCGTGTAAGCTGAATGTGGTCTAGATGCTGCAAATGTTTGTTGTGGACCTCTGTCAAGTCTAGCTACTTCACTCTGAATGAATTGACAAGCTTTATTGTAAGTATCTTCCTGACCAAGATTTTTGTCTGGATGATACTTTCTGATCAATCTCTTGATAATTTTTTTCCTCTCATTTTCATCAAGCTTCCAAGCCTTCTCTAAAGTTCTTGTTATATCTTGCAAAATGTCTTCAAGAAGTTCTGGAGCCGAGTTGACCTCGTATGGAGACTTCTCATAAGGAAGAATGTCTTTTGAGACTTTTTTAGGTGGGCGCTTAAACTTGTAAAGGTCATTTGCAGAGACAACTAGGATGTCATTCTCTTCAGATCCAATTGATATTTTGTATTTCCTTTGCACATTTGAGGTTTGAGAATTGGCATCTTTGATGATCTCTTCTAGCACAATGGCATATATGTATGTTGGAAGACCCTCAAGATTCTTCAATAATGGATCTTCCACTTCATATCCTACATACTCGCCACGCTCAAAGTGGTCAAAATCCTCAGACAGAAGATATTGATCATCTATATGAAGGTATGTACCTGGAGTGGGTAGAACACTCTCCATGTTTGACTCATCTGGAAGAATGTCTAGTTCATCCAAACATTTTGATATTCCATTGATAGCAACATTTTCATATAGGATGCAGCATAACTGATGAAATACTGATGACAGTCTGTGCTTTGACAGAGTGTTCAACACTCCAGCAATTTTATGTGAATTTTTACTGATTTGGACACCTCTTTTCAAATAAAAACAATAAGACTGTTGTCCACAATGTGCCATCCTATAGAAACAAAACTGCGTTTTCTCACTTCCTTCTAAAACATCCCCTTTGTATTCCAACACAGTGGTCAATTCTGGTACCAAGTGAAATTTGATGTTTTTAATGTTTTCTTTTAATACAATAATGTCTTCTTCATTCACTTGGAAGTTCTCCTCTTTACCAGCATGACGAAGTAGGCGTATCACTGCCTGACAAAAACTGGGAGATCTCATTTTCAATTGTACAGGATGTTCACCAAAGTCTTCAAATTCTGGTTCAAACATCAGTTTCTCTTTGACAACATCAGTCAAATTTCTTAGACGCAAATTCTGTGGCAAATATTCAGCAACATGGCTATATGGTGGGGGTGGGTCCTCAAATTCACATTCTGTCAGAGAAACAAGTACTGGTTCATCAAACTGAACTTTTTGAAGCCGCTCAAAATGAGACATTTTATTGTAATAGATAATATCCTTGGAGAGCTGCAGATCCCCATTGGAAGTAAGCAAGTACAACTGGTTTAACTGTTCTGGTTTGCGAAGCTTTTTAAACAAAAAGCCCATTGCTTTCAATGCATTCTTCTTTTCATTTGGCTCCAATTTTTCTCCTTCAGTATCTCTGTGAATCATTTCCAAGACATTGGCATACTGGTAACATGAGGGTCTATCCGTGCTCCCTATCAGCTTGAAAAGATCCTTGTACATTGCATATAGTGGTGGCACAGCATAAAGATAAGGTTTTAATTCATCTTCTGGCAAGCAAAAAATAGCAACTTGATTAGGATACACAAGTCTTCTTCCATCCTCTACTAAAATGCATGTCAAGTTTTGCAACTGTTTAGTCCACTTTGGACTTTTTTTCTCATTTAGTTGCTTCCAGTCTTTTTCCAACCACTGATACATTTGCCCCATAATCTTGCATAGCAGTTCATATTCTTTATCTCTTAGATTTTCGACTTGCTCTTGCAATGAGTGGCAGACACTGCAACAATGACCCACAACCTGTTCTGTAGATGGTTTTTCCTTCACTCCAAGGGCTTCACACACTTTTCTGTAGTAAGACTGTTTGTCACCTCTAACTTGAAGGTGGTACCTGTAAGACATTGGATTTGCCCACTGTTCAATGAAATGGGCATTTGTCCATGACAGTAATTCATATTCTTGCTTGTACGGGATTGATCCACTGAAGCAGATAAAAGGTGGAACTGACCCTTTCACCTTACTGCCTTGAGGACACAGTCTCTGAAGGTTCTCTGAGGCAACATGTTGGGGCAGGAAGGGCACATCCCTGATTTCATGCAATAATGAATATTCACTTAAAACATCTTTACGTGAAAGTAAATGCTCTACTAATACTCTGGCTTGTTCTGCAAAGGTTCTGTATTGTTCTTGGTGTGCTAGCCTTGACCCCTTTTCAATTGATTTGGCAAATTCAATGACCTTCTCTGCTGTGACATGTTGCTGTAAACCTATTTCACGAAGCAATGGTAAAAATTCTGTAGAGTTGTAAGGGTCTGGAGGAAACTCTTTCTCAGTAAGCATGGCTTTAAATACTTCATTGCAAGGATCATAAAATGAACTTGCAGTTGCCAGGGTACCTGGAATTCTACTATTAGGCAGAAACTTCAAACAAGAAAGTGCCTTTATCATCCTCTTCCTATCATCTTCCTTCTTTCTCAAAGGATGTAAGTAACGGCCTATAATAAATTCCAAATGATGCACTCTTTCTGCCTCTGAGAAATCTGCAAACTTTGGAAATATGTACATACAGTATGCATCACATTCAGAGAGAACTTGACAACCCAACCATTTGTAAAGTGGTTCTAACATCTCACTAGGTCTCAAAAAGGCCACACTTTCACCACCTCTGTCCCATACTTGCATACCATGTGCAGGGATAGATGTAGGTATAATGTAAGCAGTCTTCCTTTCAATGCTTATAAGCTCTTTTGTCACAGAATAGAAGAAAGGAAAACTGCACACTTTTGACTTCAGTTCAGGGGTCTTTTTCAGGACATCAAGGCACTGACGAAAATATCCCAGTATGACCTGACATTCCACGACATTTGCTTTGCCAACTAGTTTTTGCCTTTTTGCTACTCCTTCCAATGCAGCGACTACCGATATGGGGGAATTAATGTTGCTTACTGTTGCGCGTGCAGTGGGACAAATTGGTTTAGAATGTCCTTGTAGTAAAGCATACGCTAGCTGTGGAACGTCCAACTTTTGTAAGACATCTAAAATTTTTTCAAAGCCTGAGAAGTAAACTCGACTATCTACAGCCTCTTGTGCTCGTGACATCTGAAGCAGGCACAGACCTGCTGGCTGTATGATTACTGGCAAGAGACACCAATCTGAAAGTGGTTTCAATAAATCTCTTATTTTCTGGCATTTAGAAACTGCATCAGTTTCATTACTGACCTCAGGATCAACTTCTGAGTGAAGATATTTCCACAGTGACTGGATCCACTGTTTTGATGGAGCCTCTGGATTCCAGTGAATTATCCCTCCTCTATGTAGCTCCTGCGGTAACACAGAGGGCAGGCTGGCCGCTAGATCAGAAATCATAAATCTTTTGAAAATTTGACTCTTCTCAGTAAATGTACAAAAAATTGTATTTACCAATAAGGTATGGCAAAAGAAAGCAGCATGCATGGGTAGCAAATAGGAGAATTTTGAACAAAACACAGGTGATCTTGAACTAAACACTTTCAGTTTCTTGTCTTGTGTCAAAAGCAATGGACAGTCCTCAAGCATCTGCAGAAAATTACTGGACTTCGTGCAAAACTCCAACACAGTTTGGAGGTTTTCTGGTGTTCCAAAGATGGTGTTTGTGATATCCACTGGAAAGTATTGTTCTGAAATGAAGCACAACTCCTCAGGTTTCTGGAAGGTTTGAAAGAACTGAAGTACAGACTCTGGACTCACAGTTTTCACCTGGATGCCTGCATCCCCGTAACGTCTAAATATTGACATTGGGCAATGCACTAGATTGAAATTGCTGTCAAGTAGAATTCTTCTGACAGTACAACTGGGGGATGGCTTATATACACTTGGTATATCTGTGAACAATGGCTTTGGTTCTAGAATCTGGCTATCCAAGTCATCAAAAAATACCTCATCTTTTCCACTTCCTGTAGGTTGAAACCAGGTTATTTCACAATCTCTCTGACGTCGATCTGACCTCCGCAAAACTGGAAGAACCCTCAAAGAAAGTTCACAGGTTAGTTGGTAAACTCTTTTTGCCAAATAATGTATATATCTTTCCTTATGACTGATAATAGGAAACAGCTGAGCATACCATTGCAATAGTTTTTCTATTTGAGCCTCAGTTTTTCCATGAATATTTTCCATAATCATCAACTTTGTTTGCTCAAGCTGATTGGTGTAACAAGGGGCAACTGTTTGCTCCAGTAATGTTTTGTTCCATTCACTTTTCACATCAGTACACATATTTTCGCTCCCCACCCAAAGATTTCTTCTTGCTTCATGATCCAGAGCAAAGTGTCCATTTATATGGACTGGGAGGTCTGTTTCCAATGGTAATGGCAGGAAACAAAAAATTATGTTTTTCTGGGGCTTTGATATTTCTAGCCTTGGAATGTCAGATTGAAGCAAAAATGCTGTCCCTCCACGTGGCAAAAGTCCCAACTCTCTGTTCCCAAGGGCTTTCTGTAAAGTTGGAGATACTGCTGAATTGCTGAAGCCAAACTGCTGAGTAATTAGCCACTTTTGAGATCTGCCTTCACTGTTTTGCAAGGACAGTTTGTAAGAAACATCAATAGCATGTAACTGGTCCACTCTCATTTCTCGTGCCTCGAGGATCTGTCTACTTTTCATAATTTTCTGTTGAAAAGACTGCTGTGCCTGTGTATCTTCAGCACTGAGGTGTGCTTCTACACTGTAAGTGTTTTGCAGCTTTCCAGTGGAGGTGTCAATTTCTGAGAGGCTTATTTTCTTTATGTTATTGAGAAATAACATCATCAGAAATAAATCATCTTTAAATCTTCTCATGAGAGACTGCATTTCTTCAGTGGTAACTGCTTTCTGTTTTATCTGGGATCGTCTGGCCATGTATTCATTTCTGAGTGGCAATCGGAACAAGGTAGCTTCCTCCATTGGAAAAATATCCCTCATGTCATCCAAATATCCTGCAAAAACATCTGGGAAAGACCTTCTTAACTTAGGAATGTCCACATAACGCCTTCCAGGTTCAGCATCAGAAGCACCTGGTACATAGATACAATGTGGATCAAATACACAAAGTGTCTCTCCCATTTCTTCACCCTTGGTTAAGAAAGATGGTGCATCTGTGAGATGATATACAGCATTGAAACCTACACCATACTGTCCCGTTTTGTTTGGATCTTCACTCTTACTTCCCTCACCTAGATTCTGAATACCCTTTATGTCTGCTTCTGTAAATGGGCTGTTGTTGTAAACACATAAAGCTGGCCCTTGCAGTGGCTCCCAGCATTCTTCAAATATAAGCTCAACTGGATGTTGTCTGGGATCAAAAACAAAGTGAATTTCAGTTGCCTTTGCATCATCTGCATTTTGCAAAAGCTCTTTCAAGATATCCTGGTCATAAGGGTACCCATCTAAAATTCTCTTTATTCTGTTAGTAAGTTTTTCCTTCTGACCAAAACCAATTCCCATTGAATATTTCCTCAGCTTTTCACCTCGTTTTGTCTGAACACCAAGGCCTATAGCAACATGATAAGGCAAGTCTTTGTGTACATAATGCGTGCTGTCATCATTTTCAAGCCACTGGCAATCATCAAAGCAGAGCTGCTTTGCTTCAGACATAACTCCTTGATCATCTGGTAAATAAATTGGCCCATGTTCAACTTCAACTGATTTCAGAGTTGTAGTGAGTGGCACATCTGTTTGAATTGGTAGGGGAAATTTTTTCCTGTAATGCAAACACAACCTGAACTACATAAGATGGCAAGGACTCTTTTTTGAATGTGTGATTGTCTTTATGCAGCTCCTGTAGAACCTTGATATAATCTGCAACATCAAAGTTTTTCCTAACACCTGCAGCTCTCATGATGACATAGAAACTTTCCCAAGGACTGGGGAGTTCATAAAGAAGTGGTTCAAACTTGGCCTCAGAGTGAAATATGACCTTACGTCCTGAGATAAATTCATGAATCTGTGGAATGTACACTGCATTTCTTCTTTCCAGTTCAGAGGTAAATGTTTTCTGGTGTTTAGGGTTGTTCTTCAGTAAATCATTAAGATGCTGATAGATGTGTCTCATCAGATATGTTGGCAAGTATTTACACACTGTAGCAGCTTTTATTGCTTGATCAAGCTGATGCCATACCTGTTCAACCTTGACATCTCTTTCAGATTTTATTTGGAGAAACACTGCAACTCTCTTCTCCATCTTCAGCTCCCTTGTATCAATAACAGCAGCAGTGGAGGATACTAAGTCTTCCACATCTGTTGAAAAGCATTCCACAGGTGCAACAAGATTGTTGTGATTGCCTTTCCAGGGAAGTGGATAACCTTCTGGTTTTGCCTTGGCTGGCAAGAATGGTATTTCACGTAGTTCACCCAGTTTGCTTTTCAATTTATCAGTTTTATAGGTTCTGAGCCTCCATTCTAAGTACTGCAATATCCTTTTTGATCTCTCTATTCCTCTACTGTCACCTGCACGATGAAGAACAGCAACACTTCTGGCTCTCTCTAAAATCAGCTTACAGTCGATTTCATCTTTACAGATGCCAAGTTTTTCCAATACTAGGAGGCGATATGGGTGCAGGTATGAGCTTTCTGTTCCTTGGATGAATTTCCCGTCTTCCACATGGTATAATGGAGCAGCTCTACCATTTGGGTGCAGGAGATCACATGGTCGTTTTAGCTGCCCATGTGGTAAGGAAGGAATGCATGCGCAATGCAAGAGCTCATTGAGATCTTTATCACCATGATCAAGTGCATGCAGAATCAAAGCATTTCGGACATCTTCAGCAATAATGTTGAGATTTGGAAAAACTGCTTCTTTGTAAAGCTTGTGGAGGCCATACATGATCTTTTCCACAACAACTTTAGGAGCATATAATGACAGGGCTTCCATTGTTTTATGGGGAACTTCAACATATATCTTTCCCTCCTTTTGAAGAAAAATTTCCAACACCTCTTTGGCTTGTTTTGCTATACCTGATCCTTTGATATCTTCTTGGAGGAGACCAACACTATGGGCATTTGACCACATTTTTCCATTTGAAAGTAAATGAGGTGCCTGCTGTTCTTTACTGGAAAATAAAGTGGCATACAGCTTTTTCACGAAGTGTTGACATACTGGTTTATATCTGGTCACTGAGGCTGGCCACAAGTCACAAAAGGTATAAGATGTGCCAGATGTCAAAGTTTTCAAATCCTCCAGACAAAAAAGAAAAGCCTTGGAAATGACATCTTTAAACAAAGTTTCATTCCATTCAGCTCCTTTTGAAATCTTGTCATCAGAAGTTTTCTCAGTCAGATGTTTGCGGTTGGACTCAACAGAAAAACTGCCATTGACATGGAATGGAAACCCACTGAGTATGGGAAGAGGAAGATAACAAAAAATTGTTCCTTCAAGACATGTTGGTGCATAGCTTTTGCTGCCTTGTATATTGCACTCTTCTAAGTGTACTGCCACTCCACCTGTAGGTACAAGACCAGTATCTTTGCACATTTTCAACACTTCTTGTGTAAGGTCTCCCAAACATGATGTAACAAGCCAGAAATCCTTTCTCTCTTCCCTTTTGAGAATACCCACATTACCTGGAACCTTTTTAGAAGACATCTCAAGAAGAAGAGACACTGCTGGATTTTGTGTGACTCTGTTCATGTGAGTTGATGGCACTGCTTGGAGTACTTGAGTTGATGCTCTTAAAATTTGTGTTGGCTCAAGATGTGGTAAATGCAAACCTCGTATCACTTTTGTGATGTTCCTTGTGGTTTCATAGATAGGCTGCATCATTGATGGTGTTCCATTCTTTGGAAGGTGATAAATTGATACTTTCTTCACATTCTGTGTAAAGAGTAGCACCTCTGGCAAATAGTTCACCAACATCTGAAGAAGTTCTTTTACTTCTTCCTCGTCATAATGCACCTTGCTGATCTCGCTTTCATAGGACTGTTCTTTTGTTCTTAGAGGAAATCGAAATAATGTTGCATCATAGCTTGCTATGCATGATTCCACAGTGGGGTCAAGATTGCAGCCAAATATACCATTGAAAGGCTTGAATTGGTTCTTTAATTTCTGCAACTTTTTTCTATTTTTCAGATTGATCTTCATTCCAGGTTTTGACCTTACTGCTCGTCCCAAGTGTTTCATGTGAGGATCAAAGATAGCTATGCTGTCATTGCTAATAAAACTTGGAACATCTGTTAAATTGTAGACGGCATTGAACCCAAGTCCAAATTTACCAACTTTGTCACTCATTTTTTCTTTAGTTGCACCACCCAGCATAGCAATGTGTGTAAAATCTTCCTCTGTAAATGTAGCATCATTATAGGCCCAGAGAGCAGGGCCTTGGCATCTTCGCATTCCATCATCTATCAAACATGTTTGTGCATCTTCATTTTCTCTCTGGTCAAACAGAAACTTCACTTCTGTTGCTCCTGCATCATCAGCATTCTGTACAAGTTCCTTTGGAACAGATAAACCATCTGTGTAACCTTCTTTAAGCAGGTTATGTAGGCGCCGTGTCAATGGCTCTGACTGACCATAATTGATGTCTAACTCTTCTGCATCTAAAACACGGCTCATGAGGGTAGGTATTCCTAAATTTTCACTAGTTTGCATTGGAACATACTCATGGACGAAGAAGATTAATTCTGATTCTTCATCATTGACATCAGTGACATCATGTCCTTGCTGTAGCCATTCCATATCACAATAGGTGCACTCTGATACTGGTTTTAGGATAAGGGAAGAACTGTCATCACTATGAATAGGTACTAAAAGCACATCTTGCAATTGTAATAGGGTGTCTTTGTCCATGGACTCAACAATATGCAATAATTCTATGATGGTCTGCAAATCTCTCTGTCTATCAAGATTTGTATGCTTGCTGCTGTTCCTCCCTGACTGACTACTTTCTTTTAGGTATTTGCTTTGGATAATGCTTTGTACTTGAAGAATTATTTCAAGTTCATTTCTTGGCTTTACACCATAGTGTGTAAAGTATTTGCTGAATTCCTCTACTTCTCCTGGCAGGGTAAACATGTGTGGCTTTAGCTGAATCCCCTGCAGCTTTGATGGGATGAAAGGAATGACCTCTTCAGCTGAACAAAATCCATCTCCATTCCAAATCCATTTCTCTGCACTAGGTATCAAGTGTTCATGTAGATTTCCGTCCCTCTCAGGGTGCCATAGTTCTCTGTAGATATCTAAAATCATTGGCAAATACACATCTTTTTCTTTGCTTGTGTAGTGGCGAACAACTTGTTTTAAATGATCTATCACTTTTGACACAGCTGGCCTTTTGTTCCATCCAAAATTTCTGGCAATCTCCTCATTTACTTCTTCACCTGCAATATGCCCCACAGAGCCAATCACTTTTTCAAAGATGCTGCTGTTCAACTCACTTGGACTTAAAAAGATGCATGCAGCATAACACCATGGCAAAGTCCTGGGATAATTATATGGCCTTGGCTTGACCTTGATAAACTTGACTGTCTTCAACCACTCTGATGCAAGTCCTAGTATTACTGGCTGGGACTTCAGAATGGTCATAACTGCCTTGGACTTGGCAATGAAATGGTCTGGCACCACTGGTCCATTTGCCTTTTGAATGTACTGAGCAACCCCGTAAATGTCTCTGGCAGTTATGTCTTTTTTTGTCTTCAATCCTAGCATCTTTAAAGCTGTGAATAATCGTGGCTCATCCCTGTATTGCTTAGTTGGAAATACATCACACACCCCATCAAATAGTTCAAACACAACATGGTCACAAGGATCAAACAATGAGTTTGCTGTGAATCTCATGCCTGATTTGGTTGGAATAAAAGATATGTTCTTCATCTTTTGGAAAATTTTTTGATCTTCATTCATGTTGATAGTCAGAACTTGCTTCATCAAACAATCAATCTCCCCATTCTTCTTGTACCATTCAATGTTTGGTAAGACAATTTCTTTTAGCAAGTCATTGGTGTGGAATACCCTTATTTGTAAATGTTGAACAAGGACTTCTGAGTCTCTCTCTGATGCATTTATGAACTTGAAAGGTAATGGAAAGCTTGGACTGTGTTGCAAGGCCCTTTGTACCTCACTGAGAGAAACTGTGTCAGCAGAACTTGGCAGATCAAAATATTTTGTTCCACTCACTAACCTAAAGATTGGTAGTTTCAAAAGTAATTCCCTGTGCAAATGTATACAGTTTGCAGAGGCTTTGGATAAAAACATTCTCAGTTTATCCTTTTCTGCTAATGGCCAATCTTTTACAACTGCCAGAGCTTGTGTTTGCACACTTGAAAGAGCCTGTAGAACACCTTGAGGTGTTGGTGGACTAATGTACCTTGGCACAACAGCCTGGTGATCTTCAATAAATTTGGGAAGATTCTGAAATACAATAACCCCCAAAGCTCTTATTTGATGGGCCAAACTATCATCAAGTTTGTCCCCTCTCCAGGACGCAATCAAAGCAGCTATACCAGAGCTTAACCTCACAACTTTGCAAGAAGCAACATCTGGCAGAATGTGTAAACCTTCAAACCTGGAAAGATCATCAGGGAACTGCCTGCCAGGTACTTCCATAACATTTGAAACCAATGAAAAGTAGGATGCTCTCTGGTCTGTGGGTTCCAAAGTTTGCAGTTTTCTTTGGATAAAGGAAACAACCTTCGTATCAAATTGGACACTGAGGTTCTATCAAGAATCTTCAACTGGGTTAAGCCTGAATGGAAAAAAAATTAAAATCAAAAAGATATTTTCAAACTGAAAAAAAAATCAAATAAACTGTGCTTTATCAATAATACACCTTATATTCAACAAAAAACAGCAAAATATTTTAAAACATCTTAATATTATTCCTTAAATTCCTTTTTTAACATTAACCCATTTGATTAACAAAATTATGTAATTAAATTGCTCTTTTGTATTTACCCTTACTTGCAGTATAACAAATTAATTGTCATGCATGTATTTTTGCTACTAATAAATATTCATTGCCTCATTTGAATCATTTGCTAATAATTACCCAAACTTGCTATCTTTTTCAGGTGTGAGGTAACTTCAGATGGAACATCCCTAGATGTATCTAATAAGTTATGACTCAGTCCAGGGAGAAGTTCTTTTGGATGATCTTTGGTTGGAATGTACACCTCTTCACTTTTGCTGGCTTGGAACATGGCAAAAGACTGGTCAGCTAGGGGCAAAAGACTGATTCCAACCATATCTTCATAAGATGAATCAGACAGTATGTACTTAAGTAGAGACATCTTCTTTTCATATGGAAGACCATCTACATAAGGTGACACACTAGGTTTCTTGAGAGCAATTCGCACATTTCTTGGCTGAATCTTTGCTACTGCCAAGTTGTCTCTCATCAGTGCATCTTCTATGTGTGAGGGGACTGTGCAAACTTTTGCTCCACTTTGCCTGAGAATGTTCAAAATTGTTATTTGATCTTCATCATTGTCAACCTTGGAGCACAAATCATTGAACAAGACTTCACTGGCATATTCCCATGTGCCAAAAGACTGATTACTGTTGACACCAGCTGTTGGGCTGTGAAATAATTGACTTGATAGAGTCAATCTGTACATACTTTTCACCATTTCTTCAAATTTTGGATCAATTGCACTGTATGCTGGCATTGCATCATAAAAGCACACTGGTGAAATGCATTTCTTAGTGGCAAAACTGAGGAGTTCAGCATATGCCTTGGAAACTGCTTCTTCCATAAGACAGATGTTCCACAACAGAGCTTTATCAGTCAGGGTTGACTTTTCTTGATCTGCAGTGGGCCATTTAAGATGTCTGCGATTCTGACTTAGAGCAAAGAACCCATTCACATGGACTGGTAGACCAGTTATGCTTTTTGTTTCCAGTGGAAGTGGTAGGAAACAGAAGAGATGACCTTTTGGTTGTTGGGGTCTCCGCTTAACTTGTTCAAATGGCTCACCTTTGGTCTCACAGCACATAGCAACAGCCACCCATGGAAGAAAACCCAGTTTTGAATCATTTGCCAGTTCTTTAAACCGTGCACTCACTTGGCCTCCTGAAAAGTGGTTTGTTAACATCCATTTGCTTGTTGAAACAGATGTTGGGAAAGTTATGTCATGAGATAGGTTGGCCACATTTAAATGACTGGGACTTGCCCTGGCTGATCCCCGCATATATTTTGTCTCTGTGAATTGGAGCTCATATGTCACTTGGACAGCATTCTCTGGCCACTTATTGGTTTGTCGCAGCTGATCAATTTTTGTCAAAAACTTTTGACGCTCTGATCTCACAGCATCAATTTTATCGATTACTAAACTGAAAATTAACCTAGGTTTTTCATCTTCTTCCCCTCTTTCATACAATTCAATGGTTTCCAGTGATGACAGGAATAGAAGGTTCATATATGAACATGTCATGAAAGATTTGAACAAACTGTTTATTTTTTCAGGTGCATATGTCTCTTCTGATAATTCTGAAAAGAATTCATCATTTTGTTCTTTTGCTCTGAGTGGAAATCGAAACAATGTCCCATTATAAAATCCATCACTAAATGTTTTCTTGCTGCACTCAAAAATTCCCATAAATGGTTCAAATTGATCACTAAGAGTAGATATTGTCTGTCTGTCCTTCTTCAAGTGCCACTGTTTTCCTGTTGTTCTGGAACCAAAGAATCTTTCATGTGGATCTAAGAATCCTATCTTGTCTCCACTTATCACACTTGGTAAATCTGAAAATAGAAAACAGTAAATATATGATATAAAACTCAATTTTGAATATCACTTATGTGCTTAACTAATGAATTCACATATTTTATAAAAGGCCTAATTTTTATAGGGAGCATTCACATCGAGGAGAGCTGAGGTCTAGTAAGGCTGCGACCTAAATATGGCGGACCTACATGAAAAGAAGACCGCTTAATCCATTAATGGTCTTTCTGCCTCTCACACACTTCCCCACGTGTCGTCCCAGCAGGAGCACATTAATTAAACCTTGGTTCAATTCAACCGGTCGAGGGACGATGCGTGGGGAGCCATGTGAGAGGCAGAGAGACCATTACAGGATTAAGCGGTTTCCCTTAAGACTTTTGTTACAGTAATGCATAACAAAATTAACCTTTAGAAAAGCTTTAAATTGTAGAAACATTAAACCAACAACAATTGTAATCAATGTTTATATAATGTGAAAGGATATTCTTTTTGAAAAGTTTTTAACCGTGTGTTTATAGAAAGCCAAGATAAGCCCACCCAATCCATTTTAAAAAGGCGCTCTATTGCTTATGAAACTAGGAACCATCTTCCCCTCATGCTATTTCTTTTCTTTTTCCGATTCAGGTCCTTTGACAATAAAATTAATGTGAAAAATGCATGTGAAATCAAAAAAATTTTTTTTGCCACAAAGCCTGACCAAATGTCACCATATAGTTTCAATCGATACACAACTTGGAGAAATCCCAAGGGACATAGTTTCATTTTTCTTCAAACATGATATTTTAACATATTTTCTTTCTTTCTGTGCGGTGAATCCACACTCCCTTCAAATGTAACTAAGTAATTAATATACCATGTTATATAATATGTAAATAGTATCCAACTACATATTGTAAATTATTTGATGTATATCTGCAAATATCTATATATAAGCTCATATAAAGTAGCTGTAACAAAATTTTCACAGTAAAGACTCCCTTGTTTCACTAAATGCAAGGTTTAATTAGTGTACCCAACTTAATTACAGTTCAAAGGGAGGGAGAGGGTTACACCATTCAATTGTTCATTTGAAGTGTGCATGCACTCTGTCAATAAATAAACAGTTTTCATTACTGATACCTGTCATGTGAAAGACGGACTTGAATCCCAATCCAAATTTCCCTACTTTCAGTGGGTCATCTTTTTTGCTACTATTATGAATGGCTCCTATTCTATCCCAGTCAGCATCACCAAAAGTAGCATCATTGTAGGCATACAGAGCTGGACCCTAAATTAAGAATGAAAAGGATAATTTAACAAATTTTGATCAATACAAGACCTAGTTTTGGCCACAGTCCATCCTGGAAAGCCTTGCACAAAGTGTGAGATTATGAACATGAAATACAGCGCCTGTGCTTTGTTTTTGATAACAAGTGGTGAGTATTACTGTTTATATCTATTACTATTTTTAAGTACAGACACAGCAATAAGCATCCACCACAGCCAAATAGCCTTTATGGCAAAAGCGGGGAAAGGGGGATGGCCCCCAAGTACAGTAATGTACCATGACTGGGGTCGCGCTAGACTATGTTTATACCAGACTATGTTTATAATACAATCTAATTACAGCAAGGTCAATTTACCATATAAAGAAATTGACCCATAACGCGATGCCGATTTAACCCAATAGTGTTGCGCATGTGATCGGTTAGTTTCTTAAAGCGTGTTCAGTGTGTGTTATGAATAATTATGGCGGGTGCAAGATCTAAAGAAAAACTTTCTGATATGAAGAAGATATTGCTCTGAGAAATTTATTTTAAGTACAGAAGGAAATGAGTAACTTTGTTGTGTAGGGGTTGGACAGGTTAAAGGTTTATTTGAAGAAGCCAGTGAGGATCTTCTCACAGCACAAACTCCTCGAGATGACACGTGGAAAAGATGGTATGTACCGTGCAATCTTGTGAAAATTAACTTTCCCTCATTGACATAACTATTACAAATCGTAACAAGCACTTCCAGTCCCACAACTGAAAAATCAATACTAGAAGGGGCTGGTATCATTGTAGTTTTAACTGTAACTAGTCTGTTGTCTAGACAACTACCTGTCATCAAGTATCTGAGAGTAGATTTAACTGAAAAATCAATAAACTGGTACCAGCCGTGACTCATGTAAGTTGCATTTGCTGTATTGACTTGGGGCTCAGACTAAACTGAATTTTAGACCCCATTCCCAGAGATTAATTCGATCCAAACTAGATCGACCTAACTCCCTGGGGTTCACGCTAAATAGCTGTCAGCCGAGCGGGCACGAAAGTTAATTACCCCCTTAGAGCTTGTAGTAGGCGGGACGGACATTTAAGCCGGATTATCTGACAGTAATCTAGTAAGACTCCCCACCGGGATAGATTGATCTAAAGTCTATGGGAATGCGCCCTTAAGCTTAATGTTAAACCAAAAGTTTTTATTGCCCAAAATTATGTCACTTTATTATTTTAAGCAGGGATGAGGTTTTTCCAACCATTTGTGGATTTCCGACTTTTTGGGGTGGGGCCAAAATAGCATACCTGAGATGCAGATCTTAAATAAAAATGGAGGGGAGTGTGACGTATCCACTGACGAGACATTGCTTTGGCAGTTGGAATCTGAACTCTTTTGAACTTTGCAATACATAAAAATGAATATTTCCCATCTAATACTAATGGAAGAGGATGGAGTCAAAACCATTTTGGAAACATCAATTTGAGCACTTGCATCATTTATCTTTTACATCTTTCGGATGACGTATGTGTTACATGTATATACTACAAGAAGCGGAACAATTACAAAAGAAGGAAAGATTCATTAGATTTTAAATCTTGTTTGCATCAACATTGTGAAAAAATGCATTTAAAATGGAATAAATATTGGTTTAAATTCCTTATATTGTCTTTTTTTTGGGCTAAAAATATTATAAGTTGGCTAAAAAATTTTGATTTGGCTAAATTTTTTCAGAAGTTTGGCTAAAGCAAAAAAAAAAATCCCAGCACTACCCCAGCATGAATTTTGAACGGCTCCTAAATTCCGATCGATCTTAAAACCAGATGTCTGGAGATTTTTATTGACCATGAATTTTAAGCAGTAAGCAGTCTTGCACGATCATGATTTTCATGAATTTAGTACACCTCAGTGAGTGTATATATGTAAGAAAATTGGAAGAGTGCCAACAAGATATGTCTATCGGCACAGGTAGGCTCCGTAGATTGCCTTTTCTCAATATGTTTTAATATGACATGATTTTTAAATTAAAATACTTAAAGTAATTAAAAGTTACACTGAATTTCGTTTGAGTACCAGTTGGAATTTTTTGATAGCAAGCCTTGCAAGTTGAAAACAACTGATCTCAGACTGGTAGAAAAAAGTATCTCAATTTGGTTGATTTCAGTTGACACATTAAAATTCAAATAGGGCGTATATAGGTCACATAACTGGTTTAAGTCCACTACAGCTATCGGTTTCAAATATAAGTGACCGGGCATTGTTTACAACAAAAACTTGTCCCACTTATGAAGCGCATCATGAAAATGATTGTAGGTGAGGGAAATAAACAGATAGAAATTATAAATTGTTGTCTGTTTGAATCTCAAGTAATGTTAGCACATATTGTAAACAGCAAAATAATATCCCATTCACACTGCAGTTGCAAAAATGCGCATTTCTATAATCTGAATTTTTCATGAGAAATTTGATTCGGTTTTGCGTTCACACTGTAAAGAGGAAACCGCATCGGCAAAGCCAAAATCCAGGTGAAACTTCCTGCATAAACAACTGCGCATGCACTGCATCAAGCAGTACAAAATATGGTGGCAATTACTACATGTTTATTTCTCTGGAATTTTTTCCGCTTTTTTCTTGGGGAAAAAAACGTTGTAAAACAAAACAAAGAATATTTGGACAACCCCGCGTATTTGGCACACATAGTAGGCTTTCTGAGAAAAGTATGTTTCCCGCCATGTACCGCACATGTGCAAAGACATCTCTGCACTATTTACTTCCGGCCACTGATACAAATCGCGCTTAGAAATCCACCTCGCTTGCAGGATTTTGAAAATTCGCATTACAGAAATCCTCTTGCGTTCACACTACTGCATTTATTTGAATTGTGACCTAATTCGCAACTTATACGGATAACTGAGCGTAGTGTGAATGGGGTAAAAGATTTCAAAAGGAGGATAAAATGTGATTGAAACTTGCAGCTTATCTTCAATTCTTGCATGACACTTTGGGTAAAATGCAATACTTCCGGTAAGATGGACGTTTTGGCAGATGCCCCAAACAATCCGACGATATTGAAGGTTTCCATTGCTATATTTTAATCAATTCAACCAAAATGACATTTCCATGAAATTAATTAATTAATCTTGGTCAAATTGTTTGGCATATTACCGTAGTGTTGTTTTTTAAAAGCAATTCTTGCAACTAGAAACTAGTGTAATGTTCTTCAAAAAGATTCTGCTTAGAACTTAGAATTGTTTCTGTAGAGGAGAACTGGAGTTGACGGAGGGAGAGGCGATTAGCGTGTACCACAACCAGGTAGCTTTCCTTTGTCATAGTTTAATATTAAATTACAGTCACTTGACATTAAATATTATTTTTTTCCAAATCATTTTTCCTCCGTTTTTTTCCTATTCTGCTGAAAGACAAATGAAAACAAGGATTAAAATTGTGCTTTAATAACTTTGAATAATCTCTTTTATATTATTCTGACATGCTCATTAATTGAATCCACCAGAGAAGCAAACAACTAGAGGATCCAATAGGCGATATCCAGCTGGAGTAAGCGCATTCATATGGAAAAGCAAAAAAAAAAGGGATACCACCTCCAGCGTTGTGCTTGACAAGCTCTACAAAACGCAGTAAATAAAAGTTTTCCATATTTTTGTTGGAAATTACCATTTAAAACAATATCATGGGGAAAAACAATATCATGGGGTTTAAATCCAAATCTGTGAAGTGCAGTTCATGGCAAAAAGTAAGTCAAAGGTCAATTTCAAGTTCACAGTTAGATTGCCAGTATAGGACTTCCTATTCAAGTTCAATAGTAACTGGGGGCCTAACTGTGCCAGTTTTGGAGACACAAGGGACTAAAATGGGTGTATTTTTGCTAATTTTGGAGGTACAGTAATGTGCAGGGATCTCTCGAGGCTGCGTTTTTGCGCCATTGGCACGCACATATTTGTAATGACGCATTTTTTCAATAGCAGTGCGTCCCAAGGGCGCATCAAAAATAAATAAAATTAATTACAGTAAAAAACGGAGTTTGTTTGTTCAACATATTTTAAACTGTTAAAATTGTGTTTTTTTAAACCCATCATAATTTTACTAAACTTGGAACAAGTGAATCGGAAAAACCTAACGTCAAAGTTCTAGTCTCGTCTACTGCACGCGTTCTCTGCATGGAGAGTACCTTCTCTGCGTGGAGAGTATACCGGAAGTTCAGAGATGGCTGCGCCAAAAGCAAAGCAGCCGAAGCTTTCGTTTTTTGGTAATGTACCAGATAGGGAGCCTCCACTAACTTACGTTAGGAAGTTTCAGCAAAGTTGACTGCAGAGATTCCCGTGGATGCGCTTCGACAAGGAAAAATCAACCATGTGGTGTGCACAATGCAAAAAGCCGGACAAACGTAATACCATGGCCCTGTGGATATCATCCAACTTTCGCACCCGCCACGTTGGAATGACCGACCTTAAATAAATTTATTCTGATTCAAAGTCATTTAAAAAACGACTGATAAGTGTTAACAAGTGTGCAGCCTACTTAAGAGATGTACGCATTCGTATGTAGGGAGTTGAAGTTATTTTGGTACTTTTGTAGTATACCCCCCCCCCCCCACTGTGTAACTTTCTGTAACTCACTTTTCAAACAGTTTTTTTTTTACATTTTTTTTTTTCATCTATGTCAAAGCTGTTGAAATAAAATGCTTTTGTAATTACCTGTGGTCTTTTTATTAGTTTTAATCACGTTTAATCCAGCCCATTGAAATACAAAGTGATAATCTACAATGCACTCGCAGTCATTATTTTGAGTTTCTTGTGTATTTGGCCTTGAGCAAAGTACTACGTTTTTGGTGGGATAAGCAGTCAATTAACACTATAATTATGTCTTCCATTTCTATTTGTATTGTATTGGATAAAATTTTGTAGTTTATTGCTAAGTTAATGTACCGCATGATATAGAAATTATTATGCCAAGTAATGGGATTGCATTTCAGTCATTTTAGTTTGAGTATCACTGATTGTTATTATGGACAAA